GCTATGACATAATATATGGGGGTATTCATATTCAGGACATATTTTGAAGGATTAAATGGATTGTATCTGCCCTGCACCATGGGTTTCTAATCCTTGATGCTGTTCTAAAACTATAAAGATCTGCATTTATTAGGAAGAACAACGTGGAATTCCCATTCCAATCGATACCCTTTCATTATCCCAACCCTACACCAATTTCAAAGTTGTCGAGACCAATCTATCCGCACCATCCCTTTGTAGTTGAACAACGTTATAATTTTATTTCTTTGGGCAAATTCAGTTTCTATCAATCCACATGTATTCTGTAAAAATAAGCATTTTGTTGAACGCCCCTGTATTTGTTTCCACAAGTCTAAACTTATTTGATGAGCAAATTATCCCGAAAATAGTTCAGCAGGCGCTTGGATGTTTTTATCAACTTGTCTGACATTTTGGTGCTCATTTTAAATAAATCCTGGTGTTGTCAGCCATTATAACAGTTATGTGTGTATGTACGAACGTTTTTTTTACTCTCATTTCTTGGTGTAAGATTACAGATTTAGCGTCTATAATTCAGTCTACGTGTTCATAGTTTTCTTACATATTGCACCGAGTCGACTCTGTAAGAGACCACCCATCACACTGAAATACATTCCAAACTTCAACTCTGAGGGGGAATAAAAGATTTTTTAAAAGTGGTAATTCGATGAAGAGCTAAGATGGAGAATATAAAACAATCTCGTATGATGTGTTGAAATTTTTGTCCTACCTAATAGATAACTTGATCCCGCGAGAAATGCTGCCAAGTTTAGTAGACTAAACTAAGCTAAAATAATAAGAGTTAAAAAAAAAAAAAAAAAAAAATATGGTGAAAAATACAAAGAGGACTGCTATTCCGGAGCTTTGAATCTGCTGCAAATTTTGATTATTGCTTGACCAGGTTGGCTGGTTGTTTATGGGCATTTTGCGATCGAAAAGTGAATCATTTGTATTACCAAAGTAATGGACACTGCAGTTTTCGAGGGCGTTCTCATTGTAGGATGTATATGTGTCCATTTTGGAAACACCGCTCTATTTACCCGCAAATATTATAGATCGTCGTACACGATGTAGACTATGAGCTGGATATAATTATAACCCACCTCTTTTGGAAGTCCACGGTGCGACAGCCCATAAGTTACCTTCTTTTATAGCTCCCCCCCCCCCCCCAAATCCACGTTCAAACAACGCAATAACGTACGTCGTATAACGTGCATGTAACAGGGTATGCTAATTTGTAAAACACCTGGTATCACTTCTATCTTTCATTTGGAACGTTCACTATACAAGGCCACACTTAAGTCTAATCACCCCGGTAGCTTTCAAAATATTTTCGTCTACAACCAACAGGATATATCATTCTACGTAACCATTTAAACAAATTGTGTTTTTCAATTGACTGTTACCTATCAACCATAGTTTCACACCTGATCTTGTAATGAAGTCTAACTAATTATAGGCACATTAATAAAAGGTTAGATGTCGTTGAATTTGTGCATTTAAATTTGAAACCAGTTCATAATCGCTGGGGTTTTTAAGACAGCATCGTGTTGCGTTCACACGTACTATATAAGCCAAACCAGTTCAACTATTCTGACCTCTTCGGTCGGAGGTTAGAGTTAACTGCGCATGGGTAGCTTCACATTCTTTATTCGGTTCTCGCACGCTTTCGATAACATTGGCACTGTCTGACCCCAACATTTTCACAGAAATGTAACTAACTGCGTACTGCGCATGCTCGAAGCAAGCTGGAGCTGGGGTTTTTAAGCCAACCCGTTCAGACGGCTAAGATGAACCAGTTTAAAATAAAAAGCCTTCTCGAAGACAGGTCGCGAGCAGGGGTTTTTAAACTGGTTTATTTGCCCCACATTTGCGTTCAGACGCTTAAGTTAAACTGGTTTAACGATCCCCGGGGTTTTTAAACCAGTTCAACTTAAGCGTCTGAACGGGCTATTACGCGGTAAACGTTTTGTTGTTACTACTTAAAGCGGAAATTGCAAATTTTCTAAGAAAGTCAAAACGTAATTATTCCTATGTCTTTTGCTCAATAGGTTGTCAATTCACTATTATAGATCATAGGTGTCATTCTCACACTTAAAACTCATTTACACAGAAAATAATAACACAATTACCTCCCAATTACCTCCTTTGTTTTCTATTCTCCACCATGGAGTAGCTTTTTTCAAACGTTTGAAAATGTAGAGGAAAATGATATTTTTGCCAATTTCTCAGCTGGCAATAGTGAATTATAGGATTAATAGGATTATTCTTTAACAAGGTAGGACTGTTTATGGATACCATCTATTTTCAGGCTTTATTTTAATAAATTTTAAAAATATAACTTAAAAATTTGCAATTTCCACTTTAAATGTTGTCATGTGTGGTGCAGTTTGTACTTATAGAATAACAGATATCCTACGGTCAACCTTATTTGATCGAAAAATAACATAAAAATATTTTGAAAATAATATGAATATTACCATATTTCGCTATTCAATTTTTTTTTTAGCGATAACATCTAGCTTCTGGATTTTGTTGGCGCTTACGCATACCTCGACTAAGTTATATAATTTCCCTTCTCTAGTAAATGGGGAAGACGTGGGGGATCAGTGAGTAAGACCGACTGGCTCACTAACCAGAATATCCGAGTGAGGATGTCGGTCTTGGCGAATAAAGTTCCCCTGGATTTTCATTAATTTTCAAGGGTGGTTTCTCCTTGTTGTTAGTGACGCAGGACGGAAGGGCTGGAAAGGAGTGGCTAGTCCGTCATTCGGACGGGACGAAAAGCCGAGGTCCCGTACACATCGGTGTGCGCGTAAAAGAACCATTGACAGTTGGAATTCGAAATAAGAGTAGACCGTAGCACCGCTGTTCGGGAAAAATTTCCCCCCGTAGCACACTTCCCGGTCGGTGCAGAATAGTAGGTTGTTAAATCACATTTAATGTTTTTTCTTTGTCGTATAAAGCACTACTGTAAGACCCAATCCAATCTCGAATAGGCCTAAAGTTGGTATTAAGATTTATAGGAGCTAAATCGCTAATATTTGGGACCTAGAAATTGATACAAATGGGTGGCAACGCATATAATAATGCAATGTGAATGTATTTAAACTGATTTACATTCAACCGTTTCTGTTTTTACTGTAATTTCTAATCAGTTATGTTCGGCGAAATACGCAAGAAGTCTTAATTGAATGGCAATCTTTAGCGTCTGGTTATTCCAGTCTACACCGATGATATTTATTGCGCGTGCTCTCCAGATAAGAATATAGCATCACCATTTCACATGATTTGTGGAATATGTCTAGCCGCGTTCTTTGAGCCCCTTGTTCCAAACGGCGCTGAAACGCATTATGGTACACGATTCGTGTACCAATGGTAAAATGTTTATTTTGTCTTGAATATTGGATATCAGAAGCCCACCTTTTTCCTGTAAGACCACAAGACCAATGTTGATTTGAATTGACAAATGATTCGTGTTTTCAATGTCGAAGATTTTTGAAGATATTGAGTTAGAGACTTAGCTACTTTAAGATGGAAGGTTTTTACGGATAATTCCTTTGATAAGGATTTGTCTGAATTTACAATTTGTTTAAATCTGATTTATAATATACCACGAACGCTTTATATTTGAAATCCCCGTTATTAACTTTCCTTAAGTCACGAAGGATTGATTATAATTGAACTAAAAAGGAACGGTAACTCTAATTACACTGTTAACGCGTGTTTATCACCTTAGATCACTAAGCCGATATTTAAGCTATAATTCATAATAGATAATTAAACGTGCTTTAACTAATAATAGAACAATGTGGAAATAACAGTACATAATTGTTTAGCTATTCCATTTAAGGTCAGTCTGGACGATATGTTAAAGAAACTGCTATAATAACTATAGATGTAAAATAGATTTAGAACCGGTGTTTTAACTTTGAAGACGGAAACAATGACATCATTGGGCACAATTTCTAAATTCTAATACACTGACATGAGAGAGAGAGAGAGAGAGAGAGAGAGAGAGGGAAATGGGTTTAACGGCCACTCGACACAATCTAGGTCATTTCGGGACTAACACATGGTTCAATTTTATTTCAATAATTAGCTTACGCGTAGGGGTCTTTAGCAGTGAGAGGAAACCGGAGGACCCGGAGAAAACCCATTACGTACAACTGATGGATCGAAACCACACCAGTTGACTCAATGACAGACCTCATGATACATCGCGCACGGTGATAAAATCACCAAAACAAAATCATGAAATTGTGCCGTCTTTCAATTTTCATGTATTAAAAGTTGATATAAGTTGATATATATATGTATATATGAGCCTTTTTTTTTGGCAATACAAAATCATCTATACCGTTATACACTGTATCTGGTGGTGTTAACATTCCTTGATTGTTACAATAGATAATATGTCTGTTTTTGCAATTATGTCATAGGATTTAAAGTTCTCTATCGCATCTATAAACTCATACCACACCATTTTTTTCATTTTATCATTATGAATTATGACCGCTGTGTAAGAAATGTATAATATGGATATCGTTATCATAGTTATTTTTACAACCACTCCTATATTTGAATTTTCAAATTGTATATTGTAGTCGAATCTCCGGTTATAATGTTTGAAACTAAAATCTCTTGCCACGTGCTAAAAAGAGTTTTTATGAGATAAGTTATCAACCAGGGGGCGTGGTGCACGACATTCCTCGCCTTCGTTATCACCATAAACTCAAACTGATTACCGTGAGAACATGCAAACAGAAAGTTCATGGATCGTGCTGCAGGTCATGCTTAGTCTTTCTATAACATCTGATACCATTTCTTGTTGGTTTTTTTTAGAAAGTTTACAGATCTAACACTTTTATATTGCCGTCGCGTCCACAATTGCTTTTGGACGCTCTAGAGACTAAAGTTAATATGAAGGTCATGAGAAAACGATACCTATATATTTTCAACGATTTCCGATAATTACTGTCAGAGTTATGGCCCTGGATCACTTTGAAATATCTTGTTGATGCTCTAGAGACCAAAGTTAATATCCGATTGACTTAAGATTGATACACAGAGTTTAAGTTCTTGAGACGAACATGTATATTGATTTTCAAAGATTTTTGATATCCTGAACAGCTAAATTTTCGTATACTAAACGTTAGCATGGGGCAGAACTAAAAGCCAAACAAATGATTTTCTGATAATTACTTAAAGACCACATAAGACAAAAAATCTAAATTTCATGAGCCAATGGTTACTATATCCACTTTTACTTAATGAGTTATTACTCTTAATCAGATTTTAGTGTATTATAAATGATTCATTACCGACAATAGAAAAATATGCGACAACTCTTGTTGACTCCACGGACGACTTAGCTGCTGTGGGGGTATGTTTAGTTGCCTGGCAACCTATCTTTAATGTACTTTTGTACTCTAAATTTTTTTATTCTTGAAATAAATCTTAAAGTACGTTCACGCGTATACCTCGACATAAGGACACGTTACTTCCAAGACGATCTTCGACCACGATTGTCGATATTTATTTTGCCGGAAAATTCACACACTTATCTTATTGTACACAAAGAATGTTGTCAGATTAAAATACAGTTTCCAGGAAAATAATCTGATGGTAAATTGAAAAAAAAAGGTATCCATTGAGCATTATTACTTAATAATAATAAGGTTTTCTTTTCTCTTTATATCTATTGCGGGAAATGGGTTGGATTTCAAGGAAAACCTTTAAATTCGAGATAAAAGATCTGAATTAAGAGTGAAACTTTGCAGAGAAATTATAATATTTAATACAATATCAGGACGTTAATGATCCCTAGAGGAAGTTCAGATAACATAAGGATGTTAAAAGCTGGTTTTCCTTCTGTCATATCCTTAAAGCCACAATGACGGATGTAAAAAGTATCTTTTTCATTTTCTTGTTGCAGATTTCCAAGACGGAGTCCGCTTTCTCAATTTCAACATTGACACGACATGAAAGGTGTGTATAGTTGATTTTATACAATGTTTTATTTTATTGACAAAAAATGGATTATTATGACTGGATTTGTTTAGTGTGACCAGGATGTCCGGGATCGAACATTTATAGTTATTAGCAGTATCACCGCACTGTACCAACATTCATAATGCAGAATAACGAATTGAAAGTTGTTCATGTGCGCAATGCATTAATGTTCAGGGCCCCAGCATGGAACCCTGTTGTATCCCATTTTGATAACCAGCACTTAGTATTGTGTACTTTTGTTGTGGAATGGGGCTGTTATTCTGTGTGTGATAACAAGTCGAGCTTTTATAGTAGATGTATAGATTTTTTTCCAACAAATGTGCACATAACTTCTATTGTAAAAACCACACTAAAGGCCCCCTTGATCAGTTGAAACTACGTGCATATATTTTTTTCAGCATATTCTCTAGATAATGCCAAAACGAGTTCTCATTTGCCAACTTTAAATAACTAAAGTGAAATACAATTTAATTTTAATATTTGCTAAAGCTAAAAATCTGGCCATTTTTTTTTTATTTGTAATGTCGAGGGGTCTTTTGTATAACTTGTCGCCATCACAGGTGACACAGGACTACCTAGATAAAAGCATTGGTTTGAGGCATATGAGCTTTCTCGCGAACTTAATAGCACAAAACCGTAAAAAATTATTGGCCGAATTATGGATTGACTATTGAGCTAGCATTGGTAACTTTAGTCTCGAAGATGCATTATTTAAGATTTAGATAAAGACCGGGTCGTTTTTGCTATCCAAAACAGAATGAAAAATGAATATATTGAACAATTCAGTCGAATTGTTTTATTCTGAGCGAAGTTATGAGTATTTAAAGTTTTGAAAGAAATAGACGATTATCAAGTAACGCTGCCATGATAATAAACGAAGTGTCGAGCGTCAGTTCTTTTATTGATTGACGTACATTTTAACATTAACCGATTATAATGCATGGGTAATCTAATCCATTCAATATCCCAACCATCCGATAATCTAGAGGGTTAGTTTAAACAATATTTTTATTTCGAGTACGACATGATTATTTGCAGTACTGATATAATGGATTTAAAAACAAGACATTAGAAGGTTGATCATGGACTTGTCATGTGAATAAATGTCTAAATAATATATAACATTTGAAGCCAGAAAACAGACCACGCAATAGGAAAATTTAGCTATCACATAATGTATTTTTAACTGGAAACTGGGCATAATGATAAAATATAACTTGATGATTATTGACAAAGGAACAATATTTGACTGACATTTTTTCGGAAGTGAACGTTGTAATTTTTACGTTGTGTAAAATCCCAAACAAAGTTTAGAATATCTGTGTAAACTTAGCCAATGCATAAGCGTGCCTTTGATGTTTTTTTGGTAATAGTAAAGAATTCTGAACATGTGTGACCTAAAACTGGCTGATCACGACTCAAATCTTATCTGGAATGTTAACACGTTATGATAACAACTGTAGCCTAGATTAACACGACACTTCCAACGTACGTCGGCGTGTAGACATGTATAAGCTATTAATAAAATCGTATCTCGACACCTTAGAGCTATTTCAAACTGTACATTATTTTTGTTTCAGAAGTCGAACTTGAAGACACTTTCATTTTGATATACATGTATTTTGTTATCAGAAGTTATAAATGTGTGCGTGTGTTTTAGATTGCTTCGGGGCGTGTGGGGTATTTTACTTAAGATGCAGCGATTTGAGATTATAAAACATATATTTCACTCGAAGAATTAACTATAGATATAATGATAATAAAATCTGAAACGTGTGTCTTACTTTTTTTCTCCCCTGTGCGAAATTAAAGTGACTGTCCCACTCCCATATTTACGGACAATCTCACATGGAAACTTGTACAGACCTTCATATAGTTTACTCGGGTGTAGGATAATGATTTTTTTAGTCTTCCACTCCAAATTACCACATATAAAATGACAATGGGGACCATATGTACACACCATCACCATAAAAATGTCGTTATTTAAATTATACACAAAGAAGCACTGAATAGTGTGTAGTAATTTAAAAGATTAAATCAAAAATAGATAATATCTTGGTGTCGATGTTAGCGAGTATAAATATAATATATTTGTAATTCACATTCATTTTTTTGGCTATAAATGTGTATGCTTGATAAGTAACAATGAAATCTTATGCTAGGGGGCAGACGAGCTTATTTTTTGCCTGATTGGCGCGTACCGATTGAAATTCGCCAGCAATTCTTCCCCCCCCCCCACACACACTTATCGAAACGGCTTGTGCATACAATATAGTGATTGTTATCCATAGAACTAAGTTGTGTTATATTGTTTTCATTTTATAGTTTTCTTTTTGTTTTCACAAATGATGTCGTATGTTCGCCATCTCCACCCTCTTATAACGATGAGACCTGACTATCCGCCTGTAATACTCTAGGGGTTTAATTTGCTCTAAAGCTTTGGAGAGGATACAGAATTAAACCGAACTTCAGATACATGTTCTTGTTTTTGCACTTAAAATCTTAGTGATAGAAACAACTAAGCCCCAGAAAAAAAATATTCACATCACATTTTATAAATAAAGATAATAAGATATTATTGCTTACATATTAAATTAAGTCCATATGTTGAAAATTTAACTCTGTAAGTAAAACAGTGTAATCGGTTTGAGGATAAAGTGGGCGACACCCCTCTCTCCTTTGTCGATATTGTTGCATCAAAATGTGTGTTATAAGACTCATTCAACCTCCCCACGCCTTGTGTCATTGTTTCCAACAAATCCACCACCACCAGCAACTAAATATTATAAATTTAATCAACTTAGACTGTTTTATTAATACCCGAACACTCTCTTTATAGAATTCTTGTTTACGTCTCTCTAAGTGTAATTCTAGAGTTGGGCTGAGAAAGTATGGTGTAAAAATAACTGTCATATTATCTGTTACAAGCAGCTGTTGATTAAAATAAAATATAACATTACCACCAGGGAGACTTTAAAATATATACTTTGTAAACTTCAATCTACATTATAGATTGGATTGTTGTTTTGAATCATGTAGATATTATTTTGGGGAATATAAACACGTATTCCTACAGTGGTGTATTCGGGGGTTCTCACATGAGGTGGGCTGGGACTCGAGTGGGGGGTTAAAACGAATTAAAGACCACGTGGTCCAATAAGTATCCAAGTCGAACCATTCTAATCTAAGTTACTGTCATTTAAAGTTTACATTGAAATTTATTGATTTCACACCACCACCCGTAGACGTCTGTTGGACGGATAGAATAATAATAATCCTATCTTATTAGCACTGGTCATGAGCTTAACTTACACAAAATATTACATTAAAATATGGTTGACCAGTGTCAACTATTTGGTTTGTTTTCTTTTAAATGTAAAGTTAACAGAGATTAAACGCCCATATCTTTGAAACATCACCATGGCATCAACTTTTAAATAATTCCTAGATGTTTCTGGTCCAACACAGCAATGTCGTTCAAAAAATGCGTGTGGCGTCATTAACGCCCTCCGTCTTCATTAGGCCAGTCGGAGCGGAATAATTCATTAACGCCTCCAGATCTTTAAATTTGGCGTCCTCAACTGCAACCGATCCAATATTCTTACCCCCTAGAATGGGATGATAATAAAAAAATAAATCGGCCTATCAGGAGGTAAATGGAAACCCCTTTTTACTGTTCGGTACATTTATGACCCCCATCATGGGGACATAAAGGCCAACACGGAGCTTTTATTATAGAGTCAGTTTGCAAGACCCTAACCCTAACCTTAGCAAAACATAGGTCCATCACGCACACGGAAGCTTTAAATCTAGGGACAGTTGAGATAACTCGACAAAAGAAAAAAAATATTATGCATAACCGAACCTAAACCATACGCACCATACAATAAGATGCGTCTATACTGGAAGTCGTAAATTTACCCAACGGTAAACACGGGTTGCCGTTATTTCGTTATTAGCATGATACCCGGGTTCGGCCGGGGCTCAATTCGTCAGGAGCTCAAATTCGCCAGGGGAAAAATTCGTCCGGAGCCCAATTTCGCCCGGAGCTCCCGGGCCCAAATTCACACGGGGCCCAAAACATTCACGGGGTCATGCTGGTTAATTTGATACCACATGTGGTGGTGGAGCGCGGCGACGAAGCGTGATGGGCCAACATACATGCATACAAACTTTGATTTTATTTATATAGATTGGTAACCCCTTCTAGGCGTAATAATATTATTGGAATGGGTGTCAACTGATGTTGCGTAATTAGTCACGATTCCCAGTGTAATATGTCAATCTAGCGAAATGTTTTGATGCCTTTTTTTTTATTCCAGAAACACCCCGGACTGACACATCCCCTACACGGTCTGAACAAGGGGAACCTCTCTCTAAAAGACTTTGTCTAAATCTCCCAAGAGCCTCTAAAAGTAAGTTTACTTTTGTGATTTATATTTGAATTAAATGTCAAGAAGCTTATTTTTTATGGAGATTCATGGGTATCAAATATATACGGCATGTATTTCGTGAAAACATAAAATACGAAGACACATTTAAAGTAGCTAAGTCTCTAACTCACTATCATCCAACGTCTTCGACATTGAAAACAAGAATTATTTGTCAATTTAAATCAATATTGATGTTGTGATATTACCGGGAATAGATGGGCTTCTGATATCCAATATTTAAGACAAAATAAACATTTTACCTTTGGTACTCGAATCGTGTACCATAATGCGTTTTAGCGCCATTTGTAACAAGGGACTTCGCCAATCAAATATATATTACACCATGCTTGTAACTTTAATTTTTAATACGAGGAAGTGGTTTTCAGTTCATTTGTTTAACAAAATGTCAATAAAACGACAGGCAGAATTTACACATAGTCACGAAAACATTACCCGGAACCACGTTCGCCTACTTCCGTTTTTAAGAGCGCAGACACTAATTCAGACGTTACTTCCCGATTGAGGTCGACGTCGTCTGTTCATAGGGAATGGGATTTCTTCTCATAAATGAATTAAATTTGTATTCTATTGTCTGTAAAGATAATGTTCATTGAGGGATCCCATATAGGCAACGTTAGATGACAAGAAAAATTAGTGTTCTTAATTTCTAATGCAAATATTGCCACAGCTTGAAAGATAGTATTATGTATTATTACCCCCTTGCACAGATTGCAGTTTGCACACTCGTTTACTAGATAGATCTACTATTCGAAATGCCATATTCGTTACTAACCATCTTCGTCGCAATAACCCACACAACTGATTTATTCATAACCTACACAACCGATATCCATAACCCACACAGCCAAGTGTATGGACCATGAACGAAGTATCAGAGTGTATGGGCGATGTATCAAAGTGTAGAGACGATGTATTAAAGTGTATAAGCAATGTATCCGAGTTTTTGAACGATCTATCAGAGTGTAAGGACGAGGGACAATCTACGCTCAACATAGAAAATACTCATCAAAAAATAGCTTAGTCGCCATGCCCAAGCCTCTTCTTTCTGAGATAAACCTAATTAATCTGATATAACAGAGTTGTCTTCATACTGAAATGAATTAACATCTATTCCAATATTTGCAACCCAAATCGCCCTTCATTGACACTTAAACAAACGTGATAATCAGAGAATAAATTTGAGTAATGATATATTGCTCAGACAACCAAAGATATATATATATATACAAACTAGATTGACATGTGCTCAATTCGTAGATCGTGATCTCTTTCAGTATATTTACCTAAAACAATTCAGTATTTAAATAACAGAATGGCCTTTAAGTATATTTTGGGGTTAGACAACTTTTAAAATACTTTTATGAAGCGCACCTGGTACAAACTACGATATTTTGTTTGTTGAGCAAGTTCGCGGTTATGTTTATGGCATTGCGATTTATCAACGTCTCAAGGTGTCGTTTTGGTTGACGAATTCATTTGAATAATTTGTCTTTACCCGTATCTTTATCTGATTTTTCCACTCAATTACATCGTGTAATGTTTGTTGTCTGTTATTGGTAAAAAGAAAATTGTTGTCATTTGAACAGCTGGGTGGGTGAGGATGGGGTGGGTACTGGGTTACTATAAACGGGGAACTAGAAAATGTTTTCTAATTAAAATGACCTAAGTATTGTATTGACAAGATGTTAAACCCTATTCGGTTCGTCGCAGAGTTAATTAAAGCTTGTCCCTTTAAGAGAATATCCTTCTTTTAGAGATAAAAACTTTAATGTCAGATGAATATTTACTGTGTATACTGACAAATCGATTTGAACTACTGAATTCAGTAACCAAACACCTACATCATATCACGGCCATCAGAGTTTTTACATCTCAGTTAAATGGAATCATGTAGCGGTATGCGTTAAGTTTAACTGAAAGAAAGAAAGAGAAAGAAATGGGGTTTAACGTCCATTCGACACAGACTAGGTCATTTCGGGACTAACATGGTTTAATTTTATTTCAATAATTCGCTTGCGCGTAGGGGTCTTTAGCAGTGGGGGGAAACCGGAGGACCCGGAGAAAACCCACGAGGTTGGACAGGCGACCCAACTCCTTGTCACGTACAACCGGGGATTGGAAACCACGCCAGTTGACTCAATGACAGGCCTTATGATACAGCGCGCACGTGCTAACCCCCCAAAGTTTTAACTGGGGTACCCATATCGATCAGACTTTTCCTTTTTTTTAAATCAATGTAATTAATCAAGATGTAGGTTAATGATAGTATAGGCTTTATAGTTACAAAACGGAAGGTGCTTAATTATAATCCCAGGATGGTTAATAGAAAAAAAAACAATAAATTTTAATATGCTAGGTTTTGATTACTATATATTTGAGGTAATATATGCGAAGGCCATTCTTCAAAATGAAAATAGTAGGAATGGGAATAAGGCGACCTTACAAATAGAAAATCGACTATATGGATGAAGATTCAATAGAATTTTTATCATACTGTCAGGTTATTTCGTAGGATATGTGTCCAAATTGATATGAAAATCCGATAATGACATAATCAGAAATGTTTTAACTTGTTTAGAATTATATCAAAATGAGCGAATTGTTCTGGTAAAACTTCATTTCATTTCACCATTCTTATATACACATTATAGCTATAACATTTATTTTGATGTTGTTTATTTTTTTGTAATTTCAGACATGGATTCAAATATTACTCTGTGGCAATTTCTACTGGAACTTCTACTCAGTGAACAACATCAACATATTATCTCTTGGACAAACAACGAAGGCGAGTTCAAATTAACCAATGCCGAAGAGGTGGCCAAACTTTGGGGACTTAGAAAAAATAAATTGAATATGAACTATGACAAATTAAGTCGTGCGTTGCGCTATTATTACGATAAAAATATCATTAAAAAAGTTATGGGACAAAAGTTTGTGTATAGATTCGTGTCCTTTCCAGAAATAGTGAAAACAGAAAATAAGATTCCGTTCAAAGTAAAAATGGAGTCGATTGCTCATGAATATGGACAGCGAGTCATGCCTCACTTTGCCTCTTTTAATGCCCGGAATATAAAATCTTCTGCCGAACAAGCCCGCTCATCGGCTTGGCGTGTACCATCACCCAACGTCAAATCATCCACAGACCGTTCAAAAAACATACAAAGCGCTAAAAATCTCGTTAAACGGGAATCTGAAGATTCAAATTCATCTGGTTCATCTTTAAGTTGCAGCCATACAACAACAGTAACGTCATCGTCGCCATCAGCTACCAAACCGAAGCCAAGTCCGATAACTCTGAATCCAGTTGGAAATACCACTCTTGTTACACCATCCACATTTCTTCCAATTCCCAGCCCAACGGCCAAGGGCTCGCCTTTCGCTTTTACGGGACTTCCAACGCCAATGTTAATGCCCAGCCCAATGATGGGCCCAAGGACGCCACTACTTCATTTCTGGAGCTCACTCAGTCCTGTAACAACGCTCAGCCCGCGATTCGGACCCGCCTTTCAATTTCCAGGATTTTTCAATGGACAATTGCCGTTTCCGCCGATGACATTACATAATATAAGTACTGTTGAAAATCTGTCTACTCCAGGGATGGTGACGTCTCCTACCAGGACGATACCGGTGCTATGATATAGAGTCTAATGTCGTGTATAGCATTCATATTAACAAATTAACTGCCTTTTAATAAGCATTGCTAGAAGTAGCCAAGTGCAAACTATTTGTAGCTCCCTTGAATGACGTTATTCGCATTTTTCGCTGACGCGTAGTTGTATAATAGGCTACTAAACGTCAATGGCGACATCTTGGAGATGTTGTTTCGTTTTTATTGGTGCACTTGACGATTGTGATATTTGGGACCAGTTAATGTTTTTTTTTATCTGTTCTGTTATTTTTGGATCAACATTGTTTTAAAAGGTTTGTGATTTGTTGCAAGAGAGGGGGCTGCCGGTGATGAGAGAGTGGGTGTTCACTCTGAATTTGCTTACATTTTGTTAGTGTGTAGAACGAAATCAAATCATAAATGAATTGTGTAAACCCAAATATTAAGTCATTTTTATTATAACATTGGAATGACTTTCGGAGAACAAATTTCTTTTTTTTAATTGTTCGACATGTGAGAATCATCTTACGCAAAACAGGGCTACAACATATTTTTTTGTGTTGAGAATAGAAATAGCAATTTTTAAAACTTATTTTGTTACCTATTTATATTCCAACATCTTGATCTTGCAAAACTTGTTTCATCAAATATCGAGAAAATTCCTTACTATGTGTGAACTAATCAAAATGTTTGCCTGAATAGGTTGACTACATACCTGTTACCAGGATATATATTTTAACGAACTGTAAATAAAGATACAATTTGATTAATTAATGACATCATTATGTGCTAACAGTTTATTGTAAATATTTTGTCTCTAATCTTAAAGATCTCTTAACTTATTCCTGTCCATTTATTCAATTTCGGTTATTTTGGTCTAATAGAATATAGAATAATGTACAATAATGTCTAGGCATCTGTGCTTGTATTTAACTTTTGCTTTTATAGTCAAAGATGCATTATGTAAGATTTAGATAAAAAGCTGACCGTTCGTGCTACAATTAATATATTTGAAAATGTCAGTAAAATTACTTTATTCCGAGCGCTGTTATGAGTGTTTGAATGAAGTTTTGACGAGAAGGTCTCAATTGTTAAGTACCATTGCTGCGATTATAAACCAAAAAAATTATAAACCAAAAACCCGATTAACTAATTTATGCCAGGCTGTTGTAATCCAATCAATATCTAAGCCATCCGATGGTCCAGAGAGTTTATTATTGGCTTTTCATGTGAATAAATGTCGAAATAATAATTTATATAATATATAAAAAGACCTGCAATAGGCAAATTTAGCTCTTACATAATGCATCCTCATTCCTCAAGTTATGAAGGTGTGACCAGACATACAAATTTCAAATTTATTAGACTTGTAAATGTGGCAATGAATTTGTAAATTAAACCGACAGAAAACGCTGTTTTAAAGTTTTCCTTTTGACGTGCCCGTTATGATTTATCTAGAACGGGGAGAAAAGTTTTATAGTATTGATTGATTAATGACCAGAGTACCGTATTATAGGTATTCATACTCACTGAGTCTCAACGCGGTTAATATGTAAATAATTTAATATTGGGGTGCGCGTTGGTTGGTGGGTGTAGAAACATGCCCTTAGTTGCAATTAATACACTTAGTTAATTTGTTTTGCCAATTCTAAAACACTTGCATTGTTGGTCATAAGTCATGAATATAAAATAATTATATTCATTCATATATGCATTCACATATTAAAGATAATGTATTCATTATAAACATACATATTATTCAAATAAGTAATTCAGTTTAAACTCGAAAGTAAGTTATCGGTATTATACACCATATAATTTTAGATTCAGTGAGTTGTTTACCCTAATGTGCTCGGATGCCAGCCTTATAAAATATTTAATTGCAAAAATATATAAAAATATATCTTTATTTGACGACTGTATTCTTTCAGCTAATTATTTATATTAATTATGATAATCACATTAAATGTATTTTATTTAATATATATTTATGTTATTTATTTTTATCCCCTCCCCAGGGCCCGTGAGAGGGGGCAGCTGGGACACTTGTCCAGGGCCCCGGAGGTATGCAGTGTTTTAAAAAAAATTGTTGATATAAATTAATAAAAAAAATATGTATACACGGTCGTGGGATATTAACCCGTCTTCGTTCCGTTTGTGGCTCTCCTCGCCGTCAGGGTATCTGGACACCGATAGCCGGGGCCCGTAGAACACTACAATGCTGGCCATGCAAATTGCAAATGGTTATCGATCTAGGTAGGCTGGCTGGTATTCGGTCATAAAAAACAAAACTGCAAGTCTTCGAAATTGAAATTTTTACTTTCGCCTTCTCTATGTTTTTCGATATTTTTGACAATTGCGGACCTTTTTCCGACCAATGGTAGCGTGATTCGTCACCCGGGAAGCTTGTTATCCGTTCGGCCATACCACCATTACATCAGTAAAACTAAAACGGTACATGTATTTGGTATGTCATAATTATGTTGTGTTAAATCTTATTTTCTGTGTCTTAGCAAGTGCCCCCCCCCCAAGTCAAAATGACGTATAGAGAGCGTGTATCTTTCACAAATTTGCACCCCCCCCCCCCGCACCTCGCTGAGTTGCTTGTCCTTGCCACTCACACCCCTAAATGATCACGCGGGAAATATTATCCCTCAATTACTATCTTGGTGTTTAGTGCGAATCTGAGAGAATTTCACTGAGATAGGCTACTACAAAGACTTTAACTGGCCCGCGGGAAATGGACCACTGCGGTAGGGCTAAATCTGTTTGTTAAGGCCAGTTCAATTTTTGTAAAGGTCGCTTAAATGTAAATAACGTTAGGGCACGTAAATTGTTGGTGAGATTGTAGGTTAGGGTAAGCATTGGGGCTAGGTCTAGGGCTAGCCCACAATCTCGTCAACAATCACGTGTTCTAATCTTATTTACATCTCAGCGACCTTTTTTTTTTATACAGTAACAATTAAATTATGCTAGCTGACAATAATGGAACGGGATTGAAGTTGTCGATCATCTCATCACCACAACACGTGCAAGACGATGATGTGTCCGTGGGGTATTTCAAATTCTAACTGCCACGGGTTCTTTTATATTTGGACGTCAATGTGTACACAGTTTCTCGTATCATCCGAATTACATAGGCGCACTATCCATATCGTCCCCGCGGGCGCCACCCCTAAAAAATTCCTTGGGTTCACCTCGCCGGGACTACCGAAGGGTTAGTGTCAAATGATAAGGCCAGGTCAATTTTTCGTCATAGGTCACGAGATGTAAACAGAGTTAGGGTTTGGGTAAGTGGTAAGGGTTAGCACTAGCCCTGTTTACATGTACATTTCGTGACCTTTGACCAAATCTGGAGGTGACCTTAAGAAATAGATCTAACCCATGGCAACCTCCGTGCAACCTCAACGGAAACCTTACTAACATGCACTTTGCAACTGGATTATCAGAGGTAGATATTTTTGCTGGAAAGCGCGAGACTTGGTAGGCTATTAGCGATGATCGAGGAATCTAATAGGCTCCCGAAATATAAAAGTGTGTCCGACGGATAGCAGCCTCCATAACTTTAAGTTCACAACACTTAGCTAAACCTTGTTTGATTTCTATAATCCAGTCCATAATTTTAGCGAAACGTTATAAACGTTATTATTGTAAGTTTTTTTTTACAATTCTGATATATTATAAGGGGGGGGGGGGGTAGCACTGAGCATTGTATCATAAGGTCTGTCCCTGAGTCATCTGGCGTAGTTTCGATTCCCCGGCTGTACGTGACAAGGAGTAGGGTCGCCTGTCCAGCCTCATAGGTTTTCTCCAGGCCCTCCGGTTTCCTCCCACTGCTAAAGACCCCTACGCACAACGAGTTATTGAAATAAAATTGAACCATGTATTAGTCCCGAAATGACCTAGTTTGTGTCATGTAGGCGTTAAACCCCATTTCTCTTTATATATATATATATATATTTAATGTTATTGAAAATTCTGATATAATATATTATAATATTATTGACAATTCTGATATATTATTATTGACATTCTGATAATAAGTAATATAAACGCGTGTTTACACAATACATAGTTTCAAAATACGTTTATAAACGTATATTTGTAAATTAACGTAAATGCATTATACAATTTACATACAACACTTGATAATCCTTTCTGTGAAGATAAGTTATACGTCATGGATAACCAGAATCTGACAAATTTAATAGCTATTTAGAGATATTGATAATTAGCATATTGACATGTACAAAACATACATCTCAGATACTCTTTAGTTTCGTCGATACATTCAAACATTAAATAAAAACAAATCTTGACATCACATTTCTAGAATAATGGACATAATGAAAACGCAGTCTGAGTTCTTCTATACAAATTTAAATATGTTAGCAATAAATTCAGTTTCAGTCTAAATTTTGTAATATTTATTTTGAATATTATAATCCTACCTGTAAGGGAGCCAACTCTGGTTATGAAACTGGGCACATTCGACTGTCACTTATATGAATAAAATATATGTCCGTTTTGTTCAACCAATAACATTAACAAAGGGAAAACCACGCTGGAAAATCCCGAGGAAAAAAAACCTTCACTCAAACCCAGGTTCTCCTGGCTAGTATAAGCCAGCTCCTTACCATAGCCGAGCCAATGTGGATAAAAATGACCAATAAAATATTTTGTATTTTTAGTAAGAATCCACTGATATATATTTTGACAGACTTGGACTACATTAATTTGTGGTTTTGGACATTCTGGTTTACGTCCGTTTTGACAATATCCTGTTTCTATCGTCTGCAGATGTTGCGAAAATTGCAATTCATCATATCTTTGTAAATTGTAGTTTGCTTTCCATGTACACGTTTCCACTAGCGGAAAAACACAGCGTTTTAGCGCGCGATTTTATATATTTCCATGCATGTGTACCGAAAAATCTTTAAATAGAGTCATATATTGTTTACGTTCAGTCGCGGCCTTTTTATAATAACACCGTGTACAAATTAATCTGCAATTTCTAAGATGAATATGCAACAACGATTGACTTAGTGGAAGAGAACTCGCGTTTATTCCACAAGAAAGTAAACATCCGCTACGGAAAAGTCGTTCATCGAGCAACTTTTTTCACTACGCGTTTTCTCGCACGCGGAAATACTTCCATGGAAATGGTACCATAAACCATTACATTTGCATTAGACGCGTACACGGAGAGCGACCGTTTCCATGGCTGAAAAAACGTTGCTCGATGGCGTTTCTTCTCGCGTAAAATGTGCACATGCGGATGTTTACGCCCTGTCGTACAAACACCGGTTCTCTTCCATGAGTACATGTAAAGCGGGCCTTCTGCAAATGTATAAATGACTTTCAGAGAATTTAAAGGACAATATTGGTGTCACTAATTATCACACGAGTTATACTTCTATATAATTGACTGAAGTGGCGAGTGATAACAGACACACGGGCGAATTTCTGCTCAAGTATAATTACTTCTAAGACCAAATCGGATCAAAATTGTGACCTTTAGAGGGTCCACAACCTTAACAAGTGACCAAATGAAAATGTGGGCGTATAAAAACAAGGGAATGTACGGACTATTTCTATTTTCTCGTTTTCCCTTATTTAGTGACATTCAATTACTTTTTTGAATTATCAGATTAAATTATATTTGGAACGTGTTTAACCAGTTCTATCACATATGTGATAATGACTGACACCAATATTGTCCTTTAAGTGTTGCTTCTTATATTAACGAGTGAAAGAATATGCCTGATACTTTCTCTAAACTCGGGGGATATAAACCAAACGCACGGCATAAGTCCTGATTTTATCAGCAAATAAAAATTAGCAATAGTCGCCATAACTTGGCAGTTGTGAGTAAAGCAAACCGCACTGCCTAGATCTCCTAGAATAGCTATTGCCGGAAGAGGTAACAAACAAGAAACCGCTACAGCAACTGCGTGTGTTTTGAAAGTCAGCAGCTGTCGTTCAACAGAGTAGAGGTCTTTTCTTACTCGAATGAAAAGGACTATCAAAAAGATAATGTTAAATATCATCGGTGCCCAGTACGCCATCAATGCCAAAACAATCGTTCCCAATTTATCTATAGCGAACTGATCTGTACATGATATGCCAACTTTTAAGGAAAATGAAATGCCTGTAACTCGAACATTATAAGTCGAAACAACCACCATTATAAAATAAAACCAGAAGAGGGCAAATACTGTCACGAGCAAAAACACTTTGAGACATTTTTTGATTTGTGCTCGGCAACAATCCGATATCAGTTTGAACACATTCATTAAACCCAGTGAATGTACAGTCATAAAAGTTACATAAAACGGTATGACTGTGTAATTAAACAAAAAATCACATCCATTGTCCCAATAGCCCTTCACAAAATAGTCAACGGTCAGGGGACCAAAAATGAGTCCCATACATAAATCAGCAACCGTAATATGAGCAATACACAGACTTTCTCGGGCATTTCTTAAACACTTGGAAGCTACAATTGCCATTAGAACAACAATGTTCGCTAAAATAATCCAAATTGAAAATATGGAGCCAACAAAAGCCGATAACCCAGGCACTCCCCATTGTCCATAAACCGGTAATGTTGCGTTAGCTACAGGATCCATCTTACAATCTCCTGGAAGGTTAAAAAAAGGGGGTATCAAAATTAAATATGTACTTGTCTTTTCAATTTTTCAGTTTGAATGTTTATGGAAAGAAAAATATAAATTCCCCGCCCGCCGACGTGTGTACATGTGGCCTGAATTTTTTGTTGGCCCTAAGGTACTTGCCTTATTTGCCTAATCCGGCACTGGTGGGGAAACAACCAAGTCTTTTTAATTTGCCTATGAGATTCGTCTAATATCTTGACTGTAATAGCCGACATTCTTGGATCACGAATAGTAGATCAGTCGTCTGCTATTTTATTAAATGATAAGACTTGGTTGGACCGAGAAGTCTTATTCGTTCCTATCCAATCAACTTCATATAAAATGGAGGGTGATAATGATTATGCCCAGTATATATTACAGTTTATCATCCAATAATACATTCTACAGTAGATATCGCTTGTGTGATATATTTCATAATAATCTATTGCGATATCTCCTTAGGAGATATCGCTTTACATGAATTTGATTGGTCAGTTGAAAAGGAACTACTTTTTTATTTTCAAAGTACAGTTCATTTCTTATTAAAAGTAACTTTTTTTTTTTATTAAAAATGAACTGTTGTTATTCAATTGACCATGATGGAAACACTGGGTCAATATAAAGGACTTTGCAAAGGTTGAATTGCTGTCAAAAAATGATGTATCACTACGCCGTAATGTTCAGTAAAAGTGAAATCTACAGCAAAGAATTATATTTATCTATTTGTGCACTAAGAAGGGACTGGGTGATAAATAAAATCTCCTACTCGTCTTTTTTGATAAAAAAGACTGGTAGGAGATTCTCTATATATAGTATATGCAATAAGCAGCCTTCCATGGGAGATAAGGCATGAGTCATATTATTTACGAGATGGCCTACCTTAGTAACATTCTGTCACAAGTGTTATATTATCCATACAACAATCTAAGGTAGTCTTATTATGGCGTATTTTATTGAGGTCAACCTCGCTACAGTTATAGCTAAGCGACCACGGCTTGTAGCATGGCTCTTTTAACCATGTAGATATCGCAAAAACCAAAGAGCTAATTAAAGTAGCTAAGTCTCTAACTCAATATCATCTAAAATCTTCAACATTGAAAACATGATTTATTTGTCAAATTAAATCAACAATCATGTTGTGATCTTACCGGAAAAGATGGGCTTTTGATATCCAATATTTAAGACAAAATAAACATTTTACCATTGGTACACGAATCGTGTACAGCCCCAGTTGTATCAAGAGACTCGAGGGACGAGGCTAGACACATTGCATCAAATCAAACGGCGTATGTAGACTGGAATAACCAGACGCTAGAAATTTGCACTCGCTTGAGACTGCTGGCTTATTTCGCCGAACATAACTGATTTGAAATTGGAGTAAAAACGGAAACCACTGAATGTAAATCAGTTTATATACATTCATATTACAGTATTATATGCGTTGCGACCCACTTTTGTCAATTTGTAGGTCCCAAATGTTAGCGATTTAGCTCCTTTAAACACTATAGTTACTGTTTACTCAGTTTTTTTAGTACATTACAACCAAGCTAGACTATTTGTAAAGGAAAACATAGTTGTCCAAATTTGATAAGGATGTTAACAATTCCTGACATGTAAATTATATATCTGGAATAGATAGTCCTAGAATATTGATAATCAACAGGCTTCATCCTATCCGATCACAATGCTTCACAACACATTTAAAAATCAACAGGCTTTATTGTGTGAAAGGGATCATGTTTCACACCAAGTTGTAGTATCGCTAGTTCAGCTTTGAACGTAGGTCTCATACACTCGCCCACACTGATCAGCAGTGAATATTCGCTAGGTAGTCATCTTTTACAGAGATATTAAAAGACTTTCGTAATACTCTGTGAAACAGATTAACACTCGCCCTGTACGTTCACTCGTTCAGGAACCATATCCTATTGAATCCTTGTCGAAACTAAAATCGACCCCAGTCAATTTTACTGGGCAACTGTTTACTGCTAAGCGGTCGCGTGTCAGTCTCTGTGAAGGCCTGAACACTACGTTCAGTGAGCCTGAAATATAGTATCGCATGTTCACAATGTTTCGGATTTTTAAGGGGCTTAACTTCGGAACGGAAGTTGACCGAATGCTGAAAATTCGATAGGGTTCGTTATCTCATGACCCCAATATTTCCTCGCGTTCTCCACCGACTTCTCGCTTTCCGGTTCTTGATTTAGTCGAGATAATAAAATGGCCCTAAAAGGCTTCCATAGTATGGTCGCCGTAAAATTCAATCCCGATTTTGTTAATTCGACCAAGACATCACAGTTCCTTACCACACAGAAAAAAACGTCAATAAATAAAAGCATACCTGATTTACGGTGTGAAAAAATGGTTTAATAGTTCTGAACCACGAACAGGGCTCAGTTTTTTTTAAACCTTTGGCATCTACTGATCTTGTTTGAGATATCACTAAGTAATTTAAGATGGAAGCTGGCGAAAGCTTACCAGTTCAAACAGAGGGTACTCACTTAGCTAGACAAGTGTAAATAAGATTCGATTTGATGTGAAAACACAACTTCTTCGAGACTTTGGTTTGATACGATTTAGTAGCCGGATTTTATATTGCGCAATACTTTGACTGTTGCTATTTCATTGGCTGGTTGGATCTCGCACGAAATGTTTTATGGTGGTCTATTTCCGCCACTTCGCGCCTTTCAAAATACCCAGGTTTTAAGACAATTAACGACTGGCATTCAATTCGGATTACTTATTTCAACGAACAAATCTGATTACAAATACGATAAAAATGTAAATGTGCCCTTTTTGAGCCATTGTAGCTTCCAAAAAGTCAACGCTAAAATGCAGACCATAATCAACCCTCATAGTGCCATCTAATGGGTCTGATTTTCAACAGATTAGAATCCGATCTGCATTTTAATGGGGGTTGATGATTACCCGTAAACATGGATAATCAAGACTTTATTTATTTTTGTAATAACGGTAACAATTACAATTGAGGCTACAGTGTTATTGAAATGAGAATTTCTCGACTAGACTCAAGTAATTTGATTGAAATTTGCAGCATATTCACTTTACATTATCTATTTTTTTTTTTTTAACTATTATAGCATGGACGGTCAGCTCTTTCATAATCTTCCATAATGCCGCTTTAAGCTGCAATATATAAATAACACTCTTTCCCGTTCTAAGGCTATTTTCTAATCCTTACCTTCTATTTTTCACCCGGGTGGCTAGGTGGTTAAGACTCTGGCTCGCTAGCCTGGAGGTTGTGTGTTCGATCCCTGCATTGGCCGAGAAAGATCATCTGGATTTTCCGACGTGGTTTCCCCTGATCGTCAGTGGTGCAGAACGGATGGCCTGACAAGCACAGGTGTCTAATCCTTCGGATAACACGGAAAACCGAGGTACCGTGTATACATTGGAATGCACGTAAAAGATCCCTTGGCAGTTGGAATTCGATATAAGAGTAGGCGATAGTGCCGCTGCCCAGGCAAAATTTCCCTCATAGCACACTGTATGGCGTATGCCCCTCTTCATTACCCCAGTACAGGAGCAGAACAGTAGGACGTTAAACCCCATTTCATTTCATTTCTTTTTTTCACCGATTCTTTTTCGCCAAAAGGAATCACTTCTTTCCACATCTGACACAAATTTATACATAATAATTTGAGTATAATACCTAGATTGTTGTCATCCCCTTTGGTTGAATGCAATTTCTTGTGAACTCTCTGCAGACTATGTTTCTATCAGTGAAACGATGAAGCTTTTGAATTTCCGTTAAGGTCTTTCAGAGTTATGACACTTATTTCACTTTGTCAACGATCTGTACAAGATTTAGACAAGATGAATCCTATTAAATTTCAAAAATTTTCCTTTTAATTGCATCGAGAGATAAAGCCCTTGTTTAATTTTGTGGAATTTTGTGAAAGGTATTATCCGATTTGTTGGTAATTGATATGCATTATTCAAATTAGTGAAATGGAAAAGACTACATGTATGACCATTGAATAATTTATGTTAAAGGGACAATAACACTCTTGCTGGCTTGACAGCTCCAGAAAATAAAAAATAGCCTTATTCTAAGTACTAGATGTGTTAGTGTCCTACCTGTTGTGTAAATTATCCATTCAATCCTACTTTACTTGTCCAAAGGGTTCAAAAATATTTTTAAATCCAAGTCACATTTGAAAAGCTTTACGTCAGGCTTTCCAAATCATTTAGTTGAATTTTTCCAATTTTTTAAATTAGGTGTGTTAAGATGAAATATGTATCATCAATTAATTGGAATATTGTAAAATAATACAATCTGTTGACCAGAATAAAGATTGGGACATATTATTCAGTTACAACAAGAGTGGTATTGAGCCTTTAATTATTACCTCAGTTATGGCTCAAATGATTTTGCTTGATATTTACCTAATGAGACAACCTACAAATGATCTTTATTGTCTTGTGAATGCTCCCATTAACTACAAAGGCACGAAGAAAAAATTAGCTGTAGTTTCTTATGGTAAATTGCATCAAGATACTGAAATTTTAGATTTCAATAACTGACACACTTTGAAAAGTGTGACAATTTTATTTTTCATCAAAAAATACATAAATAGATGTTCATGTAAATATAGATCACAATAATATTACACAGTAAACAGTATGTCTTGTGGAATTAATAACAAATAAACAATTTACATTATATAACAGTATTCAGAAAAAAAATATCTTGTAAAATTAGGGATTTTAATGAACATTGCTCCATTTTTGAAGTTGAGTATTATGTTCATATTTAAGTTTATTGATGTATGTATCATGTATTGAATTTGCCAAGTAATAGATCCAAGGGGCAAAACATCATGCTGGATTTTGGGAACTCCATGAATATTATTATTACATGTAGCTAAGATATATTTCATATTGAAAAAATGTCATAACCTGATAATCTGCTTACATAAGGAAATATTAACCAATAACTAAATGAGATATCACAAATAGACAAAGATCACGATTTATTGCTAGGTTTTTGGCCTTGTAATATACTGTATATATCATCTAGTGCTACTTGACAACTTTCTATAAAACCATGTACATCTCGAGCAGGTGGAAAACTTGTCACATTAAAACCTAGACGATTATCTTCGACAGAGTAACCTGTTAAAATAAAAAAAAAATTATTAATGTAACATAATTTACTAAAGTTTTTAAAAATAAAACCAGTGATTACGTTTCTAGTGTAAGGAAAGATTTGTAATATAAGAATCTTCAATGAAAAAAATGGAATTAAACAGTTAGAAGGTTTAATGGATCCATGTGATTTAAAGCGTTGACACATGGATCCAAAATTTTCACAGTCTACAACAGAATACAATACAGAACAGCTGTATTCATCCGCAAAAAAAAATAGTACCTAAAATTCATGTACATTATATAGGTTTAAACGTCAAATAAGGTCAAATGAATAGAGACGTCTTTAATATATACTAAATATTCATATCATCCCAAATCGACAATAAAACAGTGAGAAAAAGGAAAATCTAAGTAATGGCAATCTAATTAACATAAAATTTACGACATAATCGATTCTTCAATGTTTTGATGGTGATCATGAAGAAAATACATCTGTTCTCAGGAATCCGATAAGATTTTCAAAAAAAAGATCACTAGAATTATAGATTGTTATTCCACAAAGTCGAAAGGTATGTTAGATTTTTCATTCAGTCAAGTTAGAGCGAGTTTATTGCCGTCCTTTGAGCTCCAAACCCGATAGAAATGAAGGCGGAAGTGGCCATAATAGTTTTAGAGATCACTACGTGATGGCGCTCCTGTGTCGCGACAAACAGGGCCGATTTGTCAAGCCAACAGTGAGGCCTTGATGCCATAATAAACAAAATACATTCATTAAGTACTTGCCTATTTATCTTTGATAAAGCATCGAACAATTAAATGGGCTATCTCTCCTTAGCCCAAGCAGAAAATAATCATCATTTAATTTAGTAAATTCTAATTGAGAAAGAGTGATGAAAGTTGGTGTATACCGGTAGTGCATTACATCAATAACTAAGTTCAACTTGAGCTAACCAGATATAAGCAATTTAATTAATTTGTTGATGCTTTGAAACACAAGAACTTTTATTCACTTGGCAGTTTTCATCAACCCTTCCTTGAAGTGTCAAATTTGACAATGAATCCCTCCCATGTGTATGGCGCTATTGTGTGTCGCATATGCAGCTCAGTGGTTCTGTTGGGGCGATAAGTTCTTCATCTGTGAACATACTCTCAAATCATGTCAAGTGTCCATGACTATTTATCATATCACATCCTGCATAGGTATTTGCAGTTCAAACAGAATATCAAACAGTTACATAGATACAACAGGAACTAGTTATATACCCTCCGGCAATAGATAACACTCATGATCATACATGCAATTGTCTCTTTATCAGGTCATGGTATGCTTACTGACCAGTGCATATGCCTTTGAAGTCATGTGGAGCTTGTACACAGATCATGTGTAGTTTGTAAATGACATATGGGATTAATAACATGTTTAATTAGATCATAGCCAGTTCGTGCCTAAACAGAAGTATATACAGAGTTGAAAAGTCAATATAATATATTATCAAAAGCAGCTTAGATCAATAAGTTCTATGCACCTAAATAATCGTTCAATTTGATGAAAGTTATAGAGTACTTTGTCACAATACATCAATACTATAACCAAGTTTGATTACGAGCATTTTCTGCAGAATGATAATTAATTGGATTGCTTGATGCATTATAAAAAGATAAATGTACAAGTAATTAATGAAAAGAGTACCATGCTTGATAACACTAGATCGATCTGTATAATGGGAGGTCCCATTTCTTACGTGGAGACTTTAACATGATGATAAATTTACTAGTACTGTAACCTTTCCACTACCGGAGTTCCGATCCCCAAGTGACAAAATAAAGAAATATTGTATTACCTATACCAAGACCATCAGGAACAACCGGTGCAAAACCTCCTATGAGAACTGATGGATCTGATAATGTAGATGTGGAGAGGATGATATGATTTATATAATTATAGGACGGATCAGCAAATATATCTAGGTTTTTTCCTTGAGCTTCAGCCAGTCTCTTCAACGTGAATAAATGACGATCAAATCCATGACCTATTCAAAAAATGTACATGAAATTAATAACATACTAATATTTCACGTTTATCTAGGACTGCAAAATACACAAATGTAAAGGCACAGGCTCTTCACCATAATCCCACACTTGTATGTGACAAGGAATAAGGTCGTTGTCCAACATCGTTGGTTTTCTACAGGGCCTCCAGTTTCCTCCCATTGTTAAAAAAAAGTTACTAATTTGTTTATAACCATATGATTGACCTAGTTTGCGCCAGTGGACCTTAAACAGAGGCAGATCCATCCCCCCCCCCCCTAATTTTCGACAGTGCCCTTTTTTCCTTCTAAAAGTGCCTTTTCTCAAACCCAAATATGTCCGATGCAGGGATCCCAAATGACTCAAACCATGGACTCAAACACACCAGTCTGGTCATTTTTGCTTTTATTTATATATATTAAACTTAAATGTTGTACATTTCTCTTACCCATTGCAGCATTTTTAGTTAATTCTGAATGAACAGTAGAACACTCCTTAATGGTTGCCTGTAATTCTTCTACAGAGGCAGTTGTGTTTTTATTATATACCAGCTCACACATCTTTAAAGTAGCTAATGTACATGGTCTAATAGTTTCTGTACGGCCATGTTTATAAGCTGATGTACTACATGACTCATATGTTCCGACTGTTTTACCATACATACGATAAAATGCCATCTACAAAACAACAAGCCAACAGTGAGGCTGATGTCCCCCGCCGAAATAGGAAAATAATTAGAGGACACATATAAATTTATCACAAATAAGCGGAACGGACAGACAGACAAACAGACAGACGGACGAACCCATTTTAATAGTTCCCTGCTTTCTTCGAAAGGCGGGGGACAATCAAAGTAGGAGAGTTATTGTTTTCCAAAGTCTCGACCAATCAAATTGCGTATCGCTCTGCTTACCCTGAGCAGAAAATGCTCATTATCAAACTTAGTCAAGGTATTACTGTAATGAAACTATACACCAAGTTTCATCAATCTCACTTAATTAGAACTAAAGTTATCGTGTCCCAAAGCATCAACCAATCAAATTGCTTATCTCTGCTTACCCTAAGCGGAAAATGCTCATCTTCGAACTCCATCAAGGCATTGACCTAATCAACACATACACCAAGTTTGAACATTCTAGCTCAATTAGGAAGAGAGTTATCGTGCCCCAAAGTATCAACCAATCAAATTGCTTATCTCTGCTTACCCTAAGCGGAAAATGCTCATCTTCGAACTCCATCAAGGCATTGACCTAATAAACACATACACCAAGTTTGAACATTCTAGCTCAATTAAAAGTTATCGTGTCCCAAAGCATCAACCAATCAAATTGCTTATCTCTGCTTACCCTAAGCGGAAAATGCTCATCTTCGAACTCCATCAAGGCATTGACCTAATCAACACATACACCAAGTTTGAACATTCTAGCCCAATTAGGAAGAGAGTTATCGTGTCCCAAAGCATCAACCAATCAAATTGCTTATCTCTGCTTACCCTAAGCGGAAAATGCTCATCTTCGAACTCCATCAAGGCATTGACCTAATAAACACATACACCAAGTTTGAACATTCTAGCTCAATTAGGAAGAGAGTTATTGTGTCCCAAAAAGTGTGACGGACAGACAGACGGACGGACGGACGGACGGACGGACGGACGGACGGACGGACGGACGGACGGACGGACGGACGGACGGACGGACGGACGGACGGACGGACGGACGGACGGACAGACAGACAGACAGACAGACAGACAGACAGACAGACAGACGAACCCATTTTAATAGTCCCCTGCTTTCTTCGAAAGGCGGGGGACAATAAAATACTACTGAGAACCTATCGCACCCCATCAAAGTTCAAATTAAAACAAACTAAAACTTTAAGATACTTGTTATTTTAGCATACTAAATAAAAACACCCAAGGAAATTGATTAATTACAATTGCATTTCAAATAATCATTGTGAAAGGTTTTATACATTTTGTTGAAGTGCATATTAACAATGCATCTTAAAAAGAATCTTTGATTGTATTGGTGGCTTGATAATCCCGAAGACAAATTACAACTAATCCTTCTTTCGATTCAACTACACGTTCTGAAATCTGTAACCTTTTGGCCTATTCCATATAGAAACTGAGAGTTTTTATTTTTTTAAAAAAATATCACAGAGACAGAGCATCAGATAACTGAACTGGATTAGGATAAATATTTGAAAGAGACTTTTACCTTGGATTAACCAGTTTTATTCACTAAAATATATCTGGTACTGCTCCTTTAGGTTCTGTTTAGTTAAATAAATCTAAGGAAATATATGTAAGTTTTGATTTATCAAACTATTCATATTTCAGTTTGGCATAGAAATTGTGGAGAAAAAAAAACCCTACCTGTATTGCTAGTTGTAAAACCGAATCAGGACTAAGTTTCTGTTTCTTTATAAACTGACGAGTGTATTTTTGATATTCAAGATGGTGAAAATCTAAAGAATTTATCTTGGCATCAAATTTCTGTTTGGCTTCTGTTATTTTTGTCTCAATATTTCTGTCAAGATTGAATTCTGTAACAAAGAGTATATATTACATTAACTTTAAACCAAGACTGATTTTAAACAGGTTATAGTAAATTGTATATTTAACTAATTTAACAAAGAACAAATCAGGTTCAAATCATAGATCATCATGCATTCATCCGTCTGTAAATTTAGAGTTATAAGTTATTAATTATTATTATTTATTTTGCACCCCATTCACCAAAGTGTACTGTTCAAACAGATTTACAATATAAAATATAGAGGCTAATCCTACAATGTAAAAAAAACCCCTATAAATACCTGCAAAACTAGATGCATATTGTGCATTTTTAAACGCCCCAAAAAACAACAGAATCTTCATGGCATTCATGCCAATAAAGTAGAAAGCTGTGCCCTTTTGAAATACTTTTCTTTTTAAACCTACATTTTTAATTTCAAATGACCTTGCAGCATTTTTATAAATTCTCACATCCTTTTTGAGCTTCTATTTGTACACCTTATATTTAACTGTAATGATGTGGGAATATAAAATTCATGAAACTAAAGTCAGATCTATAATAGTATATAATACATACCTAATCTTTGTACACTTTTAGAGGAATCTATAGATGAGGGACGAGTATCAGGATTGGCACTAGGTTTCTCAGTGGTATCCTTGAATACTTCTTTAAAATATCTTAAAACAGCCACACCATCACCCCAAGCATGCTCAAAATTGACAGCAGCTGTTCCAGCTTTATTCAAAATTAGCATAAAACTTTTTTCAAACCATCTGAGAAAAGACAATTCCAAACTCTAACCATCAGATCTTCCATTTAATGTACATGTATGCAGAGAACATTGCATTTATATGCCACCCAAATTTATTTTTTGGAAAATTAGGAGATCCTGTCTCCCAGTTAGTAGATCCAGAGACGGTCTGTAATACTGGTAGTGTTACACTCCCGCAAACATTGGGAGCTATTACAGGTCGGAACAATGACATATCTTGATTTGGCTAAAAATTATCAATAATTGATATGTCCGTTTAAACATACATTATGCAAGAGCTAAATCTGCCTATTGTAGGTCTTTCTTTAGGTCTGAAATGTTATCTAAATCATTAATTAGACATTAATTAACTTATCCAGACCATAATCAACTCTCGATGTCATCGCTAGCCTGCGATGTTTATTGGATTAGGTTCCAATTTTCTGTTCGACTTCCATTCATGATTTAATCATGAAATGGATAATCGAGACTATGTTTTTTTTATCGTACCGACTTAAGTAATGAACTTAAGTAATGATGATCGAGGCTAGGCCGAAAATTCAATCGCTAAAATCTTGGTTCAGAGTGGGTCAATTTGACTGAAATTTTCAGCAAATTGCCTTTACATTATCTAGTTCTTAACTATTGTAGTGAGAACTGCCACCTCTTTATCTAATCTCCCATAATGATCTTTAACTGTCTGGGATACATATATAACAACTATCAGTTAAAAGTAGACTTCTTCATAGACAACAATTGTGCAATATCATCTCATATCTCTTTACATGTAAAAAAAAAAAAATCTTTTTCACTCAAAACTACCGACCTGTTAATGCCATTACCATGTAAAAAAGCTCTAGATACTTGATTGGGATCAGTGGGTTGGGCATCATCTAATACAAGTGCAAACACAGCACCATCTACTAATTTTAATGTATTCTCATTACCTACAATAAATATTCAATAAATTTATGTTATACTTTGATGTCTATGAATTAAGTGACAGGTCTGCTATTTTATCAAATTCTTGATTGATATTATCATGCTACAGGTGGATCGTACCCTCATTAAACCAAGTATAAAGGTATCTGTAACACCAATAGATGTTAAGCATTTAACATAGTAAAATACACACTTAAAAGTAGTAAGCTGACTTCGAAAAATTGTGCTGACAAGAAAATTAAATCTTAGGAATGTTGTAATATCACTAATTACAATAGTACATCATATCAACAAATAAATTTAAAAATCCTCTCTCATATACCTGCATTAACAAGTTGTTCTCTGACTGTTGCCCATACATCACGATTTTCTGAGGTTAAGATACTAACTGGATATTCTGGACTTGGTGTTTTATCTTCCAGTATATATTTAATATGTGCCATGATGTCTTCTACAGCTACAATATTGCCTGGTAAAAAGAATTATGCTCAGTTAATATGGATTGGCATTACAGATCAAATTTGATAAAGCTTCTATACTTCATATTTCATCATAAAAATAATACAAGCCTAGAAATTATAAATCATACATGAATACAAAATCTATAGGCATTTCATAATAAAATTCATACAAAACTGAATCATTTCATCATGAAATTAATACAAAATTAAATCATTTCATCATGAAATTAATACAAAATTGAATTATATTTCATCATGAAATTAATATAACAATAACATTGAATCATTTCATCATGAAATTAATACAAAATCTAATAATTTGCCATTTTTGCATTGATTTCATATAAAAAAGAAAATCCATCAAATCCTTTCCTTACCGTCTCTATCAAGTACATCAAATAAATAGAGATTTCCATTTCTAAGAACTACAAGATGTTTAGCTGATGGATCAGTATAAAGTTCATCTTTCTTGTGTCTAGGTATCCGAGTCGAACAAAATAATCGTTTATACTGGCTCATATCTAGAGGAAAAGCTTTATACCAGTATGCTCCGTACCATGATAATGCTTCAGGTAACATTCTGCAATAAAAGTTCATAATGTTTACAAATCTTCAAATGAAAAAGTTTGTTCACTGACATAATAACTTTATTATAGTAACATAGTTCCAAACCATATGATGATGTAAATAAAAGTATTAAAATGTGCAATCTGTATTCTTTCCTGTGATGACAACTGTCAATAATAAATTTTAACTCTTAAAATTATTCAGTGATCTCAAAAACATTAAATTAACAGAGAACAGTGTTGACCTAGAACATTCCTTGGGTAGAGAATTTGCCTGGCAAGCAAAAATGTCTAGTAGTCCAGATTCGATGAAATTGTGTGTGTGTGTGTGTGTGTGTGTGTGTGAAATAGCTTTATTTAACGTCTGCTTCCTCTAAAGTGCTATCGCAGACAACTTCGATGAAAAAAAACAAGGTCCTGTTTACATGTATACCATTATCAGCACATTACAGGTCCCCTGAGCCATTGTACGTCATGCAAGATTTTCCTCATAGCACACTGCATGGCATATATGCTCTTCTTCATTAGCCTGGCAAGCACAAAAAAGTGATAACTTACACCCCCTCCCCCCATTTCATTAAACCAACAGAGGCCTGTAGTATTGTCTTTTACTTTCACTTCATAACTAAATGTACAGAAAAGAGAAATTCTAGTGGACAGATTTCTGAACTGCAATTGTATCAAATAAATGTTGTTATACCAAAGCACGGACGGAGTAACATAGTCCGGAACAACAGTTTTTAAATTAAAATAAATAATACAAATGTTTGACTTTTGAGATACTTATATATTGAAAGATCTGGCTTGCATTGCATTTAAGCCAATTATAAACATATTACAGATTATTAAGCTCTTGATATGCACTCGTCGACATAGTCCTTTAGCTGCCACACAGTATTGGTAAATTTCATAACGTATTCTTAAGCATAGTTACATTGTATACCGTCTTTGTTCTTTATGTAGAAAGGAATTACAATTTTTACCTAACAAGACGTCTAAAACTTTCATTGTCACTTTTAGCTGGATTTAAATGAAATACTTCCGGAGATAAATATTCATCTCGTAAAGTTTTCATAAATTTCACTGATGAAACCACCATGTTGGTTGCTCGCAATAACTGTAACAAATATTCAATATCTTAATAAATGTGCCATAAAATTAATCTGAATTGATTGGTATAATATTAAATGTTTAAAAGCAATGACAATTTCAAATCAAATCTGTGGAACCACTAACCCCAAAGTTTCTAAAGATTCTACTGTGTATTACATTCTGAAAACTTCTTCCTTAAAACAGCCAGTTAATCTAAGATACCTGGTTAATGCATACAATATAAGTTACAAGTGCTGGAGACAATTAACACCTCAAAATTAACTATCATAGAAAATGAACTAATTTCTAAACAATCTTGATTCTGAAGACTAAAGGGGGATAACTCAAACAGGTACAATGACCAATAAATAGAGCCATTATAAATTTACATGGATATCTTTAAACAAATTCCTAAATACTCATCAGCTACACAAACAATCTATACAGAAAAGGAATTTAATAGCCCATACAGTGATTATATTTACTACCAATAGATTGGAATTCAGTCTAAGAATTAACTCAAAACTCATACTGCCAAAGTTTTTATGACAAAGCTGGACACCAAAAGATGTAATCTCATTTTAAAGGTTTTTTTTGTGTTAGAATATTATCAGCATTTACTTGATTATTATATTCACGTCTTGGATCATCATTAAATACCATAAAAGGATTGTGGGTAATAACAACAGGTCGTCTGTCTTTCAAATACATATCAAACCATACATCTAAAAGAAAATATGCAAAATATAGTTCTTTCAAAGACATTAATAAAATCTAGCATGTGGCAAAAGTATACAAGGACTTTCAATAGTGAAATCATAGATTTCTTTCCAAGGCATTAATGTGATCTAGCATGTGACAATTTTAACTAAAGTTCTGACAAAAATATACATGGAATTTTGAATGCTATAGATTTTTCTTCTTCTGATTTTTCAGTGTGCTAAACGATGTAAAAAAATCTGTGTTTTTAGATAACTTTTAAACAATGAGCATACATGTAATATTAAGTCCTAGATATACAGTACCTGATACATAATTAGTGTGTTTATTTTTTTTATCTGTGGCAACCAATTCTTCTTGCAATACTGAAATTAAGGAGGAAGAAATTAAGAAAACCATCAACATTTAGAAATTTGTTGAAAGGAGAATTATAAATTAGAGAGAGAAATGGGACCAAACATTCTCTCATCAAAACCCAAAGTGCATGCTCTAGGCCACTTAGTCATTCACATACCCTGAAAGGAAGCTCCAATGACAATTTTTTTACATGGTGGTAAAATTGTTCAACTTTTTCTCACCCTGTCCATCGGTTTCTTGAAAGTTTTTCACCAAAGATTCTGTTCTAGAGTAATCATCTGCAGATAACAGTGGTTTCTGAGAGGCAAGATATCTTTCACAGGTTTTTTCAAGTTTTGGAACTGGCAATCTTGGGAGACTTTTCTGAAAGTGGTAAGTTGGTACAGAACTTTTCTCTAAATATTCGCTTTCAGGGAATCCTCCAGAACTGTAAAATAATTTAATTTAGGACTATCAGATAGCCCTACATGTGCCAACTTCATTAAAACAGCATTAATATGTCACCGGTGACATATAGAAACTATAGTCATGGTGGGTTAATTATATCAAATAATATTTCTACTGAAATTTAAAATCTAGAAATGGCTTTATTATCAATATTAAACATTTGATTTCTGATAAAATACATCTAATATCTAATTCCAATCTACTCTAGGGCCTCGACAATAATATTAACAGGTCTGGTCATTTTCTAGCTATTATCACTACTCACCGCAATTATCGTATTATCTAAGAGACTGCAGATCACTCATCCTTTGCAACCATTTAATTTGAAAAAAAATATCAAGTACTAGGCCTATATATTTATAAAATACCTGTAATATTTTGGGCAAGTTTTCTTCCCTTGTAAATTCTGCAAGAAAAAAAACAAGAAATGAAGAATCAAAATCACAAAATGCATTTCGCCCAAAAAGCAAACAAAAGGGCATTCACATTGAGAAAATAAAATAAATGAAAATGTTCCTTTACATGTTTGACTGCATTTGAAGTTAAATGCTTAATACTGGTAATCTTCAACATCTTTCAAGTTTCAAACACTTCACATTGGACTCGGCGAAAAGAATGAACTTTGGTACGTACTAGTTCAGTAACGAATTAAAATAAGAGTTATTCCCCTTTTATCAGTGGCGCTTGGCAATCAATGGTGAAATAAAATTTATAATAGGAATATAGTAATGCTTTGATTTAAAAAAAAAAAAAAAAAAATAATAATATTTTTTTGTTATCATTGGATTTCATTATATTATTTTAAAAAGTAATGTTTTCACATGTTGTTTATATGACAGTAATGCAATCACTAAATGTAAATAAATGTTTGTGAAGAACGACATTTCGTTTAATAGCCTGTATTAAATTTGAATGTCAGTTGCAACTCCGTTTTAAGATTTACAGAAAATAATTTACTTTCCAAAATTGAATGCATGGCTTCGTGTAGCTCTAGCAAATCTTTTAAATTAGAATACACAATTGTAAAATGGTCCAGTTATTCACAGAGTTACCCTCCAGAGTAAGTTACATTCTTTAATCAACAACGTAATTGGGTAATGACGATTAGTTCAACTTGATTGAGTTATTGTGTTGACAGCAACTCTACTTTTGTTTTATTTTATTGACTTGTTTTTTTTTTTGCGGGGATGGGGGAGTCACTGGCTCTATGATAATAATTCTAATCATGATTTCCTTTACAATCACAATCTGTGTAAAAATTGTTTCTATAGGCTAGATCAACATGCATCATATTGACAGAAATGATGCGAGTAACTAATTATGTTCAGGACAGTAGAAGTACAGACTACACAGAGTACAGTAGAAGCACGATTTACCCAAATCCATCATTATTTCATCTAAAATGATAATAAATTATATCTATATTTGATGTAGTTCAGCTCTGAACGTAGGTCTCATTACACTCATCCTGTACGTTCAGGAACTGCCTATTGAATCCTTGTCAAAAAACTTTCGAACCCTAGTCAATTTTAATTTATTTTTTTACTGGGGAACTTTTTACTGTTAAACAGTCGCGTGTCAGTCCCTGTGAATGCCTGTACAATGTAAAGTAACATTTTAGTGAGAAAATAAGACATTGCTAACCTTGCTAGAAACTAGAATCATTATGTATGACACAACATGCTAAAAATACCTCCCCTTCTGCTAAACGGCTTAGCAGAAGCCATTAAAATCTAAATATAGGGTAACGCACAAATTTATATAACTCCGCCATATAAGATGAAACAAACTTTAGGTAGAAAAGGCATATATATATATACCTGTATAAGTCTGGCCTGTAAATGCATGCATGAATTATGAATGGTGTAGAGGTGTGAAAATGCATAGGAATGCAGGGGACGTAGAATCCCCTGAACCTTTTGAAAGATTGAAAATCTAAAAAATAGTTGTAAAAAGTCATGATTACTATTTTAGGAAATGAATCAGAAGATTCAAACTGTTAAATTACAACTTAAGCAAAATTATAATTTATGCATACGGTTACTACAGTGTAAACTAGGGTAGGATGGCATATCATATATATATCATTTTTATCAATTATTCTTTTTCTTTTTTAGGAATATTTACTCAGATAAAGCTGGTGATCAGTCATCAAGATGGTCATCTGACTCTAATAATCCTCCTCAGGTATTTTTGATAATCTTTTTAAATCATATTCATTTTTAATCATATTCCTTTTAATTATGATAATCCATATAGAATCCATAAAAAACTGTCAAGTTCATGTATATGTCCTCTATGTTATTTAAAAGCTTACAAATCTAGATTGAACACATCTTTAAGAATGAATAACTTCTGTGTAATATATAACGTTCAGGAGTGTCTTGATACAGTGATAAAGGAGATACATAACATTCTAAATGTTTCATATATTATCAAATTTGCTGAATAAGAGGTTATTGATTTGGGTCTGTCTCTTTATCTATCTTTAACACTTGTAGCTTTTAGTTTGACAACCAATATCATTCACATATATTCCAGTATGGTTACTTAGGTTTCTAAAACAGTGCTTGTGTATTGGTAATGGAATGTAGTCTTTACTACATATTTTGAAGTAATGGTCATGAAAAAATCTGTTTGTTATTTTGTGGGTGAAAACATCCTCTAATTATCATCTGTTTATTTTATTTGGAAGTGGAATTACTTGTTCTTTCAGTATCTTATTTTGAAATTGGAAAAACCAGCGATAGTGGAATCCATCACTTTTGGAAAATATGAAAAAACTCATGTATGTAATTTAAAAAAGTTTAAGATATTTGGTGGTTTGTCAGAAGATCATATGATAGAACTTTTAGAAAGGTTTGATACATTTTTATATTTATACTATTTTTAGTATAGATTTGAATTTAAAAGATCCAGAGGTTACTTTTCTTATTATGAATAATACAGGTCACTGGGAAAATGAGATACCGAAATGGTAAATATATTCTGGATTAAAGTAAAATTTCAATACTTTGCAGGCCACGAAATTTCACGCTAACGATACCAATCGGTTACGTGCGGTCGCGCTAGCTCAAAAACACGCGACCGATTTCCTGGTTACGCAAATTGAAATATCGGTTACGTTGACAAATTTCATTAACAGATTTATTCACATTTGATCAATTTTTATACAGGATGACTTTGTGACACGGGTCTAAATTATTTGTATTATAGCACAAACTCCATTCATTCATTCTTGGCATTTCATTTCTCCATTTTACCGGTACTTTGACAGATCACGTATTTTGACTCCACGTAGGCTATTGACCAGTTGCAAGCACGTTGATTTAAAAATGCCCCTCACTCCTAATTCTTTAAATGATTAGTTATGCCATAAATTTTGAAAGCGTACCTTTGGATTTTAAAACACAAAATGAGAAATGAGTTTGACTATTTAACATGTCGGCTATATTTCCAAAGAATTTACTACACATGTTCCTTTCAGTTTTCACTATAGCCATGCTGTAGTACCAATGACCCATATGTATGTCGTCAACTTTGACCCCCTCCCCGGCATCGCTCGGGCGATAATGTAAACGATTTTACTCTCCTGTCTATTTTAATATTATTTCATGACATCAAACTATTCTGTTTCCTTTTGAAACTTTGTGTATAGAGTGCCGAGGTTTATAATAAATACTGTTTGTCAATCAGTCGCTATACCTATGAGTGAGGCTATCGCATGCTACGTGCTTGGATGAATGACAAGTGTGATATGAAGTACGCATGTAGTCTTCAGTGACCGAAAACAATGTGGTAGCTACCATTCCTGGTTTTTGAAGGTCAGATATGATATAAAAACGAAAATCCATTAGTAATTTTTGGAACCGATTCCCCTCATTATTAAAATGTAGGGATTTAGTGAAATGGAACATTTTTTTATACGCCCACATTTTCATGTGGACGTATATTGTCGTCGCCCCTGTCCGTCCGGACGTCCGTCCGTTCGTCCACAATTTGTTTGTGGACTCTCTACAGGTCACAATTCTTGTCCGATTTTGACGAAACTTGCAATACAGCTTTATCCCCAAAAAATCTTGTCTGCTTTCGATATTGGCATGTATCGGATCGAAACTTCATGGATTATGGCCCCTGTTTGTACGAAAAGTCACGTTTTTAGCTTGTGGACCCTATAGAGGTCACAATTTTTATCCGATTTTGTTGAAACTTGAAATGTAAGTTTATAACCCAAAGATCTCAGTTCCTTTCGATATTCGGACATATCGGACTGTAACTTCCTGAATTATGGCCCCTGTTTGTACGAAAAATTGCGTTTTTAGCTTGTGGACCCTATAGAAGTCATAATTTTTATCGGCCCAAAATTGACAGACAAAATGGCCGCCGTTCGTTCTCAAAAAACGTAAAAATATGGTATATCAAGGTTGTGGACCCTATAGAGGTCACAATTTTTATCCAATTTTGTTGAAACTTGAAATGTAAGTTTATAACCCAAAGATCTTGGTTCCTTTCGATATTCGCGCATATCGGACTGTAACTTCCTGAATTATGGTCCCTGATTGTATGAAAAATTGCGTTTTTAGCTTGTGGACCCGATAGAGATCATAATTTTTATCTGATTTAAAAAACGTATTATTATATCACCGTTACACCCTAAGGACGACTGAGTTCGAATTTCGTTAAAATCGGCCCAAAATTGACAGACAAAATGGCCGCCGTTCGTTCTCAAATAGCGTAACAATATGGTATATCAAGGTTGTGGACCCTAAAGAGGTCACAATTTTTATCCGATTTTGTTGAAACTTGAAATGTAAGTTTATAACCCAAAGATCTTGGATCCTTTCGATATTCGCGCATATCGGCCCGTAACTTCCTGAATTATGGCCCCTGATTGTACGAAAAATCGCGTTTTTAGCTTGTGGACCCTATAGAGGTCATAATTTTTATCCGATATAAAAAAACGTATTATTATATCACCGTTACACCCTAGGGTCGACTGAGTTCGAATTTTCTGAAAATCGGCCCAAAATTGACAGACAAAATGGCTGCCTTTCGTTCTCAAATAGCGTAAGAATATGGTATATCAAGGTTGTGGACCCTATAGAGGTTACAATTTTGATACGATTTTGATGAAACTTGAAATACATATTTATAACCCAAAGATCTTGGTTCCGTTCGATATTCGCACATATTGGATCATAACTTCCTGAATTATGGCCCTTGATTGTATGAAAAAATCACTTCTTTTTTTGAACTTGTTCTCTGTCCATCTCTTGCAAAATGTGGGCGTATCTTGCATGGCAACCGCTTGTTCTAATGTTTTATTTCTTTAAAAAATACATTCACTGCAAGTGGAAATGAATAATAGCACCATTTAAATCTGGATAAAACATGAAAACAGCGCAACCATTTTATGTAACCAATTGGTTACGCAATGATCATCTGGCATAACCAAAGAAAATGGTTACGCAGAGCATAAACCCGCAACCATTTTTCTGGTTACGCCAAAATTTGAAATTTCATGGCCTGCTTTGTCATCATCCTGTACCCATAACTAATAATTAAAACATTAACACCAATTAATGATTGGAAAATGGCGTAACTGGTAACTGAATTACGATTGATGTTATTTGTATTTGTCTGATAGAAAATATATCTACATATTTTTACTTTTTTTGCAGCGGCCTGAAAAATGACCACATACCTGAAACTTTTCAACTTAGAAATGAAATAGATAATCATCATTTTCCTTGTAGATATATAAAAATAGGTAAATATTCATATTCTGCATGAAATAGAACTTTTTTTTTCTAAACAATATTTATTCACAGAAACTGGATTGGAGAACAGGCAGAAGCCTATAGACCTCCTCTCTATAGAAATCTGAAAGTATACAGAGTTGACAAATTACTGAAGACTATTCCTTTAAAGACATGGCAAGCAAAGCAAAACATAAGAATAATTGTTATTTTAGGACTATTTCTTTTAATTTAAGTCAATATTCACACTCCTTATGGGTTTCAGAATAATCTCATATTGCTGTCAACCTAATCAGAATGTTGTCACTGCACACTAGCTACTGCAGTCATTAGTACATAACACATGGCCACAGACCGTTATCAAAATCAAACTTTCTTTGATGAAGTCACAAAGTGGAAATTCTTATAAACATAAGTGGAGAAAATGGTATCAAATATCTTATTCAGATGGTGTCTTCCAGGAATTATTAAAATGAGTTTTGATGACAGTTAATGCTAGATTTTGCAAAAACCTGGGTTGTGTATTGGACTGAAAACATAATTGTGTCAAACTTGGCCACTGAAATAGAACTTCAATGGTGTGAAAACCTTGATTGTTAATTATAAAATGCAGCATGCACGACTTTAGTATAACACCTGTATGTTTACTTTTTGGTTTGATTTATTTAATGTTTTATTTCAGTACCTACGCAGGCGTGGGGTCCAAGTTTTAATTTTAGTATTTGGTATGTTGAATTGAAAGGTGTAAATGATTGGGAATCTGTTAAAACTTGTATGAACTGGTATCACACAGTAAGTAGTTTAAATGAAATGAAACAGGGTTTAACGTCCTATTTATTTTCTGCACCTCCTGGGCTGAAGCGCATGCCATTGTGTACACAGGAACTCTATTTTTTATCCCATCCAAATGATTAGTCACTGTTTCTTGCCAGTCCATACGTCCTGCTCCATTGACATGGGGAAACCACGCTGAATAATCCAGTGGAACTTGTTCCTCGGTTCGGAAATCAACTACCATCCAGAATCAGAAACCTTCACTTTTTTCAAATCACAACTAAAGACTTAGTTATTCAAACTATCTTAGTAACTTTTATTTGTGTTGTGCTTTGATCATGCATTTTATGGATGGAGTATAGTGTATTATAAATATACATCATATTATTACTGTTAACCACTGTTCTTAATCGGCTGTTTTTTGTCAGCTTTAAATTTAGCTGAGTGATGTTTCATCTAACCGATTGGTAAAACAATAAACTGGCCACTATGGTATCATAAATCAATATATTTTTGGCTAAATTACAACGGGTTGATTTTCTACTTGGTAATTAAGAAGTCAATCAACTTGCTTGTCGGCTACAACAGTCATACCTTAGTGAGAATCGGCCACGCGATTCATAATCCGAGTAATTAGCATATTTATGGTAATTTTGATAATCCGGTAAAAAAACTAAACGAGCTAGCTGATTATCCAAAACAGATTCAGTAAGCTGAAAATAAGCACATGGCGAGAGAAGACGATCTCGACATGGTTTGCGAATCGTGCGTCTTCAAAGCTCCGTATGAATTCCAGGTAACGGTAGATATTAAAAAAATAACCGAATCATACACTAATGGATTCACTGAACAGTTGTTAGGTAAATTTAAATGTTCATTGAATATAGTCCCCTAATAGAACACCGAATACACTGAGAAACATTCATTAATAATATATTTTCCCTAGAGAATCTCCAATGCTGAATTCCAATGACACGTGACATATCTGTTGGAATCATAGGATGAAATTAGGTCAATAAACCAGTTGTAAATGGCGTTTAGTGTTATGATTTTTATTTTATACACAAGATGACGGAGACTTAACTTAAAAAATATTGTCCCTATTATTGAAGGCTATATGGAATTTTTTTTTAGAGCAATTTCAATTATGAATGTCACTTATTCATTGTGCCGTTTGTCTATCATCGACGAATGAATAAAAACTTTTGCAAGTTACATGACTAGTTACGTGATAGACAAAAAACTACAAATTGTGTTATGAAGAAATAACATGGTGCCATCAGCTTATTTTGGCTACAGCATTTTCTGATACTGGCAATAGTAGAAAAATGCTAATATTTTAGATCATTGACTGATGAAACATGAATGTTTCATCGAATAAATGAAGACAGTAATTTATTCAGGAATATTTCTGACTTAAACCTCAAGCCGGTACGTGAATTAAATATGGAAAGTTTTCAAAAGGTGTACCTATTTGTCTTTATTTTTGTGGAAATCACATACATTAGAAAACAACATTCTCCATTTCAAATCAACAAGAATTATTTTTGTTGAAGTCTGGTTATATTAAATCTGATTAAAACACAGATCCAATTTCGTTTCGTTTTTATAGTTCAAAATTTCGATTTTACTTGTCTTTACTACACTTGGATCTGGAAGCATTGTTATTTAACTCGTGTTCTGCTTGAAATGAGGGGTCAGCCAATCAAATGGTCTGTCGAATCGAGCGTTTGACCTTTTTTGTGCAGAACTGTGGGTAGACATTAGCGGCAATAGAAATCAAAACAAAGCAAAAGTAGATAAAAAATACATGGCGGTCGCTAATTGGTTAATCGAATGACTGATGTAATCGGGTCAAATGTCGCTTGCTTGGTACCTGACGTCATAGAACATGAACTTCCACTATTACTTGTTAGATCTACATGTAGTGTAGGCCATCGAAAGTATAAAAAACGAAACGAAATATAGATCTATACTTTAATTAGATTAGGTTATATTAAAGGGAATGGAAGCTTATTATTAACCTATTTCCTACCTGGACATCATTTCACCGAATTCTGGCCGGTTCTCTTCAAAATTGATTAGGATCCCTGCTCCTAACAGTGTTTGGATGTTCAGTAATTAGAAGAATCTAAGGTTATTTTGAATATGATATTATTTAGAATTAATTACATTTATTTTTTTAGGATGAAACTAATTATGCCACCATATTTCCACATAACTACATTGTTAGTGTTTAAACGTAAAATATATATGATCGTGACCTTGGATTATCAGTAAGCAGGCATTTTATGTCTAACAGTAATAATATAAAAAGCACCCCTTTTTGTTTGTGTCATTTATTTTTATTAAATGTAGTTCTATTTTTTTTTGGGGGGGGGGGGGGAAATAATTTTGTGATTCTATTCCTGTTATATAAAGTGTTATGTTTTTTTTTCAGTATAGGGAAAGAGAGGCAATAAGATTATGTTTAAAACATTTTCGACAACGGCAGTATTTAGAAGCATATGATGCTCTTCAAAAGAAAACAAAAATAGTTTTAGAACATCCAGTTCTAACAGAATTACACAACTTATTAGTAAGTTTTGTCTTTATAGTCACCATACGATATACACAACCCTCATAATTAGGTAAAATGTATCACCACAAGCACCACAGCAATTTCTGTGACATCACTGCAATTTGTCATGTCACAGAATTTGGACTGTTTATTGTTTGAAAACTATATAAAAGATATTGCAATACAGTCGAACCTATTGTGATTTTGGTAAACTATATACTTGACAGTTTGGATATAGTCATGTTTTTTATTCTAAAGATATTAGGATAAGTAGAGCTCACAGGTATTTTAAGACATTAATAAATGAAGTGATTGAAATGTGTGTTTTATTTAACACCACCAAAGTAAAGAATTCCCAAATAGTATTCAACTAAGAGTTTACAAACATTACATATAACAACATACTTGTGAAGTTGATGTTCTAAAAAAATCTTCAATTATCATTCCATGATAACTAGTAGTAAGATAAAAATTACTGACAAATATAACATGTGACAAGGCACCATTTTAGCAAATAACTCTTTTTTATTTACATGAATAAACTATAATGTTAAGTATGTTAATAATAATATATTTGACAAGGCACCATTTTAGCCAGTAACTCTTTTTTGTACATGAAAAAACTATAAAGTTAAACAGGCATTATACAAGAGCTAATCTGCCTATTTCAGGTCTTTCTTCAGGCCTTAAATGTTATCTTAATTATTAGACATTAATTAACTGACTCTCTTTGCCATCGGATGGCTCCGATATTAATTAGATTTGAATACATTTTGCTTTTGATAATTTACTGTAAAAATGGATAATCGAGACTTTGTTTATTATCGTAACAATGGTAGCAATGTCAATCAAAGCTACACTGCACTGTTCTAACGACGATAATGTGGCTCAGAGTGATGTAATTTAACTGAAATTTTGAACATATTCCATTTTCATTATCTATTTTTTAACTATTATATCGAGAACTGTCAGCTTTTTGTCCCCCGCCTTTCGAAGAAAGCAGGGGACTATTAAAATGGGTTCGTCCGTCTGTCTGTCTGTCTGTCTGTCCGTCTGTCTGTCCTTCTGTCTGTCCGTCTGTCTGTCCGTCACACTTTTTGGGACACAATAACTCTCTTCCTAATTGAGCTAGAATGTTCAAACTTGGTGTATGTGTTTATTAGGTCAATGCCTTGATGGAGTTCGAAGATGAGCATTTTCCGCTTAGGGTAAGCAGAGATAAGCAATTTGATTGGTTGATGCTTTGGGACACGATAACTCTCTTCCTAATTGGGCTAGAATGTTCAAACTTGGTGTATGTGTTGATTAGGTCAGTGCCTTGATGGAGTTCGAAGATGAGCATTTTCCGCTTAGGGTAAGCAGAGATAAGCAATTTGATTGGTTGATGCTTTGGGACACGATAACTTTTAATTGAGCTAGAATGTTCAAACTTGGTGTATGTGTTTATTAGGTCAATGCCTTGATGGAGTTCGAAGATGAGCATTTTCCGCTTAGGGTAAGCAGAGATAAGCAATTTGATTGGTTGATACTTTGGGGCACGATAACTCTCTTCCTAATTGAGCTAGAATGTTCAAACTTGGTGTATGTGTTGATTAGGTCAATGCCTTGATGGAGTTCGAAGATGAGCATTTTCCGCTTAGGGTAAGCAGAGATAAGCAATTTGATTGGTTGATGCTTTGGGACACGATAACTTTAGTTCTAATTAAGTGAGATTGATGAAACTTGGTGTATAGTTTTATTACAGTAATACCTTGACTAAGTTTGATAGTGAGCATTTTCTGCTCAGGGTAAGCAGAGCGATACGCAATTTGATTGGTCGAGACTTTGGAAAACAATAACTCTCCTACTTTGATTGTTAGACTATAAGTAAAGATATACTGTTTGATTGTTCAATACTTTGTAAAAGATAATTTGTGATAAATTTATATGTGTCCTCTAATTATTTTCCTATTTCGGCGGGGGACATCAGCCTCACTGTTGGCTTGTTTATCTAATCTTACCTAAGTAATACCCCCTTAAGTACATGTATGTTAATAATAATACTTTTGATAGGATGAATAAGTTTATTATTGTTAATATTCTATTTATAGGTAACTAAAGGTCATTATGATGACTGTGAACAGCTTGTTTCTAAGGCATGTCAAGGTATGTTGATTCATAATAATTTAATTTTGATCAATAAACTATAACACATAAACTATATTAATCATTGTCATTGAAGCTGACGGATCTCGATAAATTGATTTTTGTAAAGATGAATAACATCCGTTGAGGCCGAGCGATGTATTTCTGACATTTTTTGGGGTGGAAATAAATATGTAGTTAGAGAGAGTGATTACGAAGGACCGAGGTGAGCAATAAAATACGCCCCCAGATTAGGATTCAGGTGAGACAATGGAGCACAAAGCGACAGCGCACATGAAATGTGTATAGGCCTGAAATAGTACATCTGAAACGTTTTATTCAAGCATTTTACGTTTCCACCAAACCCCACTCAAATTTATAGAGTATTGTCTTTCCAATTATCGCTTTATAAAGTTTGATTAAATTTATTTTAATATTTCTAATAATATTGTCATTTAGAGGGATTATTTGACCAATATGTTAGTCAACAAGATTACGTACCTGTATGGAACTCAATAGAACCTGTCAGTAAAAATAATGGTAACTATTATCTTTATGTTATACTTTTTAACATAAACCTTTTAGTGTGACTACCAGTATAAATAATAGTTTAGATATGGTAACAGTAAGGCCATTAAAAAATACATTCTGGTTTTTCAGACAATCCTTCCTGAAAATCTGATGCAGGAGAGAGGTTTTGGAGGGGGGGGGGGGGTTGTTGTCAAAGGATCACTACTGGGCTAAATGACTTCTCATAATAGTTTCAAGACACTGCATTTATCTTGTCACATGGGTATGGTTATCAAGTATTATTTATGATTATCAATAACATTTATTAGGGTTGCATATTTGATACTTGAGTCTATGGTACATTAAAGAGACTGTTTTTATTTTTTTGAAATAAAAACTAGTCATGCGGCTCTTTTTAAGTGACACAGGGCGTTTGGGAACCAGGATATTTTTTTTATATGGCCTAATAGTACAAGACTGTAAATAGTATGATCGAGTAATGTAATATAATGTTCTTGGTAAACTACTTTACACAAAGAACCTACTAAGACAAGACAAATTTAAAGTTTTACAACTGCATGAACTTTCAAAACCACAGCATCTATTTCAAATGAGAGCTCAGGCCATGTGGTATTGGGTGTTCTTGAACTAAGAACTAAAAAGCCTAACATTATTATATTGTACCTCGTGTATGACAGCCATCACCACATCTGTGTGTTTATATCAAAGTAATCTAAAAAAGGTCTGATTCTCTCTGTCCTGTAAGTAAAAATTGGAATGTTGTAAATCTATTAATATTGTTTCTATGTTTGAGTGACATAACTCTCTGTGTATTTGATGTATTACAATTGTCTGTGTTATTTAATCAGTAGGTAATGAATGTAGACCAGGTATGAGGGGAGGACATCAAATGTGTATAGATATACATACAGGTAAATTACCATATATTACTTGTCTAAACTTCTCAAATCTGATATTTGCTAATATCATTTAATATCATGATTTTGAAAATGGCAGATCACTATGGTAAACTAGGGATTGAATTTAAGAGAAATCATTTTTTCATGAATACAAGTTGAACAATTAAATCTTTGGTCTTTAGAGAGTATGGTTGCCAGATATAAATAAGCTTATAATTTTATTACAAAGAATATGGCCAAACAGCTGGTTATATGTATTTAATTCATAAGATTTTGTATGTATGTCATGCACCTTATTACCTTATTGATATGCTATACTTACAGAGATAATATATTTGTTTGGTGGCTGGGACGGTAATCACGATCTAGCAGATTTATGGGCCTATCATGTTCCCTCCAAAAATTGGACCTGTTTGTCTCGAAATACTGAAGAAGAGGTAATTGAAATAAATATTTCATAAATCCAATCCATTTGACAACTTAGGAAAAACAAAATGTTCATAAAATATAAAACTGTAGCGTTTTAAAATTAGCAGCATTTTATTGAGATAAATGACCAAAACAAATTATTATTTATTTGTTTTTTTCCTGAAAGGGTTGATAAAAATATAAGAGTGGATTATTCCGACATTTAAAAATTAATAATTAGATCTTAATAAGTTCTAATTTATACAAGATTGGAGATATTGGATCTTTATATGATGCTCCAGCTATAAGCTAAACTGCCAAAATTTTTAGTTTTTGCAAGTATCAATGGTTTTACATGGAATACCAAATAACATAGAATTAAACACATCTAAACAAAAAAACGAGTATCGAACAGATCAAGGTCCTTGTGGCGTCAGTTGATTAATATTTGCATATTTTTCTCAGATGATAATAGCCAATTGTATATATATTCTTGATATCTTGTTTAATCTCTTAGTGTTAGCTATGTGAAATGAGAAGTGGTATCTAGCTAGGACTCATATTATTTATTTCAGGGTGGTCCTAGTGCTCGTTCTTGTCATAAAATGTGCCTAGATTATGAAAGGAAACAGATTTTTACTCTTGGAAGATATTTAGATGCCTCTATGAGAGCTAGTGAAAATTTAAAGGTATAATGTTGACTCAACTGTCATTAATTCCTTAGTCATATATTAATATATCTGGTTGAAAGATTTCTCTCTTCATACAGTTTGCATTTGAATAATTATTAAGTTCATGGAGATCATTGGGTATACACAAGAGAAGCAGCTTAATTAAAGTTGAAGGTAATCCACGAACAGTACAGTCAAATTTTACATAACCCATGTCCTGTGCTTAATCAACTGTATGGTCGCTGGTGGCTTTAGATCATAAGGTCTGTCATTGAGTAAAGTGGCATGGTTTCAATCCCACACTTGTACGTGGGAAGGAGAAGGTCGCCTGCCTAACCTCTCGTGTTTTCTCCTTGTCTCTCCCACAGCTAAAGATCCCTACAGTACATGCAATCAAATTATTGAAATAAAATTGCTTATGTTTGTCTCAAAATGACCTGGTTTGTGTTGAGTGGATGTTGAACCAAATTTCTCTCTCTTTTGTTCAACCCTTGGCCACCACATTCAAAAATGTCTGTATATGTATGTTTAATCCAGATGTATTCATTTTATGTTTGTATTATAGTGTGATTTCTACATGTATGATATTGGTTCAGCAAGATGGACGTTAATAACAGAAGATACAGGATCTGTTGATGGACCTAAACTAATATTTGATCATCAAATGGTCATTGACATAGAAAAACAGAATATGTTTGTATTTGGTGGCAGGATTCTCTCCAGGTAAAATAATCGTAATTATTGTGAATTGGTGAAATTAGGAATACCATGAAAGTGAGGTTTAATGGCCTACGGGCATAAGGTCTGTCATTGAGTCAAATGGCAGGGTTTTCATACCTAGTTTGTATGTGAAGAGGATTTTGTCGAATGCCTAACCTCATGGGGTGTTTTACTCTTAGCGGGTCGTTTCATGGCCTAAAATTGAATCGCTAATATTTAGGTTAAGAGTGAAGCAATTTGACTGAAATTTTCAGCATAATCTCTTTTCATTATCTATTTTTTAACTATTATAGCGAGAACTGTCAGATCGTTATCTAATCTCACCTAATGTTGTCATACAGTACAACCTGGTATATATAAAATTATTGTATATATATTATAGTTCTGGAAGTGATAGTGAAAGATCTAGTCATGAACCTGTATTTAGTGGTTTATATTACTATCATATACCAACCAGTACTTGGACACAATTAATGGAAGATTGTAAAGAATTACGATCGCGTATAGGACACTCCATGCTGTTTCACCCGGTTAGTTCATTAAATTTATAATGAAATTTACTTAATTAGTTACTGTGTAGAGTTCATGTCACATCCTAAATACCGGTATACTTTTTCCATATCCCCTGGTTACGGTATAATTTGTTCAAAAAAAGGATGGTGAACTAGTACAATCGTTATTTTATTACTCATTAGTTACCCGACGTTGCATAGTTGAAAAATCTCCATTTTTTAACATCCATGATAACACAATGACCATTAATTGTCGGTTTCATCATTAAATACTTCATCAAATACAAAATAAATAGCCCTTTTGAATTTCTTGTGAAACAACTAGTTATTCTGAAATTATTTTAAAATTTAAGAAGTTCAGCCATATGGTTTCATAGCACAAACAAACAGGCAAAATTTCTCTTTTATATAATTATATATTAATATGTAGAATTGAATCAATTATATTGAAAACTGGTTTTACCTACTATCAAATGATAAAAATTAGAAATTTGAATGAGATAATATGCATCTTATTTGTGGCTTTATATGTATATTTTCAGGTCCGAAGGGTATTATATATATTTGCTGGTCAGAGATCTCGAGAGTTTTTAAATGATTTTTTAATCTATAATGTAGATACAGGTTCTATAGATGTTATATCTGATACGAAACGGGAAGGTTGTCAGGCAGGTTAGTCTGCTTAAATATTCTAGTAACAAAAAATAACAACAGGAATTTAAGAACATATTTAAGGCTTGAATTGCATCATAAAAACTCAGATTGCCTGCGTCAACTCAGGTTTTTTGTCTGTTGTTTTGTTTATACTCACTGCAAAAGATCTGTTCAAGCATGCATATTATTGATGTTATAGTATCCCACATGTTAGTTCCAAAATGATCTTGTTGTGATGAGGAGGCATTAGAATGCATTTCTCTGTTTGTTAATAAAAGTAATGAAAATGTTTACTAAATCATTACCTACTACATTCAAAATGGTATCTGTTATAAGTTTGTTAGATTTGACTTTCATGAATTTATCAATAATGTTGATATGTTTTTTTTGTTGTTTTTAGGATTTACTCAGAGAGCTACATTAGATCCAGAATTAAATGAAATTCATGTTTTATCTGTAAGTATAGAAAACCTCTCTCCTTCATTCATATTGTATTGTTTATATGTTTGATAAGATTATTACTTAAATATTTGGTATATTTTTCAGGGTTTAAGTAGAGATAAAGATAAAAGAGATAATGTAAAGAATTCTTTCTGGGTTTATGATATCAACAAAAATAGATGGTAAGTGTCAACTTTGAACCAATCAGTAAATCAGATAATGACTTTTATTGGTTTTTTTGGGGGTTTTTTAAACAATAGTTTATTCAGATTTGTATCTGAACAGGGATTGGGGAACAGGTATAGCCTATATTGGACCTGTGTTTTACTGTTAAAGCATATTATTCTACAAAGCAATAAACGAAAAAAAAAAGATTTTTCTATAATCTGTTTTATTTCTCAGATGATTAACTTCTATTGCTAAAGCGTTCACAAGAGTCTACAAAATGATAAATGACCATAATTGCTGAAACTCAGTAGACTTCATCTAACTAATATAAGCAATTCATATATATATTTTAAAAAGATTGAATGATAAATGTAAAGTATTCACAAGGAATTGCAATGTGGGAGCATAAAGGGGAGTGATTATTAGGGGAGTGATTATTATTATTATGCAGTCTTGTAATTATGACAGCTGACCCATGCTATGACCTCTCATTATAACAACAGTGATAACAAATCTGTAAACTATCCAAGCAGTCAAATTCTAACTGCATATAGTCTTTCTCTGTCAGTAAAAATGCATGAAAGTAATTGAGTCTTTCCAGACCTTTGCTGGCAGAGCAGGATAGCTGGATTATCAAGACTAGTTGTTTACAAATGTTGTTTACAATATTCCAAGACAAATTGCAAGATGGTCGCCTTTTGGAGCCAGTTATTACTAAATCGAATACATTAGATAACAACATAAATTGATTATTTCCAATACAATAATTGATGATCATTTTAAAATTTGTATATCTAGGTCCTGTATTTATAAGAATGAAAATACAGGTCAGAATTATTGGACGAAGATGCAGCATGTTGAACCTGTCCCTAGATTTGCTCATCAACTTGTTTATGATCATGTCAGAAAGGTAAATATTGGATCATTAACAAATAGATCTGAATGTTTATATTTATATTAGATACATGTAGTATAATTATTTTGTAAAAACAGTTGTGGCAATTGTATAAAATTAAAAATCAGTGAATGTACATAAATAGGTGACAGGACTAAACCTTACCAGTAAAACCCCCAACATTTAAATAAAGTACTGAAAAAACCCTGGTTATTTAAATAAAATACTGTTGTACGATAATAAACAATCAATGTCACATATTGTTATAACTCCAAACAGTGTTAACTTGCTCAGAATAAAGTAACTTGAATGAATTTTTCAATACATTCATTTTGCATTATCTATTTTTGAACTATTATAGCAGGAACGTCCAGCTATGTATCTAAATCTTACATAATGCATCTTTAATAAGGCAGCAGCTACTACAAATTCATAAGAATAATGTCAAACAGGATTTTACCTAATGCGTTTTTGTCACAGATTTTACTAGCAGTAACCAGTGCCTTTCACGAAAATATTGCTAGTTTTGCAAAACATTTTTAAGTACATGTATGTTACATTAAATTGGGATGCAATTTAATAGTGCAATAGGGTTAATCACACATCTTTGTAAGAATTTGGTACCTAGTTGTTTCTTGCTTTTCATAAAACTCAATGAGTGATATAAGTTTTTATATTTATGTACATTATTTATTTGTATTTCTTGTTATGTTAGGTACATTATTTATTTGGAGGTAATCCTGGTAAAGATAGTTTACCTAAAATGAGATTAGATGATTTTTGGTCATTAAAGGTAAGTACCTTATTTAATAAAACACTGTTAGAAAAGAGTATGATATGATAAATAGATTGAATGAATTTCTATATGCATGTATTTTATCACCTTTTATGACGCATTGTCTTCACCTTCGTCAGGACTCGAGCCCACAATATCTTATGACCACACTTGGTCAGAATTTTTTGCAAGGATTGTTCATTGGGTCGTAAAGAAAAACCCTATCACAATTTAGAATTGTTTGATCACATTTCCTAGAGTTATAAAATATAAACCCTGTAATTCTGTGGAATTGTTCATTAGAGTTAAAATAAGAATCCAATTGAATTTTAACATATTTGGTTTATAATTTCAAATGTGTTCATATTTTTGCAACTTGTGAATACATTTTGGAAAAGGTTATCGATGGAATTTCTTAAAACTTTTTGTTTTTCAATCGCAATTCATGCACTTATTCCTCTTCTTATGTTCCAATTTATGTAATCTTATGAAACACAATACAGGCCAGAGTTGTTGATAAAGTTTGTTTTCAAATTTGGTGGCATTGTTCACTGGGAGTGTAAGGAAGAACTTTTTAAGATTTAGGATCGTAGATTTAAAACGGGTTTCGTGGAGTTATCTTTCCATTCACATTTTGATGGTTAAGAGTTTGGAACAGAGTTCATAGTGCATTTTATTTTGTTTTTGTAATACATGCCCCACAGGATTTGTTAACAAGGATTTTAGACATAGCACACTGACGATTTCGGTGCTTGTTGGTCTATCAAGACTCCTGACAAACACCTGACTATGTTTTGTTTTACAATATACCTCAAATACTTCTCAAAGTTGAGTACTTGATATTTGATCATGTGTCTTTCAGTTATGTCGCCCGTCAACAAACCATTTATTACGTAAATGTCGTTATCTCATACGAAAGTTTAGATTTAAAGAAATGGCCTTGACGGATCCGAGAGAGGCTATGGTGTATCTACAAACAAAGTTAGCTCAAACAGTTGATCATGATGATACAGATGAAGAAAAAGAGGTATGTATTTTAATGACTCCTGAAGACCAAGGAATAAAACCCACAACAATTTCTTCCCGGATACTATTATCTAAAATTGTGTTAAGTACGAAGAAATATTTGGGAATCAACAGAATCCAGGGATGTCTTCGTATAGAATCTGAATTTAGATATGGAGATTAACATTATAGACATCCAGTCTTCATTATCCGTCAGCCCAGAAAAGTCGGACCCTATTTCATTTAATTGTAGTCATATACAGGAAAATTATTAGAGTTTGTTGGATGACGATTGTTGATTTCTTTAGTTTCAGTTACTGGCTACTACTTTATTTAAAGATACATTAGGTGATGATGAACGAATGGGAGAAGGTAAGTTCCTGTTATTAATACATTATATGTGTAACATACATGTCTGTAGAAGACCTAAAGTTTTACAAGATGACAAATTATATTTCTGATTAAATAAGTTTTGTACCTGCACTTCTTTATATACAAATTTTGTCTAATATTGTAAATTGTTTGTTTATCATTTTGAGTGAAGTCGGTTTCGTTACAGACCTAGTACTATACAGCGCAGTGGACGCTTACCGCTGGCTCCATTCACTTGATTTGATATTTGGTCTTTATTGTTTGCAATGTCTGTGTGTACCTTGACCATCCCCCTACACTTACACTTAATACACATTGAATTTTTTTTTTCAGTGGATACTGACAATGATGAAAGGTTTCAAAGTCGTACAGATTTATTTGACATGTTGGTGAATTATTTTCCTGATCATATGACCCAACCTAAAGGCAACCTAGTGGATCTCATACCTTTAGATTAGTAAAGCAACATCAACAACAAGTTTATATTTACATACTTTGAACAATGTTATCTGAAATCACAAAGTAATGAAGTCATTTAAAAAGTTGTGCATTTATAATAAAATATATGATGAAACTGACCTAATATTGAAATATCAGATTTAGGTGATTTCAAGATATTATATCATCAATTTAAATTTATACAAACATTTAGTTCTGTTTTATTTATTGATTGTTTACTTCACTACATCTTGGTCTTAAGACATTTCTTCAAGGGCAAGGGCTGTAATGGGCAGACTCCAGATCAGCCTCCAGATCAGCCTAACAATCAAAACCCATGGTACAGAATTTCGTTTAAATCTCTCGTAGGCTTTTGTTATTTAGGCAATTGATTTGCTGTCAGAGTGAAAAGTATTGTCATGCTCTCATAAAAGGCCCAGAATTCATTTTTCTTTTAACATATCTTTAGATGTTTCTGGAATGGCCGAGGGTATAGAAGACATGCAAAAAACACAACATTTTGTTGTAATTAGGTTGGATATTACACACCTTTAACTAGGTACTGCCTCATTCTAGTGGTATATATTCAAGTTCTTATCTTTTTGTTATAAGAGAAGATATACAGAAAAATACATTAATAACCTGTAACGTTATTGATGATTGGGCTTTCATGTATAGTATTATATTGTTTTATAATAAAACGTATATGTTAATTTACTTATGGTAGTCATTATTAAAATCTATAGTTGTAATTATAGAAATCGAAACTTGTTTCACAATCAATTGCCAATGATTAACAAATCTTGTGTATGCATTTGGTGGAAAAGGAGTATTAAAGTACATTTCTTCCAAATGCTTCCTCTCAAACTACTTAAAAGTTACAATTTCATATTTTCTAAGAAAGTCAAAACATAATTATTTCTATGTCTTTTGCTCAATAGGTTGTCAACTCACTATTATACGATCATAGGTGCCATTCTCACGCCTAAAACTCATTTACACCGGAAATAATAACACAATTACCTCCCTTGTTTTCTATTCTCCACCATGGAGTAGTTATCTTCAAATGTTGGAATTTGAAGATGAAAATGATATTTTTGCCAATTTCTCAACTGGCAATAGTGAATTATAGGATTAATAGGATCATTCTTTAACAAGGTAGGACTGTTAATAGATACCATCTATTTTAAGGCTTTATTTTAATAAATTTTAAAAAAATAACTTAAAAATATGAAATTGCAACTTTAAATTGTTCATGTCTCTGTCTTTATCATTCATGAAATATTTATTGTCAATGTGAACACAAAGAGGGAAAATGTACTTAATTATATTAAAGCTTCCTTACCAATGGAAGAAGGCAAAATGTCACATCTTCCAAAACAAATGTTAATATTATGAATACAATGGAATAAAAGAAAAAGAATATGAGAAAATTACATGCTTGGAGACAAATTTTCAAGAATCTGATTACTTATTATTTCTGTAATGGTAATACAATTGTGAAAAACAATTGACATAGAAAATCTCCACGACCGTTAACTCATTTAGCTGGGTCTCAGTGTTGCTAGGTGGGGAAAGTGTAGGTTGTTTAATATAAGTATGTTTGTACATTTGTGGGACATTGCAAGCCTTGCATCACATAAAACAGTTCAAAATTTAGGCAAAGAGTTGCCTCCCCCACCCAACCCATACACTTCAATTGCCGACGAGATTTGATGCCGTTTTCTTTATATAGTACAGTATATTGTAATAAATTCTATATTCCTACATTTGTAGCTTTTCCTCCTTGCCTTGGTATTGACTATTCTTAGGTGCCAAAGAAAAGTGTTATTGTGCATGCTGTGTATATTAGTAGGTTTTTTGATACAAATTACAAATAGTCCCTTAATTTCTCTGTACATGGGATATTCCTAAAGATGTTTAATATAGACAAAATCATCCTGGTATGTCATGACAGAAAGATAAGTAAAAGAATAGAGTATGCCATCTATATTATCTTATAATGTCAGGAAAATGATAAATTTCAATAAAGGAAACTTTCACCTGACTTTAAATGAGTTTTTATTGTATAAAATTTAAGGCTTACATTGCATATTTTGTTTACTAAATACTTAATGATATAATATAATTGTGACAAGTAGCTTGTTTATGTATGTGGTTCTGCCAACTGTCTTGTTACCGTAATGGTTGTTATACATGTACAGGAATGTATTTATAAACTTATATTCATTTTGATGTAGATTTGTCTTGTGTACAAATTTTGTCTGTAAATGTGGATGTATAATGTTATCATTTGTAAAATAAAAAAACCCCAAGAAAGTATTTAAAAGAAAGTATTATTTTAGACAGCTGCATGTGATGCTTAGAGTTGTCATTGAACCCATCTTATATCTCGGTTTCAGTCTTTAAATTTTAACCTATCTGTAGATCTCGGGTCAATCCAGTTGTATAATTTTCCTGTTTGATGTTTCACTATGTGGCTGTTAGTAATGCAATTTCCATAGTCTTCACTATGCTAATGCTGGAGAAATAAATGGGATTTAACAACCACCCCAGCGCAAGTTTTTCAGTTTGGGACAAGCATAATTTATTTATTTCATTATCTGTCCGAGCACAAGGATCTTTTAACATTTTTGGGGTAATGCTGACTAAGGCTTTGTAAATAAGCAAACAGCTGATGCCCCCCCCCCCCACACCATCCCAATTAAAATTAATTACAGTTACCCTTTTGTAAAGCAATGAGTTATCAAACGACTTATCTATATTTTATAAAGTTTTAATGTAGTGAAACTTTACACCAAGTTTCACCATTCTCCCTCAATTGGAATCGAAGTTATTGTATCCCAAAGCATCAACCAATCAAATTGCTTATATAAACTTTCTGTGAACAGATATATTTAAGAATCATAGCATGAATTATCATGTCTGTATTGTTTAATGGTCGAGAGCGAGACATTAAGTAATATATTGTAACAACAAGAGGACCGTCAGGTCCGAGTGTTTTTACAATATATTACGCAATGTCTCAGCTCGAGACCATTAAACATCTTAAAATACAGACACTCCGCACGTGCGTTTACAGTGAAATACGTCACTCGAGTCTAATATTTGACAAGGTACGATTGGCAAGTGCCCGTACGATTATTTGAAATAATGGTACGCCAACATCAAAGGGTGACGTCACATCTGTATTTTAAATCATATTAAAAGAATATAACTTACACAAGAAAATGTTTACATTTTTAATTACAACATGATTTTTTTCACATCAATAATAACACCATGTTCAGAAAATTTATGATGACTGTAAAAACCTGTTTTACAAAAATCTCCACATGAATAATTTTAACAAATGAAATGATTTTCTTGAAATGTCCTACAAAAACAGAATTATCTTCACTAGTTTGAGTTCAGTTTTACATTGTATGTGAATGCAAGTTCTAAATGGACAATGATATTCATAGCCAAGAATCTGGATCATCTTATGTACCAGTTCTCATTGGTGGTGAAACTAAAATTACTCCATCCCCTCTAACAAATAACATGGGAATATTTCTCTTGGTTGACTGAAAAAAAAAGGAGAAAAACTAAAGAATAAGTTATATTTCTGGTGAATAAACCAGAACGTAAATAGACTATGTCATTTCGGGGCAAACACAGTAAATTTTATTCTAAGATTGGGCATGCAAAAATGAAATGGGGTTTAATGTCCTACTGCTCTGCTCCGACTGGGCTAATGAAGGCGGGTATATGCCATACAGTGTTCTATGAGGGCCATCTTGTCTGGACAGCAGCGCTATGGCCTGCTCTTATATCGAATTCCAAATGCCATGGGATCTTTTATGTGCATGCCAATGTGTACATGGGACCTTGGTATTTTGCCCCATCCAAACGACTAGACAGCTGTCCTTGACAGGCCCTCCATCCTGCACCCCTGACAAGGTGAAACCACCCTGGAAAATCCTGATAAAGCTTCTTGGCCCAAAACCGGGAGCGAACCCACAAGCTAACTTTTTACTCACTTAGCCACTGTGGCTCCCGGTTGGACATGCAATTCTATTCCTTGTCACATAAAAGTCTGGAATAAACCTTATGTTCTAAGGCACATGCCTTACACCACTCAACCACCCTATCACAATTGAATCAAATGATCAAAATTCTTTATCTGAGTTACATAATCCTGTTAAGAAAATGTCGATAATTTCTGAATTGCTGAACAAAACACATATAGTCTATTTCTTTACATTTTAATTTGCATACCTAAACTGATATGTTGTATCATTATCAAAGAAACATACCCTGGTAAATTATTAGTATTTCTATCCAGTCAAATACTTTTTATATGACTGCATGTGCTCTCTTAATTACATGTACACAAAAAGAGGTAATATTAACACAACAGTGTCAGTGTAAACTTTCAATATAACTATTCATGACAGATGATAAAAGTTCAATGGTACATGATGTTTTTAATAGATAATAAGTTATAACTATTCTCAACCTTGTATATTTCTTCATAGGTTTCTTCATCTATCTCAACTGTAGTTACAGTTTCTTCTACATCACCAATTACAATGTTTAAATGTTGATCAAATGCCTAAAAATAACAGAAACATCCATTATATTAAAAATAAACATATCAATAACAGAAACAGCCATTATATTAAAAATAATCATATCAAATCTTTAAATATCACTATATTAGAAATCAGTCCATTATAGTCTTAACAATTTAGTCTGTCCTGTTCTAATAGACACATAACATCAAATCACAAGCCTCAGTGGACAAAGAGCCACATTGCAAACAAGAGTGAATAAGTTTGCACAGCAATACGATATGAAAAGGACCATATTTGATTTTTAAGAATCTTCATCTTTAAACACACAAACATGGATTCTATATATTCTTCAAGCAATGGTTATGAGACAAGCATTATCAGCTCCTTAACCAATAATCATTGCTTTGGAATGGGATTCCTGTAGAGTTAATATTTCTAAACAACTGTGTCAAATTTTACACTCAGATGCTGTAAGGCATATAAATATATCTTCTACATTGTCGCGGACCAAGATTAATCAATTTAAATTTGGTTTTAAAAGCACCACAGGTAAAATTTATGACCAAAAATATAACTATATAAAACAAAGTAAAAAAAAAAAAAAAATCAAATAGGAATGGTAAGAGCGCTCTCAATATTTATGTAAAAAAAGGTGTCTTTAGCTTACATGAAGTCTTCCCCTGAGTTCCCTGTCATTTTTCATTTTAACATAAATTCGTTCATCCAAACTAAGTAGAATTAAATCCAAAGGTTCTTCAACTGTCTGAGCTGGAACTTGCTGAAATACAGTGTTAGAGAAAACATATCTTTATAAAGAAAGAGACAGAGATGGGGCTTAACATCCACTTAATAAATCTATCAGCATAACATCAATACTGATTGATATGGACTAGGCCTAATATTGAATTCTAATTCGTGTTTTTCATATAGCCCTAGATCAATGAATGGATAATTATGCCACTTTGGTCATTCCATTTAAGATTCAATTTTCACAACATTGTAGCTTGCAAGGGATTAACAAGCCCTTAAAGAATGTAATGAGATTTTAAATAAATGAAACTATATTCAACAAGATGACATTTCTTATTTCGTTACGTACGCTTACTGTACGTTGGGGTAGCGTTTGTTTAGATTTTTACTGTGTAGGAAAACGGGTTTTGGAAGTTGACAAATAAACACAAATGTTAAAATAATAACTGGTTATTATATCGACAATTATTACACATTTTCATTTTATTAGAATAACTGAACACTGGCCACAATGCTAGATTACAGTTTTTCAATAAACATCCTGAATGTAACTGTAACAAGCGTGTTTATAAATTTTAAATCTCGCACCTGCTCTTGGTCGTCAGCCATTTTGAAAAGCTCAATATTAGAGTTATTTCCCCTTACAACCACTTCCGGTTTATGTTTTTCTCGATTACCCAACATAATATTTGTTAGAAAGAAAAAACGACTAGCTAATCAAGTGTACTGAATTTAGATGGAAAGACGAACGGCGGGAGACAGTCGACAGATTACCTGTTTTGTAAATTTTATTACTATTCTTAATAGTAGTAATAGCGATATTTTGATAATAAAATCTGAGATTTAAATCGGGATCAACGACGTCTAATGTACATATAAAAAGGTATAACACCAATAATAATGGCTTCAGTCACTCATTAGCCCTTTCCAAAAGTAAGCCTTGTACTAGTTTGTAAATAATGTAAAACGGTGGCGTAACAAAGTTGCATACCCGCTCTACCAGCAGCCTGAGTTAGTACCAGAGTAGATAACAAACCTTAATCTCTCAACCCTCCGTGTTTCGAGATAAGACATGAGGCCATTACCTTCAACGTAGCACATGCGGGAGCGATTCGCACCCGGCATTTGTAAACAAAATTGTCAATATTTTTAATAAAAACAACGATTGATTATTGTTATTTATAATATTTCTGCCAGACCCAACTACAATTAAGCATATAATCCTACCTGAAACGGGTACAAATTGTCGTTTTTAAAATCAAGGTGTTAAGCCGTTACTAAGAAGACCGCCATCTTTTAAACGATACGCTGTCATCATGAAGGCGGGGCTAAATATAAGGCTTTTATAACAGCCAATCAATAGGGCAATCTAAAGCTCTGTAACTAAGAATGGATTTCGATGGCGGTTAAGGTCAGACAAAAACAACGCTTCATTAATTTAAATGCGAATATTTGGAGTTAGGCGACAGTTGTGCCACTACATTGGCCTCTGTAAGTTTAATTAATCATAATAGCATAAACTTATCTTATTTTAAAGATGTTACATGCATTAATAAAGAAATTGAGTTTGCCACTTGGAACTAAAGGCCTCCAATCGTAGCTAAAAAACAAACACATCAGTATATCTCAACGTTTTTAGCTACGTTCTCGTAGCTAGTGCCAGAGTAGCACAATGAGTAAGGCGCTGGCTCACAAAACCCAGAGGTCCAGTCCATGGTTAGTTGATTCTGGTTCTGTTTTGTCCAATAAAGGTCCTCAAGATTTTCAAGTGGTGTTCCCCATTGACAATGAATGAACACAATTAGTCGATTGGATGGGACAGAAAATAGCGATCCTGCAATATTGTAAACGTTGCTGTGCACGTAAAAATCTTTGACACTGTAATTGGACAAAGAGTAGGTGGAAATGCCACTGTTTGGGCAAAATTCCCCTCACATAGCACACTTCATGGCATATTAATCCCATTTATTCTTTGGAATTTAGTTCTGGAGGAATCTATTTGTTGTGTGCTCACTAAATCCAAATTGCAACCAACCGTGTATAAAAGTAATGATGAACTAAGATAAATGCAGTTTATTAATCTGTGGAAGATTAGCTACAAGAACCATAGCTAAAAATGTTGAGATATAGACTACTGATGTGTTTGTTTTAAGTTATGATTGGATGCCTTTAGTTTCCCCTGGCAAATTTAATTTCTTTATCAATGCATGTAACATTCCCCCCCCCCCCCCAAAAAAAATTGATTTTATACTATTAGGACTAATTAAACATACTTCAGCTCACTGTAGTGAAACAACTTTCGTTTATCTGCAAATATTGTCAGTAAAGTTAATCAAGCGATGTTTTCAACAAAATTGATATGGCTATTCATAATTACTGTGCATTAGTCATGCGTGACTCATAAAGGTTCTCTACTATGTTGCATATTTAGATTGACTGTTGTACACAGCATATATTTATCCCCGCTTTCATGACATTAACATGTCAAACCTATCCCATAGCCAGCTTTCAATTCAATGCTTAGATTTAAAAGAGATGATTTATACCTTGGTCAGGCAGGATTATATGCTTAATTGTCACAAATAACAATAATCAATTGTAGTTTTGAAGAAAAGATTTATAGTTTTGCTTACTAAAGTACTATTTGATCCATATCGGCGTTCTTCCAGAAGGAACTATATAGCAGCATCTCCTATCTCAAGACGCAGGGTCGAGGGATGAGGTTTCTGATCTAGTGAAAGACCTGCACGAGAAGGGTCTTAAACTAACTCTTACCCAATACATATTAGATTTACAAGATGTACCGTATTATTTATTAAATAAATATCTGTACATTCTTTATGGAAATCAATCATGAAAGTACTTCTGTTTTATCAACTAAACAATAAGAATATCTTCCTGTTTCTCTAAACTTAATGAAATATGTTATTTAAACATTATAAAATATGTTATTTCTTTTACAGATCAGAGATCAAACACAACTTGTTCACGATGACTACTATAAGTCCAAGGAAAAGTCCCGTTATTGAATCAACATGGCAAATACGATATTCAACAAAAACTGCCAGAAGGGCTGTAACATCAACGTGTTTGAGTCTGCTTGTTATTTTTATTGTTTATCTAGATATGTAAGTGTTATTCTCACTTCTCAGTGGAATTTTATATCCCAAATAATTATTTCTAGAAATAAACTGTACATTATACTACATGGAGTACCTGCTATGGCAATAATATTTCTCATATCTTCTCAAATTTCAGATGAAAAATATTTTATGTCGGTCAGCAAAATGTACTCAAAATATTACCTAAATGAAGGATAACTCAATTACACATTTTACTATCTAATTTTGTCTAATAGTTTTAATTGTCTGAATTATTGAACACTTTTCAACCCATATTAGTTTTAAATGGAAATAATGAAAATGTTATTAGTATTCTGCTGGGTCACAACTTTAAAAATCTGGTATGCAAAAGTTCAATAATTATTATTTTTTTTTATCAAATTACAGATGCAATTCTTCATTTTTTCTGATATTTGACTCTCATCCTATTTTATGGTACTTAGGTGAGTAATCAAGTTTTCAAGAATTAAAGATTTTTTTAATAGTTTTACTTAGTTGGGTTATCAACCGAGTTGTCATATGCTTGCGCTGGAAATCGTAAAGTCTTGTTATCTATCCTGGGTTTGTATATTTAAAGTAGGGCCAATTGCCTAACCTCATGTGTATTTTGTAGGTCTTCTGGTTTCTTCCCACTTCTAAAGTGAATTATTTAGATACAAATATAATATTATAGCATATGTTTGACCTAAAATACATAGGTTCATGTTGAATTGACATTAATTCACATCTCTCTCTTACCATGACAGATTACCCTTGTCTTTGTTCATCTAGAAAATATTTATCATAATGTATTTTGTATAGTAGTCCCTTTAGAGTATGTAATGCTGACCTAGGCTGTTGAACCATGATATGCCATTTTGTATTTTCAGAAGCTGGTATTGTAATTGTAATATTGATTAGAATTCTTCAGAATATACTAGAACTCTTAAACTATCTGCATATTACACTGTTTGGGAAATATGTGGAGATTTCAAATGCTCAAAGAAAGTTGTTGGGTGTGAAAGAAAATGGTAAGACTTTGTTTTAATTTGCAGAAATTCTTAAGAATGCTCCCAAATTTGAACATAATATGTATTGGTATGTGTCTTAGAAAATGATAAGCATCTTTCTCTTGAAGTTTCACACAATTCTATAATTGTATAAATAATATTTAATCAAATCATTTTTGTACGCCCACATTGAAATAGGGTTGTATATTGCCATTGCACCCATAGCCGTCTGTTGGCCACAATTTTTTGTTAACACTGTACAGATTACATTTATCATCCTATTTTTTTAATATTTATATATCTTTGTTGACATTACTGTAACAAAGATGTTTATATCTGTTAATTACTTTTAGAGTGATCTTTTTATGTACATGAAGATACACAATGTGACAACCTTTATGGACTGCTCAGACAGCTTAACTGCTGTGGGTATATGTTTGGATGCATGGCAACTTATCTTTTTAAAAGGTGAAAATGCCTCCTTGTACACATTGAAAAATATAAATGTTTTTGTTGGTTGTTTTTCAGAGAAAGGATTTTATACGACACCTATTAAACCAAGAACTGACACAAAACAAAGAAATTTAATCTTTTCATCAGGCTCTCCAAGCAAACATACAAGCAGCTTTACTAATGATAGTGCACCTTATAGTCCAACATATTTTGCAGCTGTGACTCCAGGATCTTACATCAATAGTTTTAATAGTTCAATGTCAGCCCATTCTCCATATTCAAGTTACTCTAGTTCTACATCACCTAATACATCATACGACAGGGTAAGATTTTAAAAATCATATAGTTTTGTTTTTCATGGCTCCTGAGAGTAGCATTATGACTTAAAACAATTCCTTACCCTGGTCTTGGGACACAGAACATAATTTTGCTAATGCATTTATGTGCTGCATTAAAGATTATTTACATGTACAGCAGTACTAAATAGCTGCTAAATAGACTGGAATACATAGATAAAGTGGTTTAACAAGACAGAAAGAGATTTAGTTTGCTAACTGCTGTATTGTTTCTCTTCAGGTTGTACAAGTATTGAATAACTGTTATTTAGATATTGTCTTTTACAAATGTGCAGCCTAAGGAAAAATTAGATTTATTGGATAATACATGTACCCAATGTACATGATTTCCTTTGGCTTAATTCTTAAAACTGATTTAAAGTTACAGTTATAATTATAGAATTTAGTTAAGAAATTAACTATTTATTAATTATTTCATTGATGATCCTTGTTTTCATCTAGATGAATTCTCTGAACCTGTCTTATACTGCATCTCCATATGAAACAACAGAACCTAGTTCTTTAAGATCTAGACATTCTTATCCTTCATCGAGAAATTCACCAGGTAACCACTTACTATCTATTGAAAGCAGTTGCTTAAAGCAAGGCCTTTACCTCTGTTCAAGAAATATTCTTTGATCAAAACTTGAATATTAGGATGAAAACCAGATTTAGGCAAATTCGTCTATATTATATAATGTCAGGGATGTACATTTTTCTAAAAATGTAGCTTATTTTCATGTACTTTGTTTAGGTGTACTTTTTCAGGGCTAGAAATTCATAATTTTTCGCAAGAATCTAAGAGGATTCTCATATATGCAATCTGCACGAATCCTCCGAATAAGATACTGTCTAAAAAACAAAATAGTGTTTACCAATGTCCGAAAAATTCAATTGATAACTGCACAAAGTATTATAATAAAGGAATATAGTTTATGTCCGCATAAACAAAAGTGAAAAAAAAAAACAAGTGGCTGAACTTGACACTGACAGAATAGAATTGGAATGACCCAATTTAACCCCATTATATTGACGTGGAACTAGTGGAATCAAATCGCTCAAAAGGATAAAATGGAACCCAAAATTATTTTGTTTCAAGTTTGGCCCGCTAAAGCAGCTTCTTTTAAATATTTTTAAGAGGGATTAAAATAAATGCTCTAGTTCTACAAGATGCCATGTCGTGATCAGGGAATTTTCCACACAATTCATTACATAACATAAACACAAAAGACAATGGCCAGCCAGAAACTCGTCAAAATTATAAGTAAACAGTTAAACAAAATAAAACAACAAATATTTTATTTTATTATACATGTAGTATTCTATAAAGTACCGTAAGGCTTACAAATTTGATTCATAACAGCCTGACTGACATTCAATAGTCGGACTCGACAATTCTCTGATTTTTTTTAGTTTTTTATAAAATTTTTACGCAGATCCTTGTAGATTCACAGTGTAAGCTCTTGCGCGAATTAGCTTTGGAGATCCGTGTAAATTTCTAGCCCTGTTTTTGTTCCTAAGCTCACTTTTAAGTTCAGGACGGAAATGCATAAAATAGGTAGAATAAATGAGTGTAGATAGAAACAAAATAAAGACCATTGATCTAATAGATCAACTGTACAGTCATGTACGTTTTCTTCTGAACTAGTTTCAGAATTTAGTCATCATGTACCTTTTTTACCTGGATCCATTCCAAAGAAAGAATATATACCCCTAACCAATATATTGATTTACAGATGGGAAAGATTATGGAGGCTAACTACAAATTTAGGCATCCTTAGATCCTAATACAGGGTGTGGGGGGTGGATGGCCGAAGGCGCTGTATCACGAGGTCTGTCATTGAGCTAACTGGCGTGGTTTCGATTCCTCGGTTGTACGTGACAAGGAGTAGGGTCACCTGTTCAACCTAGTGGGTTTTTTCTGGGTCCTCCGGTTTCCTCGCACTGCTAAAGACCTCTATGCGCAAGCAAATTACTGAAATAGGGTTGAACCATATGTTAGTCCTGAAATGACCTAGTTTGTGTCGAGTGGACGTTAAACCCCATTTCTCTATCTCTCTCTAATACAAAAATTTTAGTCTGAATTTAACCGATAAATTTTGTATAAGTATAGTAAGTTTTATTTATCTTTTAGTTTCACCATATGAGAGAATAACAAGTATTCATGGTTTAAGTCAGTTTTTAAAAGAACAAGATGAAGAAGAGTATAGAAATTTACAAGGTTTGTAGAACAATTTTTGAAGATATTTAAGGAGACATATCAAGGAGATTAACTTAAACTTCTGCTTAGGTCATTTAAAATATTATTGAGGTTTTTCCCCTTTTGCATGATGGTTTTTGTTGACTATTTGGTCTAGCATATTAGAATCATGCTTGAATGGAATTTCTGTAAACAGTACAAATAAACAGATGAGAAAATGCTAGAACCTGGTAATGTGATGTTTGTGATAAAGTTATTTAGCCACATGATCCTTTGACATAATAAAAAAAAAAATCAAAGAACTAGAATATGAATTACTCCGCGAAAAAGCACTCAGTTTTCACTATTTTTTTGTTGGTTTCTGTTTCTTTTTGTCCGGGTGGCTCAGTGAGTAAGATGTTGGCTCGCTAACCAGGAGATCCTGTGTTCGATCCCTGTGTTAACCAAGAAAGTTCATCAGGGTTTTCCGGCATGTTTCCCCTTTTCAGTGGTGCAGGATGGTGGGCCTGGCAATAGACTTTGTATAGACATTCGGACGGAACAAAAACTGAGGTCCTTTGTACACATTGGTGTGCATGTAAAAGAACCCTTGACAGTTGGAATTCAAAATAGGAGTAGGCTGTAGTGCATCTGTCTGCAGGAAATTTTCCTCATAGCACACAGTATGCTGTATGCCCATCTTCATTGACCCAGTCAGTGCGGATCATTTCAATTCATTTGTTTTTATCCTAATTTAATCTTTCGGTCATTGCTTATCATAGTATCATCAGAAAATCTGGGTAACAGTGGATCATCATTTTGGAGTTATGGCAGCAGCGTGATGGATCAGTCTCATTTATTAAGTAAATATCAGTATCAAGTATCAACACGATCACCCCAGTCAGCTACAACTAAACATAGTCTAACAGATTTAACACATAGATCAGGTTATGAAGAGGTAAATATATCAAATTAATTATGAATTTCAACATTCACGAAGTCAAATAACATAGTTCCTGTTTTCATATTGTCCAGTTAGCCTTAATTTAAAATCCTAAATGTGTAAAAATAATTTAAAGCCTGGTTCCTCTTGCCAGTGGTGCAGTTTGGAGTGCCTGGCAAGACCAAAGCCATTTAATCGTTGGGATGGTATGGAAAATCGAGTTTTATTTAGGTATATGTTAGTGTGCAAATAAAAAGAGCCTTGACCGCAGGAATTAAAAAAAAGAGTAGGCGGAAGCATGGCTGTTAAAGCAAAACTTCATTCAGAGCTTTCTGTATGGCGTATGTTCGTCTTCATTGAAAGTATCTTTTAGTTTCTATGCTCTATAAACTTGATACTAGTTTAATAAAATGATTTTATACTCAACAGGTTTGGAGTCAGTTTGGTGTTACAGAAGATGAATTATATATATGGACAGAAAAACTCAGAAAGGTAATAGAATAGGATATATCCAAAGGAATTAATTAACATTACCGGAGAGAGAGAGAGAAATGGGGTTTAACGTCCACTTGACACAAACTAGGTCATTTCGGGACTAACATATGGTTTAATTTTATTTACATAATTTGCTTGCGCGTAGGGGTCTTTAGCAGTGGGAGGAAACCGGAGGCCCCAGAGAAAACCCACGAGGTTGGACAGGCGACCCTACTCCTTGCCACGTACAACCGGGGATTCGAAACCACACCAGTCGACTCAATGACAGACTTTATGATACAGCGTGCGCACGCTAACCATTCAGCCATCCAACCCCCCAATTAGCATTACCATCAAATATTTAAAAACACTGATTTAGATGGTTTCATACCATGTCCTTGCTTCTGTGTTATGAGGTTATGAAAGATATAATCGTAAAACATAGTAACTTCAATTACCTGTTCCATTTAGATATCTACTGTTAGATAATTCAGATTCCTGCTAAACAGATTAAGTAAAATAGGGTGGTAGTTTAATCATAATGTTCTGGGTCATAATATGATCATAATGTTCTGGGTAATAATATGACCCTTAAAATCTGTGTGTGTTTAATTATTCATTCTTGTCTACACTCTACGTCTGCATCAAACAGCTTTACAGATCTACCCATCTGTCCAGCCTCTTCTCATATATATATGTCTCTTATATAGAACACATTATTATATTTTTAGTGGATAAGTTTAACAGTAATGACTAGATTATCGGATGAAATAAAGGAAATTAACAATGCTTTACGAAGAATAGGATGTGAAGATACACAGATAGGAGGTACACTTGAATTCTTGTTAGAATACTAATTTAGGATGCATAACTGGAAGAAATTTAGTCCATTTCTGTAAGCATATCGATGTGTTCATAAGAATCAATTTTTCATTTATTATATATATATATTGTTTAAAATATATTATTCATGTGTAAATATGTTATTATTAACCTTATTTCAGAAGTTGGGGTTTCAACGTTAAAACAATTGGCACTAACTAAAAGTAATTTTATTCCCGGTTTTAATTCTGTTGTACCATATCTAGATTTTTCTTCTAATCAGGAATATCTAACCAAGCGCATATTGGGTAAGTTCATAAAAGATTCCAAATTATTTATGAAATGGCTTATTTTACATCTCTTATCAACTTTATAGAATGAGAGAGAAATGGGTATAACGTCCAAGAACTAGGTCATTTTGGAACTAACATGGTTCAATTTTTTTTCAATAATGCGCTAGTGCATAGGTTTTTTTTTAGCATTGTCGGGAAACCCGGAGACCCGGAGAAAACCCATGACGTTGGATAGACGACCCTACTCCTCGTCATGTTCAAGCAAGAAATCGAAAACACACCACTTGCCTTAATGACAAATCTTGTGATTTCATGCGCACTATTAAAAGCACTAGCTTTATATAATAAGGTAAATGATACGATACCATTCAATTTATCCATATATTGTGAAGCAATCTCCCACTGGTCTTTTTTGTCCTCTCTGTAAAAATTTTCCCACCATCTTTTCTGTGCTTTACATTAAACAGTAGAAATTACCCAATTGAATTACATCTATTTGTTGTACTTTTGTATTATGATGATAATGTGATGGTAGTCCTTAAAACATTAGAGTATAATTGTCATTATGATCTAAGTGGTGTATTTATAGAATACAGGTGTCAGTTAATGTATGTATAATGTGTGTTACTATGATGTATATTTTAGAATTAGGTAAAGATGGTTGTATGAGTGAGTTCTGTTGGAATGGTGGAGGACATTATGGTAAAGTTTGGGGTGAACATCTACCAACTGATTCAGCGGTAAGCTATTAATAGATTGATCTTGTTTTATATCCTTCATCGCTCTGTATTTGGTCCTCATATGCTACTCATCTGGTTGGTCTTTTTGAGGCAGCCATCCTAAAAAATCTAAGGCTCAGCCAAACTTGGCATGCTTGTTCCGTTAGATTGGCATAACATACATTGTGTTTGATCACAGTATAAGTTATTATTTATCTAATTCCAGATTGTTATGCATGCATTATGTACCTATATGGATTCCAGACTTCCAGCTCAACCCAGATTTCCAGATGGAAAAACATTTACTAGTCAATATTTTATGAAAACACCAGATAAGCCAAGTATGTTTTGAATGTTATTACAACTTTATTGCAGATTTAATATGATTTATGAATATAAGGGGGTTGGATGGCCAAATGGTTAGCGTGCGCGCGCTGTCATTTAGTCGACTGGTCTTGTTTAGATTCCCCGATTGTACATGACAAGGAGTAGGATGATCTGTCCAATCTTGTGGGTTTTCCTCCCACTGCTAAAGACCCCTACGTGCAAGCAAATTATTGAAATAAAACTGAACCATGTGTTAGTCCCAAAATGACCTAGTTTGGGTCAAGTGGTTCAACCCAATCTCTCTCTCTCTCTCTCTCTCTCTCTCTCTCTCTCTCTCTCTCTTTTTTATGATTATAATATTGAAAAGAAATATATTTGGTATTTAAGTTGAACTATCCTCCTTAATTACCTTATTTTTGCTTCCTTGAACTTTATCTTATTGTTATCTTTCAGTGGCTTTATTCATGATAACTTAAACTACAATATTTTAAGGATGTGTTGAATGTTAAAATCCTTGTACAAATGTTGGCTCTCAACCAATGAAAAGGCAGAATTCTCCAAATATTTTAGTTAAAGGTTTTCGTGAATAAGGGCCCAGGTACCAAATTAAAGGTTTACGGGTCTAAGGGGATAACTGTGTTTGCAAGGATTGAATAAAAACCATTTGTTATTCATTTTAACCTGTGCAACATTTCCTGTATATTTATTTTAGTATTTTTATTTTCAGATTTACAGAAGAAGGATAATTTATTATTGTATCAGTCTAGTATAAATCCTCCTTTGTATCAAGTTATATTTGGTGGTAATACATATAATTTACCTAAGGTAGGTCATGACCACAAGCTGTTATGTAGACATTGAAGGGGCATTATGTAAGATTTAGATAAAGAGCTGGCCATTCTTGCTAGGCTAGTTCCAAAAAATAAAAAAAAAACTTATTGCAAATTTTCCTCAAATTATTTTATTCTTGGGGAAGTTATGAATGTTTGTCAAATTGACAGTTCACATTTTAGAATGTCAAGTACCATTGCTACTGTAATCAGACCCTCTATCGGCAATCTCCATGATTGGTAGCCATATTATTGTTTAACGCAGGTATGGCGGCCATTGACTAATCCCCTTAATACCTAAGTCATCTGATGATCTAGAGAGTTGAATATGGGCTTGTCATATGAATAAATGTCTAAATAATAATTCATATAATAATAAGCCAGAAAAAAGACCTGCACTAGTCAGCTTATCCCTTGCATAATGCCTCCTTAAGTATATTTTAATTGCTCACAGTAATCTTACGAAGAATTGCCAGTGCATGCCTTAATTAAATTTGGTTTATAATGACTACTGGCATAAAAATAGACATCAAAACTACTAATAACAAGTCAGGAAATAAAATCAGTTCTTTTTTAATTTCAGGGTAGGAACAATATGTTTCAGGCATTGTTATTATTTTTATATCATGTTAAAACACATCAAGAGGGCATGTTAGGGTAAGTAGATGATTTCCACACTTTGTTATTTATGTAGTCAGAACTAATGAATTTGTTACTATTTAATATTAGGCAACACAAATAAAATAACTTGTTTCTCGGGCACCGCCCGCACGCAAAATTGGTTGCGCGTGCAGTCTATTTATTAGTCTTGATGAAAAAAAATAAATATGTAACGCCCGCCCGCACATCGACAAGCAAGTCGTAAAAAAAATATCCCGCATGTACCTACATCCGCCATACATGTATATCTATTCAAATGTATTAAAACTGATTCAGATGAACATGCTGTCTTTTTTATCCGAACAATGGCGAAGTTTGGCAGATTTGCCTTTTTTATTGATATCGAAAGAACCTCCATTTTGTATCACGTGATATTAATTACCTCCCTTGATAAACTAGAATTTGATTCGTGTTAAAAGTCATTGGCGACAATATTTCAATCATTCGATCGTAATCGGCTCATTATTGCCGGCTTCAGTCGGTCCTTGTTTGGAAAATCCTATTGATAAAATAATGAACCGTAGAACAGGTTAATTAATTATAGCTAAGAATACGATACGATGACGATAGTCGTCATAATGCATACCTTAGAATCTGGGTCATTATTAGCACATTTACGGTAGTTTCGATAATCCGGAAAATAATAATTGGATTACCGATTTGATGGTTTTACTGACCAGTTGTTAGTTAGATTTAAATAGTCATTCAATATAAACACCGGATAGAACACCGAATATCCTGAGAAACACACCAAATATCCCAAGAAACAGTATTTCCGGCAATCTCCAATACCGATGACACGGTGTGACATGCATTGGTTGGAATTCGGTAAATAATTATAAATAAACCGGCGATACTAGATTTAGTTTTAAATACTGTTTACCATGATTATTATTTTTGATACACCTGGTGAAAGAGGCTAAGTTTTTAAAAATATTGTTGTCTTTATGGAGGGCTATTACATAGTCGTATGGAATTTTATTTTAAACCAATTTCAATTATGTGAATTAAATATGGAAAATTATTTTCCTTTCAGTCAGTGTTCAGTCTCAGTGTTTTAGTAGACTTGATTTTGGGTTTATGTTTTAAGTATGTAAAATAAAGTTGAATATAACGGAAAGCAAAAACGTAAACAAGTAATGACTTTCTCATTTAAAAAAAAAAAAAAAGAAAGACCGCCCTCCCGCCCCAACAATTATCAGCAATAGCCAAATTTTATTTTGCACCATCAATGAGTAAAAAAAAAAAAAGAAACCGCCCTCCCTCCCTACAGTTTCAGCTGTCAGTTGCCCGAGAAACAAGACATTTATTTTGTGTGGCCTTATATGAACAATGGATATACTGGTATTTTATTATGTAGTCCAAACTAATGAGTTTGTTACTATTTAACATAATATGAACAATGGTTTTGTTCAATTAACATAAAGATTGTTATATAATATATTTGTATTTCTCTTTAAGATTTATGTATACTATATATTGTATTTCTCATTAAAAACCATTTAAAGTTTTGATTATGTTTTATTTTTCAGACGTGTAAACTTGGGATTATCTGGAATAAATATTCTGTGGATATTTGAGAACTAGGATATAACAACAGTGATAAATATATGTACAATATTTTGTTTAATATTACAAACACAAAATATCAAAAGGTGTCATTTATTTTTTGTTTTTTATTGACTGTGCCTACAACGTATAATGAAAGACTGAAAATATGTTTTTAGAAAGAGATAGTACCACTTTAATATGGAGTTAACGAATTGACAAATATGATATCACTGTTTATATTGTATAAAATAACATTAAGGCTACACAAAATAAATGTCTTGTTTCTCGGGCAACTGACAGCTGAAACTGTAGGGGGGGAGGGCGGTTTATTTTTTTTTTTATCTCATTTCTGGCTAGAGGATGGTGCAAAATAAAATTTGCCTATTGTTGAAAATTGTTGGGGCGGGAGGGCGGCCTTGTATTTTTTTTTTTTTTTAATGAGAAAGTCATTACTTGTCTACGGTTTTGCTTTCAGTTATATATTATACATACTTAGAACATAAATCCAGAAATCAAGTCTACTCAAACACTGAACACTGACTGAAAGGAAAATAATTTTCCATATTTAATTCACGTAATGTAGCTTACTAATGGTAATGGTGACAACCATAATTGAAATTGGTTTAAAATAAAATTCCGTACGACTATTAATAGCCGTCCATAATAACGACAATATTTTAAAGAGTAAGCCTCTGTCAGCATGTGTATCAAAAATAATCATCACGGTAAACGACACTTCGATCTAAATCTAGTATCGCTGGTTTATAATGATTGACCTAATTCCAACCAATGCATGTCAGGTGTCATCGGGATTCGTGAAATGACTGTTTCTCAGGATATTTGGTGTGTTTCTCAGCATATTCGGTGTTCTATCTGGGGCTTATATCGAATGACTATTTAAATTTAACTAACAACTCGTCAGTAAAACTATCAAATGTGTAATCCAATTATTATTTTCCGGATTATCAAAACTACCGTTAAACGTGCTAATGACCCAGATTCTGACTAAGGTATGGTGACTATCATCGTATCGTATTCGTAGCCACAAGTTATAATAATTAACCTGTTCTACGATTCATTGTTTTATAAGTAGGATTTTTTCAAACATGGACCGACTGAAGCCGGCAATAATGAGCCGATTAAGATCGAATGATTGAAATACATTGCATTGTTGTCAATGACTTTCGGTGTTTAACACGAATCAAATTCTAGTTCACAAGGGGAGGTAATTAAAATCACGTGATACAAAAATGGAGGTTCTTTCGATATCAATAAAAAAGACCCGTAAATGAGCGTTTACATCTGAATCAGTTTAATACATTTGAATGGATATTCACGAATGGGGCATGTAGATACATGCGGCATATTTTTTTTATGACTTGCTTATCAATGTTCGGGCGGGCGTTACATATTTTTTATTTTTCATCAAGACTAATAAATAGGCCGCACGCGCAACCAATTTTGCGTGCGGGCGGTGCCCGAGAAACAACTTATTTTATTTGTGTTGCCTAAAATACAATAAATTATTACGAGTTTTAAAGTAGAAAACAAATATATTAGTCATTCAATTAAAAATCATTATCACAGGAATTTCAAGTGTAGTATTCTGTCTATTATTAAAGTGTATATTCACTGAAATTCTCAATCTGTTTAAATTCAAATCTATATTTTGTTTCGTTTTTTTATACTTTCGATGGCCTACACTACATGAATATCTGACAAGTTATAGCAATAGGTCACGTCAGGGGTCAAAAGACCGACTTTTGACCTATGATGTCAAACATTTGATTAACCAATCAGCATTGATGTTACTAGTGGATTACCCACAGTTCCGGGCAAAAAAGGTCAAACACTCGATTTGACAGACCATTTGATTGGCTGACCCCTCATTTCAAGCAGAACACAAGTTAAATAACAAGTCTTCCAGATCCAAGTGTAGTAAAGACAAGTAAAACGAAATTTTGAACTATAAAAACAAAACGAAATAGGATCTGTGTTTTAACCAGATTGCTGAAATTCTTTGTTTGCAACAAATGACCGAAGCAGACATCCCTTTGTTTAAATGATATATTATTATTCCAGAGCTACTTTTGTCTGTTTTTCTTATTAATAAAATGAATATTATTATCACATAAATGACAATTTTTCATTTGTTTAGAATATCTAAAGTCAGATAGACAGTAATGTATTTGGTGTGGAAATATTAAAGGATATGTAGCATATATATAATAATAACAGTTACAATGCATTAATCCATGAAAGACATAAACAAAAAACGGAGAACATTATTTAGTACACATGGTAAAAGTCTGACACAAACACAGCTAGAACTGTATTCAATCAGTTGTATATTTGATTTGAAAGTTTGGTTTTGAGATACTTTTAAAACCTTTAATAGAATTTGCGCTTTTTGGTTTCATTTGATATTGAATTCCATAACTTTGGTGCACTGACTGCCAAGATCTATCACAGGATTTTATTTTCAGGTAGAATATACAAAAGTGAATAAAAGTAATCGAGTCTTGAAGTAACCATAGTGTTTACCAGCATTTTCGTCGTGTCACTATCAATGAAAGATGCAAGTTTTCCAATATTATAAATCTGAAAATTAATACTTTTACACATGGCCGAAATTTGTTTATTCATGTCCAGATTAGAGTCAAAATAAACACCCAAGATTTTTTATAGAATCTGATGGTGTAATAGAGATATTGCCAATTCGATACTTTTGTGTTTTAGATTTTAGTAGTTGCTGCCGACTTGCATTATTTCTGTTTTGTCATCATTGAGCTTAATAAATTTGAGTCCATTCATTTACAATATCTGATAAACAGGCCTCAAATTTGTATAACTCAGATGGTTCAGAGGAAGGCTCAAAAGCTATATAAATATGAGTGTCATTAAAGACAATGTTTACGAATGACATTTCCTAAAGATGCTGTGTATTTAATAAATAATAGAGGACCGAGAACGGAACCCTGTGGCACTCCATATTTTAAAACCGTTGAGTCTGATGGGATACCTTGGTGTTCATGTTGATAAACTTTATGACGAGTTAGACGTACAACACTTTCTGAGATAAAAATCACGGAAAAAGACACGGGCAGTGGATAATCTGAGAATTGAATTAGGCCTCGATATTTGTAATAAATAGTCGGCGATAAAGGCAACATCATCTTGTGTATGCAATGAATTCTCCTCCGACCTTGCACCCGTTGTGTCACGTGACACAAACATGACCTCTTTTGATCGATTTTTTATAGTCGGCTATTCCCTGACAATTGCAATGTTTTTAGAAAGATTTGAAGCAAAATTATGATACATTAATTAGTTTGAATATGTTTTTAGTCCAAATATATCATCAAATCACCCAGTTTGTACAAGGGAATATATCTTTAATATACCTGGTTGGTTTCGCTGTTTTGTTGGTGTTGGTGGCGCTGATGGTCTTCCTTCGGTGTCGCTTGTGGTATTCTGGTATTTTTGGATTCCGAAGAAAAAAGAATAAATTTGAGGCGCTCGGGTGAGAGCCACATTAGTGTGTTCCCTACTAAGGATTAGATTTTCTAAAAATGAACTTTTTCACTATATGCAGGGATTAGGGCTAGGGATTCTTATAACTACTTGATTTTATTTGCCAAGGGTTAGGGCTAGGGTTTGATATATTCTTTGCTTTGAGTTAGGGTGAGGACTGGTGTTATTTAGTCTAATTTACTGTGCACTAGGATGTTCTTTGGAAGCAATCGGTTGCCTGTGTGATGGGGTCTATGGTTGTTATTGTGGGGGTTGGGATGAATTTAAGGCCTTTGTCAAGAATGTTCATTTCTAGGAGGTAAAGAAGACTATGGCGACACCAAACGATTTCATAATGATGGTTGTTAGGCAGGAGTGGTAAAAAATCTGTGTCACTAGAGACATGTTGGTCCATGATTTCAACATTTATATATGTATCTTGACTGCCATCGACAGATAATAAATTGTTTGGATAGTCAACGGATTTATTAGAATTTTCCGTACCAATATCAAGAAATAATTAATGGTAAGACGATGTATCTAGACTTAACCATTCACATTTGTGAATTAATGAGCGAGTCCAATAAGAACGAGATACAAGCCTTGTAGCTAAAACGTTCATCGTATAATATTTTGATGTGTATTATGTTTCACAACAATTTTGGTCTGTTAGTTTTACATTGATAAATTGTTAATGAATTTGACGAAGTTTGTGGCATGTATGTGCAGTTTCGATCATGGATTTCCCATGACGTTAATTGGAATAAGTAGGCCCTACGGTAGCGAGCGAGAGAGAGATGGGTTTAACGTCCACTCGACAAAAACTAGATCATTTCGAGACTAACACATAGTTCAATTTTATTTTAATAATTCGCTTGCGCGTAGGGGGTCTTTAGCAGTGTGTGTGTGTGGGGGGGGGGGGAACCGGCGATCCCGGAAAAAATCCATGAGGTTGGACAGCCGACCCTACTTCTTGTCACGTACAACCGGTGAATCGAAACCAAGCCAGTAGACTCAATGGCAGACCTTATTATACAGCACGCACGTGCTAACCATCGGCCGTCCAACCCGCCCTACGGTAGCATTTCGAGTTGAATCTAACACAAAATAACTAATGCACATTGCAAGTTATAGGCTAACTAACTAGTATTATAATGTATCAGTGTGTCAGAAATATCGTATGAAGTTAATATTTAGTTGGCCCCAAGTTCCATTCCCGTAGCTAGCGGGCTGCCCCCTCCTCCCGGGTAAAAAACTGGTGCCCCCAATGGGCACCGTAGGCGCTCTTTCCATTGGACGCAATACAAAGTCATCGACCAACGTGTCCATATCAATATGGGCGCCCCTTAAAGCCGAGTGACATTGGTTGGTCACTTGGTTTTTCTGGCGCCTCGCCAATCATGTCGTTATATATGAGGCGCCCCCAAATGGTGAGGCGCCCCATAATGAATCACACGATCAACACAACTTGATTGATGGGGCGCCCGAAACGGCGTGATCTGTGGAGTGCCCTAACCCGGAGGGGTGCCCATAATGGCATGATTGGTGGGGCGCCTTATAATGACAATATATGAGTGTCGGACCGCACATAATGCATAAGGCCAAGTGAGATTGGTTGGGCGCCTACAACTTGATCAATGGGGCTCCCAAAATGGCATGATTGGTGGGGTGCCTCATTCCGGAGGGGCGCCGAGATTGGTGGGTCGCCCACAACGAGATCATGGGCCCCCAATCAAGAAACGGACCGCATACCGACGGCCGAAGAAATCTATCATAATAAGAAAGCCAACTGGAGATTGTAGGAAATTTTCCAGGTCAAATTCACGATCGGGATGAGATTGATTCAAGCTCGCACCAGGCGTGATAATCTTCAAAATTCAAACAAGCCGCACTCTAACCCGATTCCGAACTTTTCGTTTTTCAAATAAATTATTATATGTAGCCTACGCTAAAGTCGTATTCCTTCCTTCTAATTTTTATAATGTTCATATCATAATACGCCAATATCGCAAATTCAGCCTCAAAATTGAAATTTTCTGTCATTTTCATAGTTCCTCTCCTCTGGTGCAATCCCTATTTTCCAAAATTTCCAAAATTTTCTGGGGGAAAGCACTGAGCACTCTATTTTTGCAATCTGTTTTACAGACCTAGCAATATTGTTACTAGGGAACATGTCTTTAGACCCAAGATATATAGTGGCAGTTAATAGTGGATTAAAGGTCTGAAAAATAAAACAGACGGGGTGCGATTGAACGTCTGGACAATCAGGGTTGCATAGAAACTTACCGGAAGTTTACATTCCAAACATCGAGATCGTTAAGACGTATTTTTAATGTAAAAAGGTATAGTGAGGCTGGATAAGCGAGAATTTGATAGTTCCGAAGGAAAAATATTTTATCTACTTTTCAAAGCGTTTGAAAAAGACGCTGTTATTGCGTTAATTTGAGGAGTTTGTCAATTCCAAACGAAACGCCCAGTTACACCGTGATATGATAATATAACTGTAGACAAAGCTATACCCCAGTATAGGCAAAGGTTAAGTAATAAGTGGAACGCCCAGAAAAGCTGTTCAAAAGTTAAACCCGCGATGTGAAATTTACCGTTTTAAAATGGCCGAAGTTGAAACAACAAATGTGCGTGCACCAGAACCCGTTACTGTATCAGTTGTACGAGTAAAACATCTACGAGGCCAAAAAGGAGATGTAGTGACTGTGGTTATTAAGGCAGAATTCGGAGACAAAGTTTTAGGCGAATCACAAAAAATTGACTGCACTGGGGAATCCTCAACGTCATCAGACATTAACTTTAATGCTATTTTAAACTGTGCATATAATGATGGTCAGGCCTTGGATGAAATAGCCCACAAACCAGTAGTTTTAACATTAATAGAAGTATTGCCAAAAGAAAAACGCCAAAAGGAAGAAAAGACACACCTTTTAGGACAATGTACAGTTGATTTGCTTCCCCTAGTTCGTGGAGAAACAAAGGCCTGCTACACCTTGCCAATAAATCCAACACCAGGTTCTCCTTTAGAATCTTTACAAGTAGATTGTCCTCGACCTGAAGTTGATGTGAACATAACTGTGCAGGTACCATTGCTGGTTGATAAAAATCTAAAAGATGGAAATTTAATGAGAATTACCATGGAGAACTTACATTGTCCTCCAGAATCATGGACATTGTCAGGAATTCAGTATTATTATGCTGCCGCTTTACCCATTCCGATTACAGAGGAAAGGGAAGTGCCCATTGTCTTTGCTAATGGTCAGTTGAAACCGGGATCGGATAAAGAATTGCCCAACAAACAGAAAAAATGGTGTAAACCAGGAAATGCACAAGGTCTCTCTGTGTTTATTCCTGATAGTTTTGTAGTTAGTGATCCTATCGAAGATGAGGATGGAGATTACAAAAATAAAGAAGACAGAGAATTCAGACATTGTGCAGAAATGGAGAAGAACCATGTTTCTTGGATAACAGAGAGAAGATGCTTTTTAGACAGCTCTGCCATAAAAAAATTCCAAGACGAAATAGCGAAAAATCGTCTGTGGCCAGTAGAAGTAATGAGATTAGCAGTACAGGCATCAGGTGGAAAAGGAAAAAAAGAAGATGAAAATGGCATATATTTTCATGGAATTGCATTTGTCAATTTAGCACCCCTGTTATATCCTGGTGTCAAGAAGATTAGAGGAGCCTATAAGGTTTGGCCATATTCTGATCATATTCTTTATGAAAAAACAAAGAGGAAAAGTGGCATGTCCGAAGAAGCTTCTAAAATAGCCATGAACATTTTACACCACAATTCTACTTCCCCACCACCTAAGAAAGGTGGCAAAGAACCAGAGAAAAAAGATGTAAAGAAAGGTGCGTCACAGTTAGTTAAATCTGATACTGGTTCAGAGCTAGATGGACAACCACCATTAAATGTGGAAGGACAGATGTATGTTGAAGCTAAATCTTTTGTGATTTTGGAGATAGTTTTAGATCGTCCCCTCATACCAAAACGTCAGCCTGAGGAATTAGCTAGAAAAGTCTCTGAATATATCCCACCACGCCCTTTATTTCCAAAGAGAACTGATGGTGCAAAGCGAGCTGTAGAAGATTACCATGCACAGATATCTAATGTAGCCGATCTCATATTAGATGAATTCAGGGAACTGTTTGGTGATGATGCTACAGGGCAGCTAAATGTTAATGAAGCAATGGAAACTAATCGCCAGAAGTTGATATACGAATTGAATTCATCTGGTAAATATTTTGCCTTTAAAGAACAGTTGAAGCATTCAGTGGTAAAGATTGTTAGAGAGAAGTATTTGAAAACAACCATTTTTGATGATCGAGAAGAACTACAAACTTTTCTAAGCGAGCTGTATGTATACCTAGTCGATCAAATGCATTTAGCTTTGGGCAATGCCCTGGAAGTTGGAGACCGACCACCTGTACCAAAACCTGTCACAGAGTCTGCACAACTGAAACATTTTGCCAGAGAGGCAGAAATGGGTGGAAATTTCGAGTTAGCAGCAAGATACTACCAAGAAAGAATAGCAAAAGAAAAGAAAAACGCAGACAACTGGTACGACTATGGCATCTTTAATCTCTACATTAATGAAGTTACTAAAGCCGAGGAATGTTTTAAAGAATGCATCTCCATCAAGCAGAACCACCTGTATGGTATATTAATGTATGGCGTCGTGTGCTCCCTATTGGAGCGCAATGATGAAGCAGAAACATTTTTTGAAGCCGCTACAAACATTAATCCTAAATGTATCAAATCTTGGACGATGTTTGGGTTGTTTTACGATTCTATTGGGAATGATATTGGTGCTGAAATGGCATACATGGAAGCAAACAAACTCAACCATTCAGAAGCAGCAGCAACAGCCAAAGCCATCAAAGCAGAATTGAAAGAAAAGTCCGATTTTGTGCCACAAGTTCTAGAAGGTGAGCAAATTCGGGATTCAGAGGCTTTGGGTGACGGCGAGGTTTCATTTCCAAAATCTCCTTCTCCTGACAGAACACCCTTAACATCTGCTATATCTGAAAGTACTGATGATAAACGTGAAACTGATAAAGTCAATTCCCCTGGTGCTAGCGTGTCAGTATCACGAACCCATAGTCAACAAAGGGTAGGGAAACAGCCGGTCACACCACAACCCACACACATTGTTAAAGCTATTCCTTCCAGAGATCCAACTCCTTTACCAGCTTGTAGTATATACATGCATACTATTGAGTGGCTTCTGGAATCTAAAGCTGCTCAGTTTGCAGAAAGGGCACTCGCTCATGAAATACTTCTGCCCCGCCCTGCTCACAGTACAACAGCTATAGAATATCAAATAGCATTAGCTAGATTGAACTTACAGAAACGTAAGTTTAGGGAAGCTGAAGTGTGTCTGAAAAAGGCATTGGAGCTGGAACAACAGAATCCCGATGGTTGGTCATTAATGGGTCACCTTAAATATTTAACTGGCGATACAGAAGCGGCCAGAGAGTGCTTTGAACGAACGATTTCATTCATTGGAGAGGCATTGGAGATGCATTCTATTTACATACGCTTGGCATCTATTTATCTTTCCGAACAAAAATTTCAAAATGCCAAAAATATGTTTTTGATGGCTTGTAGAAAATCCCCATCATGTGTTTCCTGGTTGGGTGTTGGAATAGCTTGCTATAGATTAAATGAGTTGACAGAAGCCGAAGATGCGTTATCGGAAGCCAATATTTTGAATAACAGTGACGCCGAAGTATGGGGTTATCTTTCTTTGGTTTGTTTAAAATCCGCAAGACAACTAGAGGCAGAACAAACTTATAAATACGCAATGAAACTGAATTTACAAGACAAAGATTTACTAGCTGAAATTCATAAAGTTCAAAAACAGGTTGGATTTGGAAATCCACAATTTTGAAATAGAAGATGGACAGTAGAAACAATATTCATTTCATTTACGATGTCATTCATAAAGAACGATTGTTAAGTTTGAATTTATTTTTTGTTTGTTCACCTGTTGCATTTATGAATTGTTTTTTTTTTATATTGAAAATAAATTGGATAAAAATCGCATTTGTATGTTCCAACCTCGTGGGTTTTTTCCGGGTCCTCCGGTTTCCTCCCACTGCTAAAGACACCTACGCGCAAGCGATGTTTAGATATCCAATTCCGATACGGTGGACCTTCTGATACATGGTTAGTCGTAGGGGTTGGAAGATTTCGGACGATGAATGGGGATTTGATCATGATAAGTAGGGGTTATTACACGATGAACGGGTGTTTGTATTCAGCTTATTGCTACACGATGGGCGGGGGTTTGAAAGTGTTGAAATACGACAAGCGGGGGTTTGAAGTTACAATGAATATACTAAGAACTAATGCCCTCCATAAGCAAGGTTTTGGAGATGAATACGGATGTGAAGATGTTAATACAACGTGATCGTAGGTTTAATGATGCTGTACGACGGGTGAGGATTTGAAGATGACGTGTTTTTAAACATGCGTTGCCAAGCAATGGCAGCACACCATCAGCTATTTATGTCAATAACTACGACTACAATATGGTTAAATCCCTAGGGTCAGGCTAATTTTAAGCTCGGCATAGGGCGGGGTGAAATGAATGCTGAGCGTAGAGGGGTGCATATTTTTGTTAACGGTGGTGTTGCTCTATTTTTGATTAAGAGTATGTGTAATAACCATGTTTACTCTGAAATAATCTAGACGTCGTTATCAAGAGGTCGCGAAATGAAGGACGTGTATTTTCCTCTTTCGACTCTCACAAACTAATTTTATTTGTGGCTCAAATTACCTACTCCAATGAATTAATCAAGTTAATTATTACACAGCATGATCCACTGTGTCAACCGTTGTGGGTGTAATATAAGCACGATTTAACAACTCGTACGTTCTTTGATAACACCAACATATCATGACGATTAGTTAATTGCCAGAAAAGTTGTTCTTTATGTATTTCGAAAATTATGCTTTTGTTAACAAATGTAGTTTGAAGATGTTTCTGTTGTTCCATGATGGCTAATGTATTTAGCAACGCGACTGTTGAAAAAATGATGTTTCCATAAAACAAAGCAGAAAATAAAAAGAATACGGTTGCCCCACCAGGCGTGTTAAGGGCGTAGCTAAATAATAGCTTTTAGAAAGAAGAAATACAAGAAAATCGAATGCAATGTAAAATATGGTGCTTATATAGTTTAAATATGAAATTTTTAAGGGCAGAGCCTATAGGGTCATTCCGTGTCAAGTGAACCAAATTTCTGAAAGTTGGGAACATGACCCCCTCCAAAAATTATAAAAAAAAATATATGTTATTGTATAAGGTCTTAAACTTACAAATCCGAAATTTTTTTTATTTTTTTATTTTGGGGGGGGGGGGGTCATGTTACCACTATTGGTCCAGTTGACATGGAATTGGAATGACCCTATAACATATAGAGATACTTGTAAGTAAATTGATCCCTCCAGAAGTATACCAATGTCCAATTGTGTGTTACCCACTATTCTTGGAGGGCGGTAATACTGAACAAAAAGGAAAACCAACCTACTGTTCGGGCGATGCATAACAAAAAGTAAACCTGACATCTTGGGTAGTATTCAGTTGTTTTATACAGTCCACCATATTTCTAGCTACGTTCGGCCAGACGTGCCTGTCCCATTAACTCTAACGCACTTGTATTTAATAATAAATATTTATTTCCGATTGTAGTTTTAAAAATTATTTAGCGATTGGGTCCTGACATCTTCTTCTACGAGGGCTGACTGAAAACTTCTAAGCCTGAAAATGATAGATCAATTGGGTTCAAACAAACTTTTGCCAGAACCAAGTACAATCATTGAATGAATCATAGATATAAGAACTGCATCTGTAGTGTTATGATTGTCTTCGTACCAGACCATATTGTGAACCTACCCATTGAAATCATCACCAGAAATGGGTAACACTGGATATATGGCAGTCATCAAGTACCTGCAACTGAAAGGACTAACCCCAACACAGATACATGACGATATGGTCTCCATTTAAGGGGGATGATGCCCCTTCCCTTCCTTTTCCACTGTAAGCGTGGCAGACAGAGCCTTGACGATGACCCGCGTTCTTTAAGGCTATCAACAGCAGCCATTCAAGAAAACATTACCTGTGTGCATGACATGGTGATGGCTGATCGACGATGAACCACTCGACATATTGCCAATGATGTGGGTATCTCCTATAATATAAGAGGGTTGAGCACAATGTCATTATCGTCAACGAATTAGGAATAAAAAGTCTTCGCAAGATGGGTGTCAAAGCGCTTGGCTGCGGATCAGAAACGTTAAAGTAGACTAACAAAAGCGACACTAACACTGTTTTCATCGTCAGATATAAAACATTTTATTTATTACCTTGAAGAAGAAGAGGGTATCTCTTCAGTACCTCTTCGAAACGTTGGTTTAATAATACCTGGCTATGAAAACAGTGTTAGTGTCGCTTTTATCTGTGAAGGACGCTTCCGTATCGGATCCTTCGATCCATTGTTTTCATATTCCTGTTGGACGCGAATTCTATACAAGTTGAACAGAAACGTGTCAGATTCCTGACGTCCCGTGACAATCTGTACCGTTTTGAAGCAGACCATGGCCAGATTTGTAACCATTGATGAGACTTGTTTCCAAAAATGAAAAAAGTAACTTTGTACAGGTCTTTCACAGATAGGCTTAGAAATTTTCAACCAGCCCTCGTATGTCCCATCCACGACGAAGAATATAATACAAATTTCTATTAGATATTAATGAAAAGATTATTTCCATTGTAGGCTTAATCATGAGAACACTGTTTCTAACCCGGTCACTATATCAACTGTTTTCATATCAGCTCGGTTTAATCTTAAACACATCCTCAACAGTAAAACCGGGATCTGGTGTGTCGTCATCATCTCTTGGATCATTATATTCCTGCACCGACCTTATTGCCGACATAGCAGTATTAGATTCTAAATCATACAACGAGTTTCTGTCCAAGTCTTTCTCCACTCGCCGACCTTTTAAAAGTGGATTCACAAAATTTAAACGTTCTAGACTTTTCATATTACGAACAGGTCGATCGTGAATTACTGCTTCTGAACTTTTAACTCTCACTGCTTGAAATCGCTTGAATTTTTGGGTTCGGCTGGATGATGTATCGGATTCCCAAGGTTGCGATCTATCACTTCGTGGAGTGGTTCTATTCAAATTTACAACTAAACTTCTGTCAATCGCTAAGGGTTCAACACAATAGCTGTCTGTGTTTGATGGTTTTCTTAAAATTTTGGAATGAATCGGTGGAACGTGTCCGTGCCGTAAATAAACTGATTGAGAATGCGATTTCTTTTGTTTTCGTGGTAATGCTATTTTTTGTTCTTCAGAAAAATAAAACTTTTGTCTTGATGGGCTCCTGCAATAGAATAATGGTTGTTTAGAGTATTTATTTTTCTTCACAAAAACATATATACATAGTCTACACAATTCAATTAATGGTGATAAATATTCAAATAACAATGTAGCACAACTCCGGACGTGACACATCGATCGTAAATAATTCAGTCAATAACAAATAATTTTTTTATCGATGCCCAGCATCCGGAATTTGTGGGTAGAGATTGCAGGTTCACCCACAGCAAAGATCTTTTGGGTTTTTTTATAAAAAAAATAATAAAAAACTATAGGTCTGCTTTGGGCCATTAAAGACAAAATAGTAGTAACGGTCTATGTAATCACCAACCTCGTATATTTCTTGGCTATTAAAACTGGTCTAGTTAAATGGAACACCATTTCGAGAAATGTACCATACACCACAGGGTTAGACCTATTCATTGTATTTAATGCACTTCATATGTTTACATAGAAACTATTATTCTCATTTGAAGAATAACCCCACTAGACCATGTCGAAACGATTAAATTGTCATTAATCAAAATATGTCCGTTAATCGAATCGATTTTGACACATTTCTATAGAATATATATTTGGTAATCTGGACAAGTTATGCCTATATCGCATGCTACATTACACAGGTATACATACACACGTGTTTTATATAAGCACTAATCTGCTTATCGGTAAAACAAGTCAATGATCTCACTTGAATTGCGCATCAAAAACACAGAAATGAGTTTCATATAATATAACTTACTATACATTGCAGACTTGGCTGACCGTTGCCCCCCCCCCCCCCCCACACACACACACTATATCACCCACATTTACAGATTAGAGTTCTTTAATACCCAACATAAATCTTGTTGGAAGAGTATACCATGCTTTTATGTTGTATATATATATAGCCGCCAAATGTAGCGATTTCATATTTACCTTAGTTGTCTTGGAATACTTTCCAGCGATTTAAAGTGAAATTCACTATCTCTTTCACGATCTTTCTGCAGTTTTTCTATAAAATTTGTTGATGTACCAAGAATGCTTCTATTGTTGAAGGATCTGTATGGCTTAAAGCATCCACGACTAGTTATAATACTTGATGGGTGGAAATCCAGACTGTCTCTTGTTGTAAATACATCCGTAATCCACCGAAAATTTGTCATATTTTTGGATAAAATAACCACACCATTAATATACCATTTTGTGGATCCACCAATATTACAATCTTGAATGGTAACTGTTTTTTTAATGCATCTAAGCTATGGCTGGTGTTAATACCTTTATAATAGAATCTGAACACCAACGTTTTGTTAGGGGTGAATTAATACATTGCACAAATCGATAAAAAAAAAATCCCTCTAGTTTAGCAATACGTACAGAATAAATTGGTTGCATTATCTTATACCTAAAAGTCAACGACAGTCCGTGTCTCTAAATCACTTGATGAATGTCCTTTTCAGTCCAATAAATAACATATGACTATACACAAACAGATAAGAGTATTCATTTACTGGATGTAAAAACATAAACACGTGATAAAATTCAACATCATACATTTTATACTAATCTCAAAATATTATTCATAAACAACTCTACAGATCCAAACTTTATGACTAAATATTATTATAGTAACGGTAATGAAATGTACTCCAGTCGGTATAAATGTAACTGAAGTGTACAGTACTAATATGATAATCCATGTATAAGTATAATAAACTTATGTATCAGGCCGCAGAGATTAAACCTGACCTACCATAATTCATTTATAGCTAAATACTACACGAATGGCTTTCTCCTAACTTCACAATGTCACTAGTCCGTTTTAAGTGACCACAGTTACAGTAGGCTACACGTATATTGAACCGTATTTATTATCCTATTTGTGAGAAGCTTTACAAATATGGACACTTAATACATGCCTAATATTTTTCATACAAAAGTAGAACGCGACTGAACAACCAGAAACGTTGACGACCAAGTTCTACAGTTAGTGCAAGGAGACCGACTGTAGGAGTTGTCTAGATATCAATATCAAGACAAATAAATGGAGCACTTAACTACAATGCTTTATCTTTTATGCTTTATATATTTTATTATATTTGATTTAACAGTAGGCTTCACTGAGTTCGTAGAAAACAAAAGTTCTTATTTGACATTCAATTTGATCTTAATCTTAAAAACCAACACAGTATGAATGTTGCGTGATAGGGTAGTGTGTAGTAATAGTTTAATTAAAGGAAATAGAGATCCCATACTATAAATTTCACGGCTTGATTCTAGTAGACAACTAATAAAGTTAAGTTAATTGGCATTCATTTTGTCTTAGCCGGTTACTTTAAAGATGCTTCAGAATGAATGATTCGCTCAATTGAAGGTTTCAGAAATGGCAGCGGTCAAACGGACTAATTTGGAGAATATTTAAATATATAAAGAAAGGAAACTGAATAAATATTGTCTACACAAACACTTTTTTCGCGAATTTTGGCAAAGCCAAAGGTAATAACTGACTGGAATACTGACTATTTTTCACCGTGATTCTTCTTTGTTTGCCAAAAGAAATCATTTTTCGCCACATCTGACACCAATTTATAATAATTCAACACTATTTTCAAGTAGAATTTAAATTCCTTTTGGCGAAAAATAAAGAATCACAGTGGAAAATAGCATTAGAACAGAGGTGGAGAAGAGTGGTGTTTCCATATTGCAGCTATATAAGGACGAATATGACCGGCCAGCGGACACCGTCCGATCAGAGAGAGTTCCTTAAGGAACTACTTTTAATCCTATCCACGCCACTCGGTACCCACATACAGAAAGTCACCGGTTTTCTCCTTATTTACGATCAAGTTTCAGTGTATTTTTTATTTTATTAATCCATACCAATATTTTTAAAAATATTACTTGGTATACCTCCTGGCCCTTGGACAAGTGTCCCAACTGTAACCCCCCCCCCCCCCCCAACTCCTCTCAGGAACTGTGTTGAAATGGACATTCCGTCACTAGCTTTTTGACTAATATTTAAAATATGATACAACGAAATAAATTAGAAATTGGACATGGTTTGGCCAAGAAATGTTTGAGATAATAAAAGTCACCATACTGAAAAAAGACTTTCTGTATGAAGGTTTACTTATTATGGTGCATCCCTTCATACTATAAAACTTTCTGATATTGTAAGCTAAGCTGACATTTATTAACAATAACTTCTGGAATTACATATGATTTAATTTAATTAAAATCTGACAAATCAATTGTCATATATATAAAACAGAATATAATTTCAAACTCTAAATGAATATATAGATAAAACATATATTGGTCTACTGATGACAAAATACTTTAATAAGTATCAACAATAATGTACACAAAATATAGACGATCCCTTGTCAGACCCCCCCTCCCCCCAAAAAAAGAGGAATCCACCAAATATTGGTGGATAAATCTCATGCAGTATAATAAAATTCCATAGAAAACTGTCTGGAATCAATAATAGGCTTCCTTTATTATTCCCTAATAAACAATCACACTAAGTATTCGAAAATAACATCGAGCAGACCTAGTACCATATATTCAAAATTGAATCATTACAATGACTGTCTCCTTCTGAGCAATGTAAGTAATGTAAAGTTGACACAAACTAGGTCATTTCTGGATTAAAATATGGTTCAACTTTATTTCAATAATTTTCTTGCACGAAGGGGTCTTTAGCAGTGGGAGGAAACCAGAGAAAACCCACAAGGTTGAACAGGTGAACCTAAACCTTGTAATGTAATACTGGGGAATCGAAACCAAGCCATTTGACTCCATGACAGATAGAGAATCTCCTACCAGTCTTTTTTGATATCAAAAAATATCAACACAAGTTGATAAAGTAACAAAAAATGAGGCTCCGTCGATTTTTTTTTACTTTTCAACGAGTGTTGATATTTTTTGATATCAAAAAAGACGAGTAGGAGATTTTATTTACCACCCAATCTCTTCTTACATGCACAAATAGATAAATATAATTCTTTGCTGTAGATTTCACTTTTACTGAACATTACGGCGTAGTTGTACATCATTTTTTGACAGCAATTCAACCATTGCAAAGTCCTTTATATTGACCCAGTGTTTCCATCAAGGTCAAATGAATAACAATAGTTCATTTTTAATAAAAAAAAAGATACTTTTAATAAGAAATGAACTGTTCTTTGAAAATAAAAAAAGTAGTTCCTTTTCAACTGACCAATCAAATTCATGTAAAGCGATATCTCCTAAGGAGATATTGCAGTAGATTATGAAATATATCACACAAGCGTTATCTACTGTAGAATGTTTTATTGGGTGATAAATTTTATTATCTAAACTGCACGTTAACCCATACTCTTTTTAAAGACAATCTTATTTTTTACCATGGAGCTTCCAGCTAAATCTTGTATTCACAATAATCATAATATATTTGTTCTATATGAAATATATTTTTATAACAGATTATATCAAGGCAAAAATAAAATTTCCAAACTATAAAATATACATGAAGAACACTTTTGAGTAATAATATATGAGATGTTATCTACCATGACAGTAAAAAAACTTTACACAAACTCTTGAGTGTTCCATCATCCCATCTGGATTTATTTTTTTCTATATGAAATATCTTTCTATAACATATTACATCAGGGCCAATTAAATTTCCAAACGTGGGGTGAGGTGACAATATATGTTATTTTAACTCCACTGCTTTTAAAAGTTAATTACAAATATATTGAGAATGCCTTGTCAAGAGTAACAAACAACCCATTAAGAAATCATCAGAAAATAATTAAAATTTGATTGGCTAATACAAAACATAAATAGGTAATCTGATGAAAAATTTAGCTGTTCAATTATTGGAAATCAATAGACATATGTATAAATTTCATTGACAGAAAATTCCAACACTTTTTTTTTTGATTCTGGACCAAAAATCCATTCCAAAGATGGAAAAAAAAAAAAAAAAAAAAAAAACTACTATAAATTGACAGGGAATAATCTCTATATTCAATGGTGGAAAATGCTAATCTTCATCCTTAAAGGGTTCTGATTCTCATGAATATAACATTAGCATCTTGTGCATCCACACGTTTTTTTCTTTCAAAATAAACAACAATAATTAAGTAATTATCAGAAATCATTGAAAATCAAAAGCATTTTTCAGTCAAATGAACATAAACACTGTATAAAAACATTTATACCTTTTCCATATTTAATGAGATAAACCTCTTTAATTTAAGTCAAGATGTAAAGTGTTGAATTGGGTAGATTTGAAGGTTATTAGGAGTAGTAATGGGTCAAAATTTATACAATTAAATTTTCATTTTAAAACATTAAACCAAAGTTGTATTATTTACTAATTTTAATTACATTTTTGGCTTAAACTGTCAACAGTGTAAAATAAAATCAACATTTGCTGGCTTTGACTGTTGACCAGAAATTTTAAATGTAGACAGATACCCATTTCACAAATCAAATCAAAGCATTACCCATATCAATTTTAAATATTGTTGACGGTTATTATTTATGTGCAGTCCATTAGGGAAATGCTCTCATTATCATATACGTATCTGCACGTGCCAGATGGTGGACTCAATAGGGACAATCCTATCGTAACGCAGTGGGGACCTAGCATTAAAATAATAACATCTCACACTTCTTGTTGTAGTTGAAATATTCAAATAAGTTTACTGAACTGTGTGCAATTGTTTAAACAAATAGGTTTTCTTTCAAAGAATGTGCCAAACAAAATAACCTGCTTTTAATTAATCTTATCCTACAATATTACTTATTTTTTATGGATGTGTGAACATTTTAACAATTGTTTGAACAATTTGCATTTAATTTTGCAATTTTTCCCCCCTTTAAACATATATTATGGAAGAGCTAAATCTGCTTATAGCAGATCTTTCTTTAGGCCTGAAATGTTATAATTAATTAGATATTTATTAACATGAAAATACCATAATCAACTCTCAAAGCCATTTTACGTGTCCGATCTTCATTGGATTTGAATCTAATCTGCTGTTTAATGCCCGTTGATGATTAACCAGAAAAAAGGATAATTGAAACTTTGTTAATTATCGTGACAGGTAACAATGACAATTGAGGCTACAGTGATTTTAAAATAAGGTTTTCTCGGCTTAGAGTGAAGCAATTTGACTGGAATTTTCAGCATATTCACTTTACATTATCTAGTTTTTAACTATTATAGTAAGAACTGCCAGCTCTTTATCTAATCTTCCATAATGTATCTTATTCACTTTACATTATCTAGTTTTTTTTATAGTAAGAACTGCCAGCTCTTTATCTAATCTTCCATAATGTATCTTTAATTTTGAAAATGTGAAATCAAAGACTAAAACAGGAGGCCTCCAAGAGAACAAACATGAAAATGTTGCATCATAAAATTATTGCAAACACTGTAAGATTGACTAGATTTCCTCATGAAATTAATGCCATAACCTATCAAACAAATGCATATATAAGCTATAGTCTGCATATACCACATGCAAGGTAATTAAATTGGCAAACAGAGAGACATTGGAAAAACATTTTTTAAATTAATTACCAAACTTTAATGTTTGCTTGATTAAATAAGTACAAATAAAGATTTTATCAGGTGTGCCATGTTTGATTTGTTTACATGGAGGTTGCTATTTTAGTCCACTTTGGTATCCATATCCCACAGCCTCCTGCAATAAGTTGATTGGTAAGTTAGATCATGTGAGCTGAACATGAACATAAATGGAAATATGTCAGGTGTCATCAGTAATAAAACAAAATAAAATGGACATCGGATTGGCTAATGAAGAAGGGCATACGTCATGAGGGCAAACTTCACCTGGAAAGCGCTGCCACAGCCTACTCTTATCCACTGAGTCACAGCAGGTCCCTATATAGTGAATTAAAGTATTGTCACCTAGATTTAAAAATCGGATAATCTAAGTAGCTTGATTTGTTATTTTAAGTACATTTGGATCAGAGTGAAACAGCTCTAATAGTACCTTAAAAAATAAACTAAAATTTACAACCTAGAACACTGAAAATATCACACATTAATTTGTTTTCAAAATTAGAAAAACAATGCTGACGGAACAGGATATAAGGAAACAAGCCTATAACATGTATCTATTGAAGATGCATTATGTAAGAGTTAAATCTGCCTATTGCAGGTCTTATTTTTTGGTGTTAACATGACAAGCCCATAATCAACACTATGGGCTATCAGGTGGCTCAGATTTTAAATAAATTACAACAACTGCGGCCAACTAAGAATTTAAAGATAATAACCAATCTACGCTACTCATAACTTCGCACAGAATAATCTACTTTGACTGAAATTCTTAATATATTCATTTTTCATTAACTATCTTTTAACAATTATAGCAAGAACAGCCAGCTCTTTATCTAATTCTTACATAATGCATCTTGAACAACAATTACTAATTTTTCTCTGACAACATTATGATAATAGAGATCTCCAACAAACTGGAAAGGGACTTAAAAGTTGCCAAATCATATGAAATTAAATAACTAGTTTTACTGAATAAACTTCAATTACACTTACAGCAATATCTGATCTGTACAGACACTTTAGAATTAAAGAATAGTTGCATGAAAATGATTTAATGACTAACAAAATAACATTCTATTATAACATTTATCTACAATATAATGTTTGGTATGAATTCAACAGAACATGCACATTATCAGCTGAGTCCTAATTCTTCATGATTTTTCCACAACCATTCATGATATTCGTTTAACTTATGATCATTTGGCTTCACCTGTAAAATATTCAACAAACATGTTAGTCCTGTCCCCCAAATTGTAAATCATTATAATAGGACTTAAATTGGGTCTGTATGATGTCTATGGGTAAATGAAGCTATTTTTTAATGGTCCCAGGAACAAATAATTTGAAACTGGACAAGAACTACCTATCACATTAAGGTGTAGAATACAATATCTTTTGGTTTTACTAATGCCCAAATATCTTTTCAGAGAGCTATGGAAAGCAATGGGGATGATACAATCCTACTCCAATGTTTGATATATTTTAGATAAATATAATTATTTTTCTAGAAGACATATCAGGACATTCATGTTACAACATATTTACAATCTGTTTACAATGTCTTACACATTTAGATACAAAGATACAACAAAAACTTGTTATCTATATTAATTCATCAAATGAGATGATACAGTCAATTTTTCAAAGATATATCAAGACACTCAAGAATCATAACTAGGACCATAGTTCGAATTTCAATTAGTATTTTAATAATAAGGTACAGCTTTAATAAAAATAACAACAAGCATGGCTATATTGATAATAATTCCAGTGATATTTATAATCTAAAACTGACCTGTTTCCATTCATTGACACAGAATATCCTATAGGAGTCATTACCATATTTACCAATACCATGTAGTTCTTGTGGATAAAGCCAATCTTTACTAAGATATTCATCTAAAATATAATACAATACAATTTTTACAACAAAAAATTCAACCTACACATACAGTAGAGTCTGTGTAAGTAAAGAAAGAAGGAAAAGTACCCATAGGCCCCACAGTAGCTATATTTAGGTCTTTTGGGCAGTTCATAAAGGTTATTTTTTTATAGGTAACATGAGTACTGACAAACTAATCAGGGGCAACAACTCATGAAATAATTATTAGAAATTATCAAAATTTGATAGGCTTCTTACTAGCACTATAATAAACCAAATATGTAAACTTGCTGGTAATCGCAATATAACTTTTTTTGCTTTCAGTCCCTAGAAATTATTGAAAATCAATAAATGTACATTAAAACCACAATGCCTAAATTTCAAATCAACTGTTTCATAATTGTTGTCTAACTTGTCTCTATAAGGTCAAAAAAATAATAAGGTCAAAAAAATTATCAAAATTTGATAGGCTTCTTACTAGCACTATAATAAACCAAATATGTAAACTTGCTGGTAATCGCAATATAACTTTTTTTGCTTTCAGTCCCTAGAAATTATTGAAAATCAATAAATGTACATTAAAACCACAATGCCTAAATTTCAAATCAACTGTTTCATAATTGTTGTCTAACTTGTCTCTATAAGGTCAAAAAAATAATTAAAAAATATGAAGGGCAATAATTTTGAAAGATGTTGCAAATCAATAGGACCCTGTCTCTAATATCACAAGGTGTAATTTTGAGCCATTACCCTGGCAGTAATAATCGGAAATCCTTGAAACGTTGGTCATAACTTAAGCCTCTATTGCAACTACAAGCAATCTTGTATGACAGATCGACAAACAAGGGTGACGACAATACAACTATATTTCCATGTACACAAATATAAATGATCAATTTATTAAATCAACCAGCGGTTCTGTCTTAAAGAATAACAGGAATGTAATTTAATTAAATCATAATAAACATTAGTAACAGTACTGACTACTGGTCAGAAATATATTACAAATTTAGGTTATACTAAAATGACTCACCAGAAAATTTAATAATAGTTTCAGCTCTTTTATCTTGTAAACCAAGGGGATGCATTAATTTAGCTATTTTTTCAGGATCAGCATCTCTAGCTGTAGCTGCTGTTGGCCAGCGATTAAAAAACTTCCATAATAATGGTATTGCTGCTTTACCTAAATATACATCAACATGCTTATTTAAAGGCGAATTACTACTATCTCCAAGAAAATAAATCTGATCTCACTGACAAGGGTAAAGGAAAAAGTTCAAACGAATTTAAATTGTCTATATGTCAGCGTTGGCTTCACAAATTAGTCTCAAAATCCTACAAAATTCTTAACAAATCAAAAACATAGTTGATATAACTTATACGTGTATAGTCAAACAATGTGGAATCAAAAAGATAGGTTGCCAGGCAACGAAAAATACGTCCAAAGCAGCTAAATCGTCCGGGCAGTCAACAAGTGTTGTCGCATATTTTTTTTTTTTTTCGGTAATGAAACATTTATAATACAATATAATCTGATTAAGAGTAACAACTCATGAAGTAATTATCAGAAAACCATTAGAATTTGTTTGGTTTTTATAAAGTTCTGCTCCATGCTAACGTTTAGTTAGGGCTGTACGATATTCTCGATATAGTCATTTATCACGATATGGTATTTTCAGACCCAACTACGATATCATGTGTCCAAAAATTGTTGATATAGTGGTTTATCGAATATCGCCAAAAACTTCAAATATCGAAAAAAAAATATCATAAAAATAGATAATAAATACACTATACAGCAGTGGAAATTAGCCGACGGCAATAAACTATAATAAAACTAATGTTTTGAGAATCGCTAAATGTTGAAAACACTTGCGCAGTGTCCGCAGCCGTTTTTCACTACATCGTGTACGCGTTACTTTTACTTTGTTTTTAGTCCACAATAAATTGTCAGTTGTTACTACATGTAAAGCTTAGGCCTACTAAACGCCTGAAATTTTCCTCTACCGTGGCTAATAACCAGGCTATAAATAGGTTGTCATATTTTTAAAAAACGAATATTTTTAGAAAACTCTACAAAACTTAATTTCTGAAAGCAAGAATAAAACAATCTATAAATAGATTACTGTCACTGTTAGGCCACAAATACCGCAGCCAATCGAATGCTTGAATGGAAGATAGTCCAGATCATTTAGTATTTGTTAAACTGTTTGAACTTACAATACAAGACTTGAAGACCGCAGGTGATATTTGAGAATTTTCTTACACAAGGTCACAAGCAGACGTTTTTTAAACATCAGCGGTTGTATTTAATTTTTATCCAAAAAGGATGTTGTTTTGTTCATTTTAATAAATCTATATTATAAAAAAAGCAAAGTTTAAAGTGTATGAATAAAGTAATTCTTACCCACAAGTCTTACTCACACTGTAGTCAGCTTTAATGCATTTATATTTAATTTATTTAATAGCAAAGTGACATTATTATTAAATATCGCGATATTTAACTATATCGTTGAAAAAAATGCCAATATCGATATCGTCCCTTTTAATATCATGGATTTAGCTGTTCAAGTCATAAAAATTTCCTTGTTTGTATCAAGATCTTAAACTCTGTGTATCAATCTGAAGTCAATCAGATGATAACTTTAGCCTTTAGAGCGTCACAAGATTTTTCAAAGTGATCAAGGGCCATAACTTTGGCAGTAATTATCAGAAGTCTTTGAAAATCAATAGGCTTATTCACCTCATGACCTTAAACACTGTGTATAAATTTGAAGTCAATCAGATATTAACTTTAGTCTCTAGATCAAGGGCCATAACTTTGGCAGTAATTATCGGAAGTCTTTGAAAATCAATAGGCTTATTCACCTCATGACCTTAAACACTGTGTATAAATTTGAAGTCAATCAGATATTGACTTTAGTCTCTAGATCGTCCACAAGATCATGGGCCGTAACTCAGGCAGTAATTATCGGAAATCGCTGAAAATCAATAGGCTTCTTCATCTTATGGCCTTAAACACTGTATATAAATTAAAAGTCAATCAAATATTAACTTTGGCCTCTAGAGCGTCCACAAGATTTTTTGAAGTGATCATGGGCCGTAACTCAGGCAGTAATTATCGGAAATCGCTGAAAATCAATAGGCTTCTTCATCTCATGGCCTTAAACACTGTATATAAATTAAAAGTCAATCAGATATTAACTTTAGCCTCTAGAGCGTCCACAATGCGGACGGCGGACAGGGGCGACAACAATATACAACCACATTTCAATGTGGGCGTATAAACATACCTTATATCAGGTAAGTGTATAGTCAACCCATTTCAAATCAAAAATTCGTTTTTTTAGTAATCAGAGAATACATGTACCACCACAAGCACTTATACATGTACTATAAGAAAATAACCAATCTATGGCAATCAAAGATTCAGTTCCTATCAGAACGGTCTCTGGACGAACAAGTCCTCTTACAGTCCTTGTCTGTCCTTATTAAACTGCAATACAAAAATACTGCTAACAGTAACAAGGCTCTACCCCAACCTCACACATTAAATGAAGGACTAATTCAATTTATGATCTTGAATCGTCAAATTCTACTTCAAAATACTTTTGAAGAACCCCTTTTGGTGAACAAATTATTGTGATAAAAAGAAAGGGACGGGGTCCCAAACAGGTGTGATAAAGCAATATTTTCATATAGCATCTTATTAAGGATAGACAGGACAGGAACAGTCAGTTGACTTTGTCTGTCCAGAGAAGTGTTTGAAAGGAACTAATAAAGATTAACCCCATGGTACAAAAATTTCTTAATTCAATACTCACCAGTTGTTCGGTTTAAGAATATGGTGGCCACCAAAAGTTTCCATGAATCGTGAAATAAGCTTTCTTGTATTAGATTATGGGGAGATTTGGGTGGAGTCCACTTCACATCGCGATGAAAATTAGGTGGAGGCATGCGAGGAGATGAACCGTCTGTTTTGAAATATTTACTTGTGTTCACACTTTCACAAGAATTTGAATTTGTCACTTTTTCCTCAGAATTAAAGTCATTGTTATTGTTATTTACACTATCTTCACTGGTATGAATGTTTTCTTTTTCTTTGGATTGAGTTTTTTTAACTGTTTTATTAACAACTGGCTTATTCTTAGTAATTTTATTCTTAATTGATTGTTCTTTTTTGGGGGTTTCCTTTTTCACTTTATCTTTTTGTGGGGATTCCTTTCTCACTTTATCTTTTTGTGGGGATTCCTTTCTCACTTTATCTTTTTGTGGGGATTCTTTTCTCACTTTAACTTTTTGTGGCGTTTTCTTTTTAACATTATCTTTTTGTGATGTTTCCTTTTTCACATTATCTTTCTGTGGCGTTCCCTTTTTCACATTATCTTTTTGTGGCTTTTCCTTCCTTGGGTTGTTTTTTGTGTGTGTTTCCTTTTTTACTCTTACTTTGTTTTTTTCTTTCGACAACTGATCTTTATTATCTTGAATATTCTTTGATGGTTCTATCTTTTTTGTCTCTATTTTTGGTACCTCTTCTTTAAACTCCCCTTTACTTATTTTTTCTTTACTCAGATGTTCTATATCAGACTGACTAATCTTTGAGAGATCTTTTTTAGGCGTTTCTTTCTTGGGTGTTTCTTTTTTCAATTTATCTTTACTTACTTTTTCTTTAGTGAACAGATCTTTATTTGATTGATCAATACTTGACTGTTCTTTCTTCTCCCTTTTGGGGGTCTTTTTTTTCTTGTTTTCTTTCTTAGACCTTTCTTCATTTGATGACCTGTCACCCTGTGAACTTCTGCGTTGTCTTTTAGTAAGTTCATAATCTTGACCTTTAAACGATTTTGATCTTGATCGTTTGACACCAGCTGGTATAATGACAGGTTCTAATTGGTTAATAGAACCATTCGTTTCAATTTCCTCTGTAACTGACAGGTCAATAACTGATGATGCTGTCAAAACAGAATTATTAGCGTCTGTATCACTATCATTTATTTCATCATTAATATCAGCTTGATCACTCTCTAATCGCGATATAGCACTGTTGTAAACTTCAGAATCAGATATTGGATCTTCAATACTAGACACAGTTGCATTTCCAGAATTATTCAATGCATCCGTGTGTTCGTCCATATCAATATCAGAATAATCCAAATTGTTACTGATTGCAGTATCAACATATTCATGCACAACGTCATCAGGCTCATCAATACCACTCTGTATTCCATCAGTAACATCTAAATCCACCTTATCCTCCTTCAATATTTTTACATCTGTACTTTCCACAGTTTCAACAGATTTCTTTCTCTTCTTTGATTTTACGTATATTGGACTCTCTTGTTGTTTTCTTTTTTTGGTGACAACTTTTGTCGACTTTTTAGGTGGTCGACCGCGACCTATCTGTGGACTTGTTTTTATTGGTGTTGAAAACATCATTTTGACTACTAGCTTCTGATTCACTGGGGTCATTACTTTTTTGGGAGGTGATTTCTTTGGTTGACTTAAAACACCATCTTTTCTCTTAGATTTGTCTTTATGTTTGGGTGTCATTTTCTTAACAATGGGTTTCACTGATCTAAAATTTGTCAGTCCCAATGATAACATTTCTTTATTCTTTATCTTACCAAAGTCAAAATCATCTAATGATATATTAGAAATATGATTCTCCTCTAAAAACACTCCAATCTCTGTCTTTGATCGGAATTTTTTACCTTCAGGGCTGAAAGAAAGAGTAAACATCATTAACAATAGAGAATAGATTTGCATAATTATACAATATATAGTTAATGCAAAAACAATAGAAACGTTTGACTTTTCTACTTTGTATACTATGCTACAACACTCAGGCCTTAAAGATAATTTGGATTGGTTTGTAGATAAAGCTTTTAATGGAGCTTTCGGGAAAGGCAGAAACTTGATGGCCATTTACGCAGAAGATGCTAAATGGATTATAAAGCGTTGCAATGCCGCCACTGTAGTTTTTGATAAAGAAAAATTTTAAACTATCATACATTTTCTCATTGACAATGCCATATTTGAGGTTGGGGAGATAATACAGCAAACTATTGGTTTACCAATGGGAACTGACCCCGCCCAATTTATGGCAAATGCACATTTATGTAGATATGAATTCTGCTTTCAGGATCATAAACGAAAAGCAGATTACAAAGTAGCTAAAAGTCTAAACTATACCTTCCGACACATTGATGACATAACACCCATCAATGACAACAGAAATTTCAACAAAAATAAAAGTGAAATATATCCCCCAGAATTAATATTAAATAAAGAAAATTCCGGTATAATAAATGCATCTGTTCTTGACCTGAACATTAACATAATTAACAATAAATCTAATGTCGGTATATTTGCCCACAATTCACATATTTGTATCATTTGCATGATAAAGACGAGAGTATCCTTGTCGAAACGTTGCTTAGTATCAAACTCAGTAATTGTGTATCCATAAAATTGTACCTTGTGTTAAAACGGACAAATTTGGTTTTGAAGTAGTAAAATATCCGTCAGTTTATAGTAACATACCAGATACCACGCGGTATAGTGTTTTCTATTCACAGGCATTATTATTTTTAACAATATGTAACGATAAAGAACTATTTCTTTCCCGACTAAAATCTCTTTATTTTAAGTGCACTGCCAAAGGCGGTACACAATTACGCATTTTAAAAGAAATTTCGAAACTTCCATTTCTTCAACATACCAAGTTTGACATTTCTTATAAGTATATAACCGACTACTTCTGGATAATGATTCAATTTAAAAAAAATTTATTTTAAATTTTCTGTAGTTACCTTATCCTATCTTGATTATCGTCCTTATTTTATGCCTTTATAAATACTTACATAGTACAATTTCTTCAATTCTTGTGTGGTATATTACGTATTATATTTTGTGCATAACTTAATAATTCCGATTAGTTGCAAAACTGATAGTTTATTAACCTTTTGACATCATTTTAACTGGATTATCGCCCTTTTTATTGTGGTGTTTTTGTCACTTTCTAAAATTCTGACATCATTGACAACCTACGTCATTCAGCCAGCAGACGGCTGTCTTTCGAGACAGTCTACATTTTCTCATTTACTTCTTTGTATTCAGTATTGTTTGTATTTTGCTCTGTTTTTGTGATGGGTGGAACATTTACCCTACTGTGTTTAATATGCCTCTATTCTATTGAATACTAAAATGTTTCTTAATTGACTTAGAACATTTAGTTTTAGACTACCTGTTTTTTTTTTTTAATACATTTCACCTATGTGGTTACTTGTATAGTTAAATTTTACTACAAAATGCTTGCATTCATATTTCTTTTAACATATAGCAGATCATGACTCATGCTGACATTACACAATGGTTTCTCTGGGTTTTATTCCTGATTGTTTTCAAATTTGAGTTAAGTCTGTGTCACTACAGGCCCGGGACTGTACTGCGCAGTGGATGCTTACGGCTAGCCCCCGGATCCATTCACTTTATTTGAATTGTACGTTTGTTTGCGAGTTCTGCGTAATATGTCTTGTCCGTATATTTGTTTTTGTGTAAATTATGTGTGATGCAGCCCCCCTGCACTTACTATAATAGACATCATTGGGTGGGACAAAACATCACATGATATGTGTTCTCTTTGCTCTTCTGGGAGGGGTGGAGGTGTTCAAATAATTTCCTATATTTTTCATTTGTTGAAATAAAAAAAGAGTCAAATACCCCTTCTTAAAAGTAAAGTATATGAGACCCAGAATATTTTTGCACATGATCATAGGTAATTTTATTGTCATGGCATTGGATTGGTTTAGCAATCTATATTACCTGTAGACGTAGACATCAAATTTTCCAATAGATTTTCCTCCCAATCTTTGAACAACCTTTTTTTTCCATCCTGGAGGTAATAATGTTTCATCCTCTGTGGCCCCGGCTGTACCATATGTATGATCACCTCTACATAAGAATTAATAAATTATTTACAAATACGTTTATTCTAAATATAGAGAACCACAATCTTTTCATAGGTATAACTAGATTAAATATAAAACATTACGTACCCAGGTCCTGCTGGGATAACTTTTATAACTGGCGGTTTGTTTGCTTTCTTTTTATGTTCAAGAGATTTTCTTCTTGGTTTGCGGATTTGACTGAAATAAACCATCATTGCACTTTACCTTTTAAATATCAAAGATAGATTGCCAGACAATGAAACATACGCTCGCAGCAGCTAAATTGTCCAGGCAGTGGCCAAGACAATAATATCAATTTCATGCAGAGCGTTCACAAGGTTCAACAAAGTGAAACAAGGGCTATAACTCTAGAAGTAATAAACAGAAATTGCTGAAAATCAATAGGCATCTTCATTTTACAAATCTAGATAACGCATGTAAATTTCATACAGATTAGATGATAACTTTAGCCGTTACAGTTCGGAAGATAACTCTTGTTTTCACAAGAAATTATGGACAATGGACGGCCCGACAGAGGTGACAACAATATACGACCACATTTCCATGTGGGGGTATAAAAATGAGAATCACTTTAAAGGGACAATAACACTCTTGCTGGCTTGACAGCTCCAGAAAATAAATAATAGCCTTATTCTAAGTACTAGATGTTTAAGTGTCCTACCTGTTGTGTAAATCATCCATTACATCCTATTTTACTTGTCCAGAGGGTTCGAAAATATTTTTAAATCCAAGCCACATTTGAAAAGGTTTACATTAGGCTTTTCAAATCATTTAGTTGAATTTTTCCAATTTTTTAAATTAGGTGTGTTAAGATGAAATTTGTATCACCAATTAATTGGAATATTGTAAAATAGTACAATTTGTTGACCAGAATAAAGATTGGGACATATTATTCAGTTACAACAAGAGTGGTATTGAGCCTTTAACTATCTTTCCTCTGACACTGTCAGGGCCCACTATGCACCCTCCAACAGTACAGTCATCCATTTAAATCTAAATTTGCTAAACCACACAGAGCTAGTTTTAACAAATCCATCTATACTAAGCTTTAAAAGTAAAAATGTCACCAGAAAAATATATCTGTGAAATGATCCTGATACAACCTGAAAAGATATTACTATTTAAATATACCTTGTGGTAGCTGTGCTAGTAGTAGCAGCACCAGGATGTACTGAAACCATTTTCGCAATTTCTTCACTATTTCCTTCCACTAATTCTTCATCTTGTTGACTAGGTATTTCTCCTGCTTTAACATTAAATATGCTTAAATCTACATCAATATCATGTTCATCACAATATGCTGCCAGTTCCATACGTGTTCGAAACTTTCTTCCTTCTGGACTGCAAAATAAATATTCATATATATATATATATGTTACATTTAGAAGGACATTAACACCCAAAAGCCATGCCAAAACAATCATAATGGTCTGGATAAGTTAATTAATGTCTAAAACTTTAGATAACATGTCAAGCCTAAAGAAAGACCTGCAATAGGCAGATTTAGCTCGTGCATAATGTATGTTTAAATAGGCCAGTGATTGGATTTTCAAAATAAGGCAATAAAGGAACAAAACTGCTTTTGGATTACATCAAAATAAAACATTGATCTGACGTTTTATTTGGTTTAGTGATGCGGTACACTACTTTCGATTAGACTAAATTTTCTCATCAACAGAGTGAGTGGGGAGTTGGGTTGTTTACATCTCTCTTCGTTTTTGCTTAAAATGTTAAGAGTTGAACCTACTCAACCTTGGTTGTATCAGTAGTCCTAAAATAAAGTAACAATGCTTATTCCACTCAACTAGATCACTTTTTAGGTAGGGTATTTTAGCTTTGAGAGCAATCATTTTTATCACTCAGTTAGTCACCTAACCGCCTTTTGATTAAAGCTGTCTAGAAAATAAAATACATGTACATGCTCACCTGAAGATGATAACATCATATTTTCCACTTGATTTGATACCAAATCTCTGTATCAAACGTTTCCTCCATCCATCCCCAAGATCTATTTCTTCAAATGTAGCACTACTATTATAGGTGTGATCGCTTCTGAAAATAAACATATCTAATAATAGCAACGGATACATAGAAAGTATTAAAAATAACAATACATGTAGCTTTTCATCCACATTCTCAATCTGTTTCACAGCGTTAATGTGAAAGCCCTCTTTTTTTAACTGACTGACCTTTAAATTCACATGCAGTAGGCTATAGGTCTATGTGTAATATCACATCATAAAATGTGCACTGTTTACATCAGAGGTACTAACACAAATTAGTCTGGAAGGATTTAGTTCCTTCTTCATAGGCTTACGTTTTTATGTACCCTTTTACACTAAATAGGGAATATCTTTTATCCATATAATATACCGGTACATGTATATTTCCTACACCTTGATTTCTTTTCTTAAAAATCTAACAAATTGTTTTAGAATTTAATATGCAGAAGAAAAAAAGTTAATATTGAAAGCTAATTAACTTGCCCTAATGTCATGATAATACACGTAGCTGTAGAGGCCAAAAGCAAACATTTACTGCTGATCAGTTTGCCACATTCTGATCAACTTTTGCAGATATGGGACACAGAATAACCATTTTATCTCGCCCCAATGTCATGATAATACATGTAGACGTAGAAATAAAAAGCAAATATTTACTGCGGATCAGTTTGCCACATTCTGATCAAATGTTGCCGATATGAGACACAGAATAACCATTTTTCGATGTTCTGGTTATGACAAGACACAGTAAACATAAACAACAGAATTAAGTACCTTATTCCAAGACCAACAACAGTGGGTACAGTTGTGGGAGAAGCTTCAATGGCTTCTAGATAACTATCATCGGTATTCTCCATAGCATTATCGTCATTATCTTTTGGATTATTATCATTGGTATCCTCTACATTTTTATCATTTGTATCTTCTAAATCTTTATCATTGGTATCCTCTACATTTTTATTGTTTGTACCTTCTACATCTTTATCATTGGTATCCTCTACATTTTTATCATTAGTATCCTCTACATTTCTATCATTAGTATCTTCTATATTATGCTCATTAGCAGGGTCATTCACAATTATTGGCTCAAGGAGTGTGTCTGTGACAGAGCTGGCTGAAACCTCTTCATTTACATTCATTTCTTCTACTACACTTTCCACTTCTCTAAAAAAGTAAGAATAAAATAAGGTCACTGAGTTAGAATGAAAGAAAATTCATTGATGTGCATAGCAAATATTATGGATGGAAGCTATGCCTAGTACTAGTTAAATTCTTACACACAGCATCATCCTGTCAATATGAAACATTGCAAGACTTTTGTGGTCCAGCTTTTTTTTCAGGCAAAAGATTTCTGAACATTCCACATGTAGGCCTACATATGTATATATTCCTTACACAGGCATTTCTAATATTTTCCAAAAGAAAACTTTGCTTTGTACGCACTAATTTATCGATTGGTATTGCCATCTACAAGCTTGTCGAGGAATGCATGTCAACATGCAGCTTGCAGATTATCATTACAAATTTCTAGGGACTTGTATTGTAAAAACAGTGCATGTCGTGTAAATATTTACTTTTGAAATAAATTCATCAGCATATTATTCTTTTTTAAAAAATTTTTTTACTTTTACGAGAAACAATGATTATCAAAAAACCGTAAGTGCAACTAACGCTTTATCATTTGGTAGAGCCTTTTAATAACCATGTGTTTCATGTTAATAAATATTTTCTTTCGTGTTTTGAATTGGCCTATTTCTAATAAATTCATCATAAATAAAACGTTCTTTTCGTAAACATTCAACATTGGAAATTCTGCTGTAGGTGCATGATCTATGGCTCCACGTGCTGTACTTGCGGTAAATTTTACCCACATGTTATTTTTTTTTATAATCGTTTTTGGCTTATTATAATAAATTGATTTGACAGTTGTGTTCAACCTTTCCTTTCAACTTATTCCAGAGTCTGAAGCGTCGCCTACCCGAGTCCGAAAAGTCGAGGCCATATCTTTTCAGACTTTTGGAGTCTGAAATGTTGTAAGTCTGAAAACACAGGGACCGAATATGAATGAAACGACATAATCTTGTCTGGATACCAAGGAAACCTGCAAGAGCTTTGGCAGTATTCAATACCGATGTGCAAACTGTAATTCTGACTGACAATCATGCAATCTTTCTTTCTTTGAGAGTGTCAGTCTGGCCTTTTGTTCACTTTTACTTAATTTATTTTTTTTTATCTTCAAGCTTGTGGTAGGTCTAGTAACTGTTCAATCAAGTGATTCACTCATTGTTTTATTCAAACTAATAACTTGTTTTCAACATGCACATCCATGTAAACCTCTTACCCTTTCAATTCTAAAATTTCTGAATCTATGCTTGGCTCAAATGACATGTTTACGTTATATATATTTATAAATCAGCTCCAAAATCTAGATTCAAGAGTATTATTTCCATTTCAAATGCCAAAATAATTTTGATTTCCGCCGATGGTTATTTTCATATTTTTACTGACACGTTTTAGATATAAAACGAAATATTAATAAAGAATTCAATGTAAAATGTTGTATAGGGTTTATTTGAAATAGAAAGATGTATTTCAATTTTATAGCTTTACCTTAAAGTATATCTTGATGAAATAATCATTTTATATTTGGTTGCTTTACTATATAACCTATATTCGTTTTGTTTCATATTCCGGTCCCAAATATATTTATGCACTAGAGGGCGCTGCTTATAATTTCTAGAATTAGAGGCTGGCGGGAGTTAAAAATGTTTGTAAACAAAGTCATACATTTTATCATAATTTTAAAATGTTGACTCATCTTTGACATGTTCAAAGATAGACGGCAACATATTTTCCTTGCTATCTTACTAAAAGGGGAAAATAAATAAGGGTTGGCAGAGAGTGGCTCCCATCCGACTGGCACAGACAGGATCAGTAGTACATAAACTCTACTACAGACATCAGTCCAAAGGGATTACTAGATTACTACGAATAAGAAGCACTTAACTTTAAGGCATTACTAAAAAAAAAAGGCGTATGTTTTCAATACAACTGCATCAGTACAATGTTGCGACAAAAAAAACGATTACATTTCAATTTGGTCCCCCGTCATTTCGGACTTACACTTAGTTAGGGTTACAATATTTCTGACGCGGGCAGGTGACATTTCGGACTCGGATAGGTGACATTTCGGACTTGGGAATAAGTTGAAAGGAAAGGTTGAACACAACTGTCAAATCAATCTATATTAAACCAAAAGCGATTTTATAAAAAATAACATGGGTAAGATTTACCTCCCATCCAACATGTTCCCACTTCAAAAGTTATGTAGATCATGATATTTTGGTGTCTATTATTTCAGCCTGAATTTCAAAGATTTTATGGATCATTTTAATAGGGGGGTGCAGTATTTGAGATCAGTTCTAGTATGGTGGATGTGAAGTAAAAATAAAGACAATATTTGGTAATATATAAAGAGTTTTAATCCATGTGGTGGAGACAGTAGCTTCATCAGAATTGATCTGGATCGGAATCATACTTTTAGTCAACACCCTTCCTCATTTCAAAAGCATCTCTATTGTCATAACTTCCAGTGATCTTAACTAAGATCTACTGTGTATCAGTTCACTGTATGTAATCATTATTTTAAAGATTTCTTGATAATTCTGTCTTTTTCTTCAGAAAATAAATGGTTGAATGATTAATCAACAAACATGTCTGTATTAAAGCTGGTTTCTGCAGGAGAAGATGTGAAAATCTGGGATAGTAGAGGCTTTGGTTTGGTGAAAACATTTGACCCCCATGATCAGAATGTTTCAGCTGTATGCTGGAGTCACTGTGGTAAGCAGTTCATTAATTTTTAATGAAAGCATTAATAAAACAAACATTTAAATTAGGTTGCCATCTCCATCGGTCTGTCGGCCTGTCGTCCATCCACACTTGTTTGCCCGCTCTCTTAGAGGCCACAATTTTTAACGAATCTCTTTTAAACTTCAGGATAGTGGTTCTTATTAGTATACAACAATTGGGATCAAATTTGAGCTCAGTCGCTATTTTTCTTCTCGAGTTATGTCCCTTTCATTAGTGTAATTTTACTTGACAGCTATCTAAAGGCCACAATTTTTGATGAATCTTTCTGAAACCTTAGTGATTCTTATCAGAAGAGGACAATTGAGATTGAATTTGAGTGCAATAGCTTTTTTCTTTTTAGAGTTCTTGCCCTTTAATTAACATGATTTTGATTGTCTGTTCTTAGAGGCCACGAAATTTAATGAATCTTTTCAAACTTGAGGATAATAGTTCTTATGAGTTGACATTAGTATAGTGATTGAATTTGAGCACAGTCTCTGTTTTTGTTCTGGAGTTATGATTCTTTAATTAGCTTATTTTTGCTTGTCCGCTCTCTTGATGCCACAATTTTTGATGAATCTTATGTGTTGACAACAAATGAGATTGAATTTAAGATTTAAGCACATTCACTATTATTTTCATTTCAGACTTACATCTATGGCCCTAATTCTTGTAATTATGCTTCTCTGTTCTCTGGGGGTTACTATTTTTCGTTTTGGATAAGCTTGAATGCTGTGTATTGCTATCTTTTTTGCAAGACAAAGCTGCTGTGTAGGTGCATTTCCACTTTAAATCTTTTGTAGAAATATGTTTATATTATGCACATTATGTACAGTATTGAAGGTCTTTGTGTTTAGGTCTTCAGTATTTGTATTTTTTTAACTTTTTTCTTTAAAACTTTCTAATATTTGCAGGTAAATTTTTAACAAGTTGTTCAGAGAATGATGATAAAATACCAATAACTCATATACAGAATACCAGTAAACCTAGTGTAGAAATAGATGTAGAGGTAAGTTGTGAAACATCTTTGAATGAAAAAATGTTCTTTGCTTTCAGGAGGCGTTTGATCTTTGAGTAGTCTAATATAATTTAAATTATAAAATCTGTCATCGATCCCACTTTTGTATAAGACAAGTAATAGGGTTGCCTGCCGAACCTCATGTGTTTTCTGTGAGTTCTATGACTTCCTCCTACTGCTATGTACCACTGTGCACAAGCGATTTATATTGAAATAATGATCTTGTATGTGACAAGGAGTCTGCCCATATTTTAGAATTTTGTGAATGCCCTAGCAACAAAAGTTAACTTACAGTCTGCTTGAAATATATATGCAGGAGCCAATTAAGCCATAATGGTTACATATTAGTTTAGAAAATCAAAAAACTTTACAAGGCCGTTATACAGTCATGCAATAATGCACTTGGGGAAACATTTAGGCCTTTTTAGGTTTGGCAGCAGCTTAAAATAAACACTATCCCCTGGATAAAGTAATTTGTTAATTACTTTTAGGGTTATGGTCATTACTCACTTTACAAGGCCTTGTGAATGCTTTAACAGCAAAATATATTATCAAATCTACTTTGCTTTTCATTTACCTAAAAAATCACATTGCAACAACCTATGTTTCATTGCCTGGTAAAGTCATTTTATTTATAAGTGCATTTACAGCATAATGCAGTTCTGTTCTTGGTAGATTTAATTGTTAAACTGTCTGTATTAAGAATCAAATGTAGCCTACACACTATGCTGTAAATTGCTAATTAAAATATTTTTTGTTTATATTTTCAGAAAGGAAACCTATGTGTAGATTTCAATTCTAACTCAAGATATTTACTGTATGGTGGAAATAACTGTATTGTTAATGTCTGGGATCTTAAATCAAAAAAGTTAAAAAAGTCTTTTAAGGTATGACTTAGTTAACAAAATGGTTGTAGTCATCATTTTCCAGATGTAAGCATAACTGAAACAATTATAATTGGGATTGTGCAAAACAGTGGATACTGATATATAAGTTATCTGTACATTCACTGACATTGACAGACTTCTGATTGGTTACTTCTGTACCACAAATGGTCGTTTTGATGTTTTATCACATTTTCTGCTATTTTATTGTGGTCCTGCTCTTCTACATTTAGTACAAGACTAATCAAATCTTCTGAATTTATTAATTTGTATATATATTCATTTTATAGTTTGTTTTATATTGTTTAGGAACATAAATCTGCAATAACAAGCCTGGCATTTAACTGGAATGATGCTTACATTGCTTCTGGATCTAGATCAGGGGATATAATTCTACACAACCTACTGACAGGACAGTCAGGATCTCCACTACGAGCACCTAAAGTTCAGGTTAGAGTAAAGCATAATCTAAAAAAGAGAATGTTCTTGCACTTTTGATATTAGATCACCAGATTATAGTCAACACATCTATTTTTCTTCTATATTCAATCTGCAAATACACAGCTGAAAAAACCCAAAATATGTCCATGTTAAAACAGAAATATGCAATGTGCATAAATCAAGATAAAGCCACATTTGTATGAAATTACTGATACTTTATATTAAACATACATTATGCAAGAGCTAAATCTGCCTATTGCAGGTCTTTCTTAAGGCCTGAAATGTTATATAAACTATTAATTAGACATTTATTAACATGAAAAGACCATAATCAACTCTTGATGCCATCTTATGGGTCCAATTTTTATTGGATTTGAATCAGATCTGCTGTTCAAAGCCCATTGATGATAAACTGCAAAAATGGATAATCGGAACTATGTTCATTATAGTATCAGCAGTAACAATGACAATGAAGGCTACAATGTTTTGAAAATGAGGTTTTCTTGGCCCAGAGTGCAGTAATTTGACTGAAATTTTCAGCATATCCCCCTTACATTATCTATTTTTTTTAACTATTATAGTGAGAACTGCCAGGTCTTTATCTGATCTTCCATAATGTATATTTAACTATTAAATTAATAGTAGACATTTATCGATGACAATCTTAAGTTTAACTTTCTATTTATTTTAGACAATAAAACAGATACAGTATCATTATTTTCGTAAGTCACTGTTCGCTTCAGCATCAGATGATGGAGCTATAAACCTGTGGGATGCTAATACAAGACAATTAAAACATTCTTTTAATGATATACATAAAGCACCAGCTACTGGTTTGGCCTTTTCTCCTATTAATGAGATGTTGTTAATGAGTGTTGGGTTAGATAAGAGAATAGCACTATATGATGTTCAAGGAAAACGGTAAATTATATAATATCAATAACTTTTATTATATCAAGATTATTGAAATGCACATCACTAGAATAGATATTTTGTATTATGCATTCAATTGTTTTGCTTCATTGTATGTTGATTTATGAATAAGTATCAATTTTACATATTATATATGTTCAAATTTAAAAAATGAATCAATTTTACATAAATTATATATAATATGTCTTTACATTAAAAAGGTATGAATTTGACATATTATTTATATTTACATTACAAAGCCTTCAAATGCTCAAGTTGGTTATCAGGATAGTATTGTCAAATATGTATCTAAATACTGTAAAGTTATGTAATGTAATTCTTCATAGATATTGCTAAAATCTATTCTTAAATTGAGTATATTTCACTTGGTTTTATTTCAATCTATTATAGGAATTTGAGAGTGTTAATGGCAGATAGCCCATTGACCTCTATAGATGTTATGGCAGATGGTGCCACTATAGCAGTTGGTACATCCAAGGGTAAAATACTGGTGTATGATATCAGACAAGGCCCGAATCCTGTTCACATGGTTAATGCCCATAGTTGTGCTATATCTTCACTGTCTTTTCATCCAAAGGTAAGTACATGTATATTCAAAGTGTACTGTACAGTCATATTCTACACACACCATGTTCGAACAGCAGATGGTCTGCTGATCATACATGATTTCATGTTATACTCTTTAGTGACATAAACATTGATAATTTTATATTTTTGGTGAAAAAAAATGATTGTGTGTTATATTTTTTGTATAGTCTGAAATGAATAGTGCAGATGGTAATAGTTCAGATTCTAAGAAAAGAGATTTACCTAAAGCTCCTCAAACAAAACCAACCACCAAAACTAATGATACAAGTTAGTTTCTTATTTCAAATAATGCTTATTTATTTAAAACATAATACTTGTGGGTTCAAATATTAATTAGGAATCAGGTTTTTGAAAAGCCCTGAAAACCCTATGTCCTTTAGTTCAGGAAGAAATTTGTATGAACCATGTTACAGCAAAGAATATTTAGAGTGGTTTTATTACTTTTTAATGGTGTAACATGTGCATGTTAAATCATTGATTCAAGTGGTGTGGTTCAAGGAATAGGGTTGCCTGTCCAACCTCATGGGTTTCCTTACACAGCTGAAGACACCTACGCAAGTGAATTATTGAAATAAAATTGAACCATATGTTAGTGCCAAAATGACCTAGATTTTATCAAGTGGACATTAAACCCAATTTCTCTCTCTCTCTCTAACACTTTTCAATGTATTATATTAATTTAATTGTGTGTATTTGTATACATGTATTATTGATATAGATAGTAATGTGATAGCAGCACAAACAACAGTAGAAAGAGCTCAACTTAAACAACACCAGAATCAAGTAAGAGATGATGTCTTCTCACCTGTTAGAGAAAATATAGGTTACTATTTATTTCTTTTATACATAATTTTCATGGTTAAATTCAAAGAATTTACATCATCAGGTGGATTTAATTATCTGAATAAACAAACATCTTTAAAAAACAAAAAGAATGAATTCTAAATCTGGAAATGATCTATATTGTGGCAACTGAAATGTTTATGTATATGTATTTTGATTCTGTATATTAGTTGAAATGTGATTATAGAGTTATTTGTATTTAAGGTTATGGTTCAGCATCATTTACAGATGATTCTTGTCATCAACAATCAGCTACAACTGTTAATACAAGTGATAATAGTTCTACAGGTCAGTAGAATTAAATATTCATAATACTAATTGTTCTTTTGGAAATGTGGATTTCATTAAATATTAAAAGGATCACCTACTGTTTAGATCTTACTTACAGTGGTATTGTTTTGGGGTGTAGGGAGTAGGTGATCTGTGTTTTAGAAGAGAATCTGTAAAAATTAAGTGAATCTTCCAGGAAATCTCATTTGTAGCACCAAACTTAATTGCTGTAGATGATTTATATTTAATTTGAAAAAACCCCAGTTTATTTCATATAGTTTTACATATTTAAATTATCTTCCTTTCTGATATTTCTCAGTACTGGATCCTATAACTGAATCTTGTGGGCAAACTATCTAGGAATTGGCCCCAGGTATTACCAAACTTCAGCATGTCACAGCTCACTCTTCATTTTACTACTTCTATTGTTATTATCAGGTGTGTGTGGTGTATTTTCACCTCTACAAGGTCACCAGACTAGTTTATCTGGGAAATTTAGTCTAGGTAACAGTCCATTAATAAATAATAGTTATTCTAGTTCTCAGGTAAATATATTCCGTACTTTACTATGTATTCCTTATATAACCTGGACAACACATTACTGACGTGTAATCCTCTTTCCTTGTGATCAAGGGGATCCCGGTGGGTTAGACGCTGGTTCGCTAGCCTGGAGGTCGGGTGTTCGATCCCTGCATTGGCCGAGAAAGTTCATCCAGATTTTCCGGCCTGGTTATCCCTTGTCAGTGATGCAGGATGGAGGGCCTGACAAGGATAGCTGTCTAGTCGTTTGGATTTTACGAAAAACAGGTCCCATGTAACATTGGTGCGCACATAAAAGATCCCTTGACAGTTGGAATTCGATATAAGAGTAGACTGTAGTGCCGCTGTCCGGAAAAAATTCCCTCATAGCACACTGTATGGTGTATGCCTGTCTTCATTAACCCAGTTCGGAGCAAAATAGTAGGACGTTAAACCCCATTTCATTTTATTTCATTTCCGTTCATCAAAATTTATGTGAAACGCTGATAGGAATATACAAGTAAATCATTGTGATGAACTGTACAACAATGAGTGGTGTATTCCCATTGTGTTTCAGTATATTATAGAAGAAGATAAAGGATATAATAACATCTGTAAAAATGTCTTACAACTGATGTTGTTGAAAAAATAATTTAATAGATGTTGATGATATATTTCAGGGAGCTAGTTCAGCAGTAGTTTCACCAACAAATAATTCATCTCATATTTTACATACAGGTGTTAATGGTCATTCAGGTATATTCTAAACTTTCCATAAGAATTTTTTAAACACTTAGTTTGACCAATATTTTGGGTATTCCATTAGAATCGTGGTACCGTACCCATCTAGCAACATTTGCCCACTTGCGGACATGTTTCGTCAGATTTCCCATAATAGGATCGTGCATTATAACTTATGGCATGTTTCATCACTTTTTACAAAAAGTATTGTTAAACCCCAACATGGGCATGCTGAAAATGTTGAAATACATGTATATCTAAAAAAGTAATTGATGCAGGCAGGAGATTTTTGTTAGTATTATTTCAAAATTTTCATGCCTGTGTTTCCTTAGCAGTAATATCCTGGGATAAAGTATATTTTATTCAACCGAACTAAATCTGGTCCAAGACTTTGCTTCATACCCTATAATGACCAGTATGAACATGTAATATTTATAAACTTATATTTGTAGCTGTTAGTAAGGTTGTACAGAAAGGTGTCAGTGCTTCTCCAAGTTTACATCAGATATCAGGTTCTAGTCATGATGTAGATATAGGAGACAGTATTAATTCTGGTGCTAGTAATGGTAAGAAGGTTATGTTTACTGATGGTAGTCCACCAAATGCAGCAACTGTTCGACATATGGTATCTACAGCTATAGATAACTGTAGGCAAGATTTACGACAAGAAATACATGGTGCTTGGCAAGAATCTTGTTCTCCACAGGTAGATAAATATAAGTTCTGTTTAATCTCATTGAATTAAAGTGTAAAATTAATTTACAAAGTTACGGTTACAATATACATATACTAGTAGGGTATAACACGCTTAATCTGCAAGGTGGGTATCTGTACGGCTACCAGCAGCATTATAGTGAAGTCCTTGTCTTGTGTATAAGATATTAGGGTCTCACAATATGTAGATGTAGTAAATGACACCAACTTCTCTGAATCATTAGTGTGTTGACTTCTGTACAAAATTTCTATTATATACTTTGAGACAGTTTATCAGTAGCATCATTCTCCAGAATCTATTCCATTCTCTTAATATATCCTGTGGGAAAACATAAGTTGCATTTTTCTTTAGCATGCATATCAAATTAAAATTGTAATTATCTGCAACTGATTTAATCTGCTCAATTCTTATTCTATGCCATATTTTCTTCATTCAGAAACCAAAAGCAGAAGTGTCAGGAGCAGCTGATCCAAATCTATTTCAGACTGAATTTACAAGAAATTTAATACGAGAAGCCCTGGAAGATTTTCGTGAAGAAATTCATCGTGATTTAACTAGTCTACATGTGGAAATGTTAAGACAATTTCAAATACAACAGGTTTGTATACATAATACCACTATGCTAAGTTCACTTTGGCATATAATTCTTTTATCAGATTATTTATATTATAAAATAAACATGATAGGTATTTTCTGTAAAAATATTGCTACAGCTTAGAGAACAGGATCTCTTTCTTTGAGATTAGCTTAAATCTGAAAATACTTTGTTAATATATTTAGGAGAGTTGTTTTTAATTCAGCCAATAGAGAAGTTATGGAATTTTATTTTTACAATGCTTTTTGAAGTTGTAATGTTTAGTCCATTCTGTGATATTCCGCTTTTGTGTACCATCTTACCCGAATCTTTAAAGATCAAAATTTTTGTGTTTTTTCTCAAAAGTTTATATTATATCAGTTTTGTTGTCAAGCAAGAAATTAGTTTTTAGTTCAGAAAAATGTTAATTATTTTGTTTATGGTTACAGAATGAAGTTACAGCAATGTTACATCATCTATCAGTAAATAAAGATCTGTTAGCGGAAGTTGAAGAACTACGTCAAGAAAATAAGCGTTTGAAAAAAACTTTTTGATTAAAAGATGTTGAACAAGTCTTGTGCCACTTTTGAAATGTACATGCTATTCTTCCACCTGGTATGATCTTGTGAAACTAATGCTTGAGGTAGACATTATCGATATAGTCAACTGTGTATTGTTTTGAATCGTAACCCTGCGACATCCAGATTTATACCATTGTTATGTCTTTTACAAACAGATATTACCAGAAAAAAGTGACATGGAATCACATCTTTGGCTAATTGTGCATTTATTAAATTGATGGTACAGTGCTACTATTATCTGTACATTTCTCTGCATTATGTTTTCCTAACTTCTCCTTGCTGTGCCTTGAGTGGTTGAACCAAGTCTTGGCATGTAGGTGCATTTTCGGTAATAACAGATCAAGTTTAAGTTGCATTTTAGTAAATCCTCATTTACTGGGGTTGTGGTCCTTGGCATTACCAAAACTCTTGAGATTTATGTTTCCCCGACTTCTTTTCATTGTGCTTTGGAATATTTAACTGAAACTTGATGTGGAAACAGAGATTTGGTAATAATGTGTAAGTATTGTAGTAACAGGTCAAGCGGTGGTTTTGTCATGTTTACGTACAGGCATTTGTTTCAAATTGACATGACTAGTTTAGAGCGCACATATTTATAGATAATCATCATGACGTCTATAAAATCATACATTTATTATCACATGCACCATTTGTAACCAATATTTTAATTATAACGAATATATGTTCATATTTTCATCATGAAGAAAAAAACAGGAACTAACAAAGAACTAATCAAATCAACTCTTTTTAAAGACACATGACCTCTTTGATTAAAGTCAAAATAAAATGGTGAAGAAGTTTGATCTAAAGACAATCATGTTCTATTTAAAATTCTACACGATTGTTTGTAAAGTGGTTTGTTTTTATTTTTATGTAGATGGATGTCCATCTAGCAAACAAAATCAACAATTTTCAATCTAATTAAAATTTGATCTTTATATCATTTAGATTTTAAATTGCTTGGCCTAGACTACATGAGAATTAATTCTCTAATTTTTGCCACTGTGGTTTGTTAAAATGATTCTTTCCTGCTCTAAAACACCTGTTCATTGATTAAGCTAATGGTCAAGTCTGGTCAATTGAAAACAAAGATCGTAAAATATGTTGACCATATTGTAGTGTAGTGTATAGATCAAAAAGAAGCAGTTAAGCATAAAAGAAACTGAGGCTTCATTCTTTCTTCTTTTTTTTTTACCTAATTCAAAGAGAGAGAGAGAAACAGGGTTTTACACTCGACACAATCTAGGTCATTTCGGGACTAACACATTGTTCAATTTTATTTCAATAATTCGCTTGCGCGAAGGGGTTTTTAGCAGTGGGAGGTAACTGGAAAAAACCCACGAGGTGAGACAGGCGACCCAACTCCTTGTCACGTACAACCGGGGAATCAAAACCCCGCCAGTTGACTCAAGGACAGACCTTATGATACAGAGCGTACGTGCTAACCATTCTGCCATCCACCCCTCCCCCCCAATTCAAAGAGCTTGTGTCTTTAAATAGATACAGTTCTTAACATCTAATATATTACTGTAGAAAGCATAGTGTGATAACTGTTGACTTAATTATAATTTACTGTATGTTGTATAATTTTCTGGATACCAGTATTCTTATTTTGAGTAACTGGAACAAAGTTTTACTTTTTTTGTTTTTGAGTTATTAAATATTTGGTATTACAATACACAACAAAATTTACAAGAAATTAATGTTTATTCTTGCATGCTTATGCAAAATTAACCTTTGTCAGACTGTAGCCTTATTATTTTTGACAGAACAAACTTTTATTACAACATTTTCTCCACAGAAATTAAATTGTATATACATTGTACATGTATATTGTTCATTATCATATTGTTAATAAATCTGATCATATATCGTATTATGTATATTGTTAAATATCATATTGTTAATAAACCTTAAAACCTGATATTATCATATTGCATGCCTTTGTCTGATTTGATTTTGGCCCAGTGTGCTTGGCTCACTAACTAGGAGGTCGCATGGTTTATACTGATGATGGCCGGGATAGTTCTTAAGGCTTTTTCAGTGTGTTTTCCTTTGTTCAGTGTACAGTATGAAGGGGTGTTTAGCAAAACTCAGACCGACTGTAAAATTGAGTACTACACATGGGAATTCACCTTATTTATTAAGAATTTTACAAGAGCATACAAAGTACTGTGAATCTGTCACAACTTATGAAAGTCAAAATAATTACATTGTTGTTGTGAATATACATAAATTAGCAAAGATGTTGCTGTGAATATACATAAATTAACAAAGATATGACTATGTTCTCACATTTTCATCAAGCGTCCACGCTTGGTCAAGTTTGACCACCGATTGACGATTTTGTCAAGATCACACCTAAGATTCAATTGTTCAATGAGGCGTTCTTGTTTCATTATTGAACGCATAACACTGTATTGCGTATGCCCATCTGCATTAGACCAGTTCGGAGCAGAACAGTAGGACGTTAAACCCCATTTCATTTCTTTTATACTTCATTCATGCACAGAGATTAACTGGAGAATTTAACAAATTATAGGGAGCCACAGTGGCTCAGCAGCTGAGACATTGGCTCGCTAGCCAGGAGGTCCGGTGTTTGATCCCTGCATTGTCGAGAAAGTTCATCAGGATTTTCTTATGTGGTTCCCCCTTGTCTGTGGTGCAGGATAGAGGGTCTTGCAAGGACTATTGCATAGTCATTCGGATGGGACCATAAACCAAGGTCCCGGGTACACATTGGCATGCACGTAAAAGATTCCTTGGCAGTTGGAATTTGATATAAGAGTAGGCTGTAGTGCCGCTGTCTGGGCTAAATTTCCCTCAGTACAATTCATGGTGTATGCTTGTCTTCATTAGCCCAGTCGGTGCAGAACAGTAGGACATTAAACCCAATTCCATTTCATTTCAAAAAATTATAAATGTGTTGGCTTTATTCACTCCCCGTTGACTTCAATCTTAAATCTATGCCAATTTTGGGCCTGTATTTTGACATTCTAATGAACTTGATTACAATAACCACAAAGAGCCAACTATGCCACAATCATTTTGATAAAAATTTGGGAGGGAGTTGGCCATCTTGATTTGTTTCTATGTAGGATAAAAGGAAACTATAGGCTGTGACATTATTTTCGTAGGTTATTTCTCTGTTTTATGTTATGTTACGTCCCAGTCCTTCCGCCTCAAAATCATGAATATTCACCAAAACCTGGCAGGAAAGCAAAAAGTGAGAGAAATAAGAAAAGAAAAAATATACAAGTATATAGTCAAACTACCTTTGATTGTAGAGCAAAAAATGGGAGAAATGAACAAAAAAAAGAATTTACCAGAAATGTGTGAATTAACATTTTGTGCCACTTTTAGGTGAATATATATAACTTGAGTCGGAATAACCATGAGATACAAACAGATATGGGTAATTCAAAAACGAAAAGGGACTGCTATGGTTGCATTAGTTTTTGGACATTGACCTTTTGACTACAATGTTCCGGGTTGGAATCCAGATGTGGGTCAACAAATGGCTTCAGGAAATTTCAAGTCTGGTTCTAGCGTGTCACAAGTAGCCCTGTGCATGCAGCGGAGTTTGTTGAGAAGTAGGCCTATGTGTGCCTAGTCAATCGGTCCATCGGATAGGACAAAAAAAAACAAAGCCACCTGTGCACACATTGGCGTGCATGCGAACGAACCCCTGACAGTTGGAATTCGAAGAAAAGTTGGAAATTTGAAATTTGCCGTCGGGGCAAAATTATCATGCTTGCATTAATTGCAATGGCACGGATTTAACACTTAATGTAGTCAATGGAGCAATATAATTATTGGTCCGATTCAAGAAAGAGCAGACATATGGAAGACTTTAGTTTAGAATGTTGCGTTCATGTCTAATATATTCAAACTGGAATGTAGAAACAAGAATCATGAATATTGTCCCATTTGGTCTTCCATACAGACAAGGTGAAGATAACTCTCACTACTATGTTCGATGGAAAAAAAATAAAAACATGTCCGAGCCCAAGGACGAAAACAGTGCACGTGGGTATGATTATGAGAATGAAAATAATAACACAAAGTCTGGCAATGGTGTAGATACAAAAGATGAAGACTATGGGTATTATTTCTATCCTGAAAGAGGGGGTACAAAGCCAAAAACTTTTTATGACCGGCTATGGTCAACCGATACTTCAAGGGATTGGAAGTGTGAATCAAATGTTTTGTGGTGTATAAGAAGAAGTAAGTACCGTGTGCCATAACTGACGTGCCCAGTAAAAAAAAATGATTAATAATATCAATGAATTTAAAGCCTGGTGTAGCTGAGTAGTTTGAATAGCTGCTTTTATTGCTTTTTTTTGAGACCAGCTGTAAATCAATTCATTTTCAAGGGAATTTAAGGGGTCATAAATTGCATCAGGATCAGGCATCACGTATTTCCACAATTGATAAATATTCTAGAATATTTGGAAAACTACAGATTTACGTTTAGGCCTATAACAAGTATTTGAAGAGAATGTATTTTTTTTTTGATTTTATGATTTAGTGGTTTCTGTAAACATTTGAGGTCAGAGTGTGCTTATTACCATTATACAACTGTGAAAGCTCTTTCAATTATATTTGTTTTAGATCCAATGGTAAAACTGTTGATGAGAGCAATGAAGAGTCATGGTTGGTAAGTTTTTAACTTTGTATGTTATCGTCAGCCTTGACATTTATAACAGGTATGACAAAGAATTAGCCTATTGAATTTCAATGGTTTACTTTCAGAGTTATCTTGATTATTTAGATAGGCCCTATTGACATTCATGATTGATGTGACTATTCAAGATGTCCTAACACCCTGTAGTGATTTCGTAACTTGACAGGTTTTCAACGTTCAGAGTAGGTTTGGCTCTCCCAAACTCAACCACATTGATGGGTTGCCTTAACTCGACTACCTATATGGATCGCCCAAACTCTTGTATAATCTTGGAGTGCACGTGCTGTTGGCCTATATAAGAGGGTTGATTAGCTGAAGTGGGGTGTGTTTTATTGCAGATTAGAAATGGTCGCCTGTTTGGCAGACCAGTGGATTTTATAGGTGTATCGGTCGCTTATTTAGCAGACCGGGTGATTTTATATACTAGTATTATATAGTGTTCTGATGGAGTTGTCGATTGGTAGATCTCAATAACCCTTATACAACCTTCCTTGATTTGGCAAATCACTTCACCCCTAACAATAATTAATCCTAAATAAAAGGCATTAAGTCAATCTTTTGGATGCGAGTCTAGGACTTAAAGTTATTGCCAACTACGGTACATCCCCAAATTCCTCTAGAAAGTCTAATTGGTCTCAGAGTCTAAGGGTCAAATTTAGGCATACTGTGAAGAGCCTTGATCAGGTTTAAAGGGTATGGTGTTGTTCTGTAAGTTGAGGATATTATTGTTTGTTTGAAAATAAAATTTGGATTTTTGGATTAACTAATTTGATCATTTTCTATTTACAGTGAGATTAATCTAAGACGACATATTTCTTGTGAAGATTGTTTAGAAAGAGTTAATGGTGGTTTTGATCCTGTAAAGAATCAGGTACTGTTACAGAAACTGTATGAATAAAATGAGTTCTCTGATCATTAATAGCTCTAAGGATTTAACTGATTACGCATCTTTGATAAAAATTTCACCAGAACAAGGTTGAGTGCCAGTGGGGGGAAGCTGCTCATATGACCCAAATTTTTGTGGCCTATAACTTTTTCTGTTAAATTGTGGAAGTTATATCAGTTAGTTTTCTAGCTCATACATTATGACTACACATATCATGCGACTCAAATTCACTTAAGGCTATTCGTATGACCCACGTTATTGTTCCACAGAAGATGTAATGGAAAAGTTATGTACTACATGTATTTGTATTTTTTTACAGGTTGTTATATGTCAGAATAACACTGGCAAAAGAAGTATATGTTGTAATGTCTTAGCTCATGAATTTACTCATATGTTTGATTACTGTAGAGCAAAAGTAGATTTTAAAAATATAGAACATTTAGCCTGTACAGAGGTAAGTGTAACATTGGTAATAAATCCTAATTCACATAGAGAATGGAGTTTGTCATCACCCTTCCCTTCTCGTCTGGACCTTCATGTCATCCTGGACAGCAATTGAATTCCAACTGTTGTGCTGAACTGCATCGAGAGATAAATATAATATAGTGTTTATTTCTATTATGTAACCTAAAAAGTTGTTATTTGGTAACTTGTGTATACATATTACAGAACCTATTAACTAAAGAAAAATTATTTTTCACTTTTCAGATACGTGCGGCCAATTTGATGCATTGTTCTTTTGCAGCAGCTTTTGCTTCTGGTGACGCCTCACCATTTAATTATAAACAACAACATGCTGTAAGTATTTAATTATAAACAACATGCTTTAAGTATGTAATTATAAATAACATGCTGTAAATATTTAATTATAAGCAACATGCTGTAAGTATTTAATTATAAACAACAACATGCTGTAAGTATTTAATTATAAACAACATGCTGTATGTATTTAATTATAAACAACATGCTTTACGTATGTAATTGTAAAAAAAAAAACATGCTGTAAGTATTTAATTATGAACAACAACATGCTGTAAGTATTTAATTATGAACAACAACATGCTGTAAGTATTTAATTATAAACATGTGGTAAGTATTTAATTATAAACAACATGCTGTAAGTATTTAATTAAAAACAACATGCTGTGAGTATTTAATTATAAACAACACCATGTTGAGGGTATTAAATTATAACAACATGGATCAAGGAAGATTACAAAATTATGAATATTCTCAATTAAATTATTTCAGAGCTTGAAATTGCTGCTTGTTATGACAATAACTGATTTTTTTTTTGTGAACAAAGAGATATAAATAACATATAGTTTTAATGAGAAACCTATCCATATTTGTCATTGTAATTTTCTGCAGAAGTTTGAACCTATATATATGTGTATGTACTTGTGATAAAAGTACTTATTTTTCAGGGAACCACGGTGGTTCAGTGAGTAAGATGTTGTTCGATCTCTGCTTTGGCAGATAAAGTTCATTGTCAATTTTCGGTGTGGTTTCCCTGTGTCAGTGGTACAGGATAGAGGGCCTGGCAGGGTTCCCCATTGTCAATGATACAGGACGGAGGGTCTGACAAGGACAGCTGTCTAGTCATTTGGATGGGACAGAAAACTGAGGTCCTGTGTAAACATTTGCATGCACATCAAAGGTCCCATGGTAGTTGGAATCCGATATAAGAGAAGGCCATAGTGCCGCTGTCAGGGCAAAATGTGCCTCATAGCACACTGTATGGCATATGACAGTCTTCATTAGTACATTCGGAGCAGAACAGTAGGATGTTAAATCCCATTTCAATTCATTTTCACTTATTTTTCAGACGTGTGTCAAAGCGAAAGCTCTTCATTCAATACTAATGGTCCGTAATGTTACACCAGAAGAAGGCATAGAAGCAGTGAATAAAGTATTTGATAAATGTTATAAAGACTTAGAACCTGTTGGTAGAAGATCTAGAAGAAACTCTCGTGACCCTGACTGTGCGCTAGTTGAAGGAACATTTTATGGATACATCTGATATTAATCGGCATTAGACATTTTATGAATTAGGATATAATTAGGATTATATCTTAAAGACAACTTTCAGAATTAAGAGTGTCACATTCAACATTTAATGATTTGTCATTAGCATAATTTCAAAAATTCTAAGTGCCATTATATAAAAGACAATTTTCCAAATTAACAGTGCTACATTTGATGATCTGTTATAAGCTTAATTCTAAACTCAGAATTTGGCCTAACACTTAGATAGATAAGATAGGTGTTATGATCAATTCTTGTGAGAAAAATAAGTTTAATGTGTGTTTCATTTTAAGCTAGATTGATCAGTTAGAACTAGAATTTTATCTGTTTTAATTGGTATGCCTAAAATTAATCTGACTTGGGTAATTTGAGAAAGTCTCTAAGATCAAAGTAGTTTTTATTTGATTTGAATTTGATACAAAAATTAAAAGAAAAGTATGTTTTATTTCAATATCTAATATTGAAATGCAGAACCATTTGGCTGTAGTATTATTGGTGTAACAGTGTGCATGCTTTTATGACTAAGAATATTTGTAAACAGGTTGCTAGAAGTGAACAAACGTTTTCTGTTAGTCCATCCATCTGTCAGTCAGCATTTCCTCGTAAATCTGAGGCCAGTTTTGTTAAAAAAAATTTATGTGAAGATTTGAGATAAAAGGATGGGCCTTATCCGTCCATCTCTTGGAAAATGTGGACGCATATTGCATGGCAATTGCTTGTTCAAATTTTGGCGCATTATAGTTATGCAAGTTAGAGAGGTTGATAAGAATTTTGAGACAAACCAGATTTGGAAATTGTAGTGTTTTTGAAAGATCTGTCTTGTATCAATTCTTTTGCATATCTTTGTCATGAATAATGTTATGTTTTTTTAGTTGTGTGCAAGTGATTACAAATACTTTTTTTATATACAACTGGGGGTAGTTTTTTCTTTGATGTGCATAGCAGTTATATCTCATATCAACCTGTCATGACGTCATCATAGGTTGATATATTCGGTTCATATCAACCGCTGATGAGGTCATGACGTCATCTCAGGTTGATATATTTGGTTCATATCAACTGCTGATGATGTTGATGATTGATATAATACACAGAAATAAATTTTTTTCTTTTGACAATTAAAAAAAATGATGGTACAGTTTGTAGCATTTAGCACCGAAATAGACGGCATACTTATCGGCATATTTAAATCGGTTATTCATGTCTAAGATATCTTTCAGAATTTTCTTTTCAGCGACATTTCGATTATTTCTCCACATACTCCAAGACTTGAGAAAGTGTTTATAGCCCAAAAGTTCCTTTGTAAAGCATTTTTTGGTACAGTCCACTTAAATCTTTCTCTGAACATACCGAAAACCTTCACAGTTCACTGTCAGAATTATCAGAAACGATCGCCTTTTGATCCGAATTTTCTTCAGCCTTTGACTATCAACTAGTAGATCCTCGTCGGAATTTGCATTCACATCTATTCCACCATCAATCTGTTTGCTAAAAAGAATTGATTATTCGTCTGATAACGTATTACTATCCATTTTGTTTATGCTTTCAATTCATGCTTCGCCCGCATGTTCTCTGTCCCATCAACCTCAGGTAGGTTAATATCCTATACATAAAACCACAAGATTTGTAGAACATGCTGGAATGGTTATAGTATGTTTGTTGTGTTTTATTATAGAATCAGTTCAACTCTTACATCCACTAAAAAATGACTTTGCACAGCAATGACTACAAATTTCTATCTTGATTATTATACATGTACTCTAAAACAACAAATCAGATCATCTTTATGTATCAAAAATTGTATTTCTATTCATAAGAATCCAACATAATAAAATATGTTACCGATTTGTATTTTGATATAAGATTTTTTATCTCATTTTTCCAAGTGGTAACTTTAAAAGCAAATGTAGAATTTGAGAGAAATTTTAATATGTTCGATAAGAAGTTGATAAAAGATCTTTTGATTCATATTTTAATAGTATAAGAAAAAGTGCATTTTACAGTTCTAGGTGTTCTGAACCTTTGTGTGAGCACACAAAATTGACCAAATGTCTTCTTACACTGTTAGCAGTGAAGAGTAAAATATTTATTAAGAGTATTCATTTTTTTTTTACTGTATTCTATAGATAGAAATATTTTATTAATAAAAAGAAAATAATGTTTTACAGAATTATGTTTGATATAATATTTTTAAAGGAATCGTCCACTTTTATGTCATAAAGGGTTCTAAAAAACGAAAGCAGACCATATAATTTTGGAAAAAAATCGTATTGCTCTTTCTAAAAGCCATAGTACATGTAATATTAGATATGTTTTTATTGTATGACTGCATTAAAATGTGGTCGAATGTTGTTGTCACCTCTGTAAATTAGTGCCCTTGATCAATTTGTCATCCAGTCCATTTCAAATGGATATGCATTATTCATATTTGTGAGACACAGAAACAATTTTTGTTTATGGCCTTTGTGAGCACTCGGACAGCAAACAATCTGAGCAACAGAACCACTCCAAAGTCAGTTTGTCAACAAAATGGTTGCAGCACCCAAAAAACCTGCCGTCTGTAACATCCATCCTATTTAATCCCCGACTTTGACAAGTCTACAGTGTCGCTCTTGGGACTATTGTGCTTCCTTCAACCTTTGTGTCGGAAAAGATTGGAATTTCTTCATTTTACTTGCATATGTATCAACAGATTAATCTGAAATTCATTTACGTTGTCCAGATTGAAGGGTTGAAGAAGCCTATCTGTTTATTACTTCGAGCTATGACTATGTTTTCAGTAGATGTATTGATGTACATCACCAAAAAGACATATATAAGGCTTATATGGCAATCAAAATGTGTCCTTGAAACTAAATGAAGTTTGGGGGATCTGTAGTGGCTCGGTGAATAAGATGCTGGCTTGCTAAACAGGGGGTCTCATGTTTGCTTCTGTTGTTCGTCAAGAAAGTTCTGGGTCGGAGGGCTTGGCAAGGACAGTGTCTAGACGTTCGAATGGCACGGAAAACTGAGGTCCTGTGTACATTGGCGTGCAATTAAAATAACCTTTGAATGTTAGAATTTGATATAAGTGTACACCGCAGTGTCACTGTCCTGGCAAAATCTCGCTAATAGACTACTGTATGGGGTGCCCATCTTCATTAGCTCAGTTGGTGCAGTTAAAAGTAGGATGTTAAAACCTTGTATCATTTCTTAATAAATGTTGATTTAACAAGATACCACCATTCAACTGGAAATGAATTTATGCCAGATTGAATCATGCTAACATGGTGTTTGAGCAACTCCCCCACCCCCTTCCAACTCTCTCTCTCTTTTTAAAATTAAAAAAATAAAAACAATTTATATAGTTAGAATGCTTGATTATATTTAATTTCGAACCCAGGTTATCCAATCTGACCCAGCAGATAACAGTAATATAAAATATATAAAACATTTAACACTGTACATACTGCATAGAAATTTATAACTTCAACTCAACAGATATACAATAATAGTGAACTGACAAATAGGTACTCAATACAGCTATTGTCATATACTGATGGTAATAGATTGAATTAAGTAGTATCATACAAGCAATTTTACACAGCTGTACAGAGATTTACCACAGATGAACTTTAATCGATCAATTATAACACAAACAAATCAATCTAGACAACTCTGTCCTCCAAAACAATTTAATTTCTGGACAAAAAGCAGGTCCATGTCAATTTTGTCTCCTTAATGATAATCTTCTATATTGAATTAAATGTTCCCATAATTAACAGTTTTGCTTTGAACCCCCAATATGTACCCATTGGAAAATCTCTGTATGACATTACAAGAAATAGAATAAATCAACTAAAGGTCAGTTTTAGAGTGGAAACATCAATCACTCTTAAACTGGCCCAATCAACTAACAAATATTTGCAAAATGTCCCTGTAACTAGATATATTAAGCGTGCAATACTAAGGTTTGTGATAACATGAACAAATATATTATGCAAAAAAGAAAAACATAGGTGTTTATAACCAGCACCACTTGATAATAACAAAAAAATATATTTAAAGAGTATTTACAGATCAGTATATATATTTATACAGTGTATATAGAGATATTTTATTATATTTGTTGATAATTAAGTAGAAAATTATTTGTGACTTGTAATCACTAATTGGACGGTTTCAAAATTTTGATCAAATTATGTAGCTAAAAAATTGAACACATGCACTGGATTAAACATATTTTTGTCATGTTACAGGGGCAGTCCAGCTGCTAAGGACACTTTATTTTTTAAAATTAAATATGAACTTGAATCAATTGATAACTTAACAGGAGAAGAAAACAAGCTGAAACAAAAGATGTTCTGGACAATAAAAAGTAAATCAACCAAATTCTAAAATCTTTTCTGTTCCTGGAATTCAGACTTTCAAATTGGAATGTAGGAATCATTGAAACAATAAATAACAATCAAAGAAACAAAAACATGTTGAGCAATCAAGCATTCATTGTCGTATTATTCAGAAACAAATTCACTAAAATATCAACCTCCGTAAAACACTTTATTGAACGATAATGGTTGCCTTTTGACTGCGGTTGGTGAAATTGTTGTTACGTGTACACATGTAATGGTATGTGCCTTTCTTAAATTTTAGGACTGCTCCCTCATAGGATGCTGGTGCATTGTTTAATTGGTTCTGCATCTTTGCTTTGGTTTCGACTAAGAAATCAGCAAAGTCTGGATTTGGACATTCAACAGCAGAAATACACCTGCAAAACAAATGACACATTTTATGTAGAATTAAATATATACAGGAGAGAATAGGTAGACAGCCCTACTTTCAAGTGTGACTCCTAATTCATTGAGAATTTTTGGCTTGCCTTTCAATGATATTTTATCATTATGTAAAATGACAAAGCTATCCAAACAAATCACTAACTTCCATTTTTACGAGTTCTGGTATACTTATGGTATGGGGGTCTACTATACAGAAGGGAGGGGGTTTATAGGTTTTATATTAGAAATTTTTTATTGAAATTTTCTATGTTATAGTTTTCATGAGTTAGTTGTTCTTGGTTTTTAATGCATGGGTTAATGGCATCTAATAGACTTTAATATGCGTGGCAAATGGACAGTAAGTAACAACATACATTCTGAAAATGTGCCTTTCCTCAATCAAGTTACATGACAAACATGACTTCTAAAAATAAAAAGTTTTGAGAGGAATTTGAAGAAAATTTTTGACAGATTAATTAGTTTGAATATGTTTTTAGTCCAAATATATCATCAAATACATGTAATTAAACCAGTTTGTATGTGTGGGCATCCTAGTATATGAATTTGTACCTCTTAATCCTTGCATTATTCACAAACTGGGGTACTACTACTTCATTGAAGTATTTTAAATCAAATATGAGTAGACCTATAAGCAAATTGAAAACTTACCGATAATAACCAGATGAAGCCATATCAATAGCTAAACTTTTCTTAGATATACTTGTTAAACCATGATAGATCCATTTAACTTCAGCATTATCCCACATGGTAGATTTTTCAAATGGTACTGGGAAGTTTTCATTTCTGTCAGCCATCTGAGCAATGTTGTGTCTGTCAGATCCTTTGTAAAAAAAAAAACCCCAATAAGATGAAATTTGTATGATTTAATAAACGGTACAATTAAATATTAGATAGCTTTTTGAAATGAAGTTCTAAACTTTTTTACCAAAGTATTATTGTCCTTTTTATTTATACCGGTACTTTAGTCAATTCATTTGGTTTTAAGTTTATTCAACACAAGAGCTGTTTTGAGACAATCATCTGGTATTTTCTGCAGCAGTACAAGTTATGTTGGACATAGTATAGGAAAAACAGTACAGTTTCTTTGTACTATTAAGTATTTTTAGTATTCCACTATCAATTTGCACAGAGCACAGGTCGTTCTCTATCACCAAAATTGTTGATTTAAAAAAAACAAATCACATCTGTACTTTAAATGAGTTATAAGAGACTGTATTATTGTCTTTTAACAACTTACCAGATTTGCCTTCTCCAGCATCACCAGTTTGTCCATCACCACCTGGACGTCCATTTTTGTGAGTATTAGAACCTGCAAATAACATATTATATTCATGATAAAAACTTTTACAAAATTTCAATCTAGAAATGCCCCCTATCGTCTTCCCTAGGTTAAATGTCAAAATATGACTGGAAACATATCGACAGAAGTTTCTAAATTGAAGACACAAAAATATTAAAAATTTATACGGTTATTCCTTATACCCTAAGAAACAATCCGACCAAGTTTGAAAACACTATCTAAAACATTCATAAGAAAAGTAGGATGGACACAAATACTTATTAAATGTGAATGCACAAAAAATTGTGAAGACCTTTGACTCGGAGGGTAAATCATAAAAAATTATGGATGGATAATATACGTCCACATTAAATGTAGGTGCATAAAAAAAACAAAAGTTTAATAGACAGGATATCAAGCCAGAGGTAAGTGATGCTTTCTCTAGGATGAGGGTTGATATTTCAAAGTAATTAAATGGGGTTTTAATATTCTCCTTTTCTGCACCGACTGGGGCTAATGAAGACGGCTTACACTAGTGTGCTATCTGGTGTAATTTTGCCCCGACAGCGGCGAAATGGTCAACTCTTATTTCAAATTCAAACTGTCAAGGGTTCTTTGACATGCACACCAATGTCCATATGACTAGACTCTATCCTTGCTAGGCCCTCCTTCCTGCACCAGTGACATTGGGGGAAACAGCCAGGAAAATTCTGAGAAACTTTCTCGGGCAACACAGGGTGTGAACCTGAGACCTCCATGTTAGCGAGCCAGCGTCTTACTCAATGAGCCACTTCGGCTCCTAATCTTTTAAAAAAGACAACTGGTACATCAATTGTAATGGGGATTTCTACCAGATTGGATCAAGGATTATAAGTATAATCTGTTAAACAATTCCTACCTTCCCATTGAATGTGAACTAAATCACTTTCTGTCAATTCCAAATTAGTTGGAACAAAATCATATTCTACAGCTGGAAAAACTTGTACAATGTTTCCTCGCTTTCCTCGTACATTTAGATTTAATATTCTGTCATTCTGTAATGCAGCAGGACGGGGTCGTAAAAGAAAGGCATGGGTTCTATCTTGGAAGACTCGGCCAAACTGAGCAGTATTAATAGCTAGACGTAGAGGTGTTCTTCCTACACCAATATCTACAAATGGATTATTGGTTACTGGTGAAGGTTTACCACTGAAAATAAAATATTGATACTGAGAATATCATTTATCAGGCCCCCTATATGCCCACCAACAGCAACATCTTTTGTTTTTAGTCAAACTTTGGTAGGGTTATTTCCAATGCCACAATGAGCAATCTGACCAAGGGCCAATTATTATGAACTCCATTCCAGGTTTAGAACCAGCTGCTGCCAGGCAAAATACGCCCACATTTTTCAAGAGATGGGTAGAGAACAGTCAAAAAAAAAAAGATTTTTCATATAATCACAGGCCATAATCCAGGAAGTTACGGTCTGAAATGCGCGAATATCGAAATGGACTAAGATATTTAGGATATACAGATATATTTTAAGTTTCATAAAAATCGGATAGAGGGTACATAACCTTGGTATTGCATACTTTTACACTATTTGTGTACGAGGGGCTGCCATTTTGTCCGGCAGTTTTGGTCCGATTTTCAAGAAATTCGAACTCAACTGTCATTAGAGTGTAAGTGATATATACAAACGTTTTTTAAATCGGATAAAAATTGTCACCTCTAGAGGGAGAACAAGCCAAAAACGTAATATTTTTTGTACGATCAAGGGCCATAAATGAGGCCGTTACGATACGATATGCATAAATATCTTTGGGTTATAAAGATGTATTTCAAGTTGCATCAAAATTGGATCAATATTTTGACCTCTAGAGGGTTCACAACCTTGATATACCATATTTTTACACAATTTGCATACAAGGGGCAACCATTTTGGTCCGATTTTCCAGAAATTCGAATTCAACGGACATTTAGGTGTAACGGTGATATATTCGAACATTTTTTAAATCGGATAATAATTGTGACGTCAACTCGACACATACCAGGTCATTTCGGGACTAACACATGGTTCAATTTTATTTCAATAATTCGCTTGTGCATAGGGGTCTTTAACAGTGGGAGGAAACCGGAGAAAACCCACGAGGTTGGACAGGCGACACTACTCCTTGTCATGTACAACCGGGGAATCAAAACCACGCCAGTTGACTCATTGACAGACCTTATGATACAGCGCGCACATGCTAGCCATTCGGCCATCCACCCCCACCCTCTCGAGTGACCACAAGCTAAAGACGTGATTTCTTTTTAACAATCAGGGGCCATAATCCATGAAGTTATGCCAATATCGAAAGGAACCGAGATCTCTGGGAGATAGACCTATACTATATTTTGTCAAAATCGGATAAAAAAATTGTGACCTGTAGAGTGTCCACAAACAAATTGTGGATGGACATCAGGACTGACAGACAGGGCTGACGGCAAAATACGTCCACATAAAAATGTAGGTGTATAAAAATGAGACCGATTCTACTGACAAATAATTGAAAATATTTACTTGTTATAAAAAAGACAAGTAAAAATATTCATACTTACGGTTGGTTGTTGAATGAAGAGTCAGTATTAAATGGATCATAGTCATCAGTACTGATGTTATATCTGGAAAAAACAGAATTTAAAAAATTACTTTACTTCTACTCTAACTCCTATCCAAAGAAATACTGAATGACTCATCCATAACAAAATCAGTTCTTTCAAATAATGAAACATTTTCGAAGAGTAATCTCTAAACGTTTAGTGAATACAACTAATGTTGCCTAAATATATCAGCCGTATTCCATTATCATGTGTTGTAGTTTTATTACTCTATGCAGTTACGTAGATCATGTTACTTTAAAAGGTGTACCATATATTTAACGATTATATTCTATTTTTGGGCAGTGTTACACAAGACAGCCAATTAGTAAATAAATAAAATGTAGAACTATAAACAAGAGATAAATAGTAAAATATTCTTACCTCATTCGTAAAATACATCTTTTTTCTTTATTGGATGGGAAATGTGGAATAGTCCATTGTACAGTGTTGGTTTCACCACCTATTCCATTACCTAAATGATTTGATCTGTAAAAAAATGAATATGAAATGAAAGCCTTCATTTATTAATTTACTGGCTATGGACCAATGAAAAGTCGCACTATCTAGTTAATCTTCTCCTAATGAAGCAATAACCTGATGCTCTACTCCCAGATATATCTCCTAATAAACTTCCAGAAGGTGTGACAACCCTCTAATAAACTTCAAATGAAATCTCTCCTTTATGAACTCCCAGTAGATGTGTTATCTCCCTAAAATAATCCCAACAGATAAAGAGATCGTAACTAGCTGAATATTGGAGGGGAGGGGGTGCTTATCTCCAGAAGATGAGAGCTGATAATGAAAACCGTTTTCACAGAATCTCGAGTCAACCAATAACAATCTGCACATTACTGAAATTGAACGTGCACTATAGAAAAATGTCTTTTGGAGCATACAACTGAAAAATGAGACTAGTAACTTACCTCGACCAAGGGGCTTCTTGACAAGCTGGTTTACTCAGTCGAACCAGACATTCCTTAGTTGATCCATCAACAGAATCGAAAGGTATGGCCCAGATACGGTCTGTACTAGCTATACATGCAGCTTCATTACCAATGGCTATAAATTAAATAATAACGTTATTGCAAAGCAACATAAAGACTAGATGCTTATACTGGTTTATAATAATATCATAATAATAATCATTTCTTGCTAAACTTAGTACATAAGTCAAGTTAAAGGGGCATTATGGGAGATTAGATAAGTGTTCACAGTTCTCGCCATAATAGTTAACCAGCGGCTGCCAGGCAGAATATGCCCTCATTTTGCAAGAGATGGATAGAGAACAAATTAAAAACAAAAATTATTTTTTGTACAATCAGGGACCATAATCCAGAAAGTTATGGTCTGAAATGCGCAAATATTCCAATTCAAACTTCATTATGGTGGAATGGTGATATATCTTAACGGTTTTAAAAATCTGAAAAAAAATTGTGACCTATAGAAAATCCGCAAGTTAAAAATGTGATTTTTCAACCTACCAGGGGCTATAATCCAGGAAGTTACGTTCGGATATGTGTGATTATCAAAAAGGACCAAGATCTTTACGATAAAAATATAAAGTTTCATCCAAAATTGTGGCCTCTAGGGTCCACAACCTTGATATACCATATTTTTACACTATTTGTGTACAAGGGGCGGCCGTTATGCCCATCAGTTTTTTTCCGATTTTCACAAGATTCGAACTCAACCATCAATAGTGTATAACTGTGATATATTCAAACGTTTTTAAATTGGATAAAAATTGTGACCTCTAAAGGCACCACAAGCTCAAAACGCGATTTTTGTACAACCAAGGGCCATAATTCAGGAAGTTACGATCCGATATGCGCGAATATCAACAGAAACCAAAAACACTGGGTTATAAACATGCATTTCAAGTTTCAGCAAAATCAGATCAAAATTGTGACTTCTAGGAGGTCCACAACCTTGATATACCAGATGTTTACACTATTTGTATACAAAGGGTGGCCAATTTTTCCGTCAGTTTTGGTCCGATTTTCACGAAATTCAAACTCAAACATATTAGGGTGTAATGGTGATATACTAAAATGTTTTTTTAAATCGGATAAAAATTGTGACCTCTCGAGGGACCTCAAGCTAAAAACGTGATTTTACGTACAATCAGGGACCATAATTCAAGTTATGATCCGATATGTGCAATTATCGAATTGAACCAAGATCTGTGGGATATAAACATGCATTCCAAGTTTCATCAAAATCGAATGAAAATTGTGACCTCTAGAGGGTCCACAACCTTCATATACCATATTTTACACTATTTGCGTACAAGGGGCGGCCATTTTGTCCGGCAGTTTTGGTCCGATTTTCACAAAATTAAAACTCAACCATCATTAAGGTGTAACGGTGATATATGAAAACGTTTTTTTTAATCGGATAACAATTGTGACCTCTAGAGGAACCACAAGCTAAAAGCGCGATTCGTACAATCAGGGCCATAATTCAAAAAATTTATTCCAATCCGCTAAATATAACAGGTTAACGATGGCATCGAGATTTGATTTGATAATTAATGTCTAATAAATAATTTAGACGCGCAATATGCACTTTTAGCTCTTGCATGATGTATGTTTAAAAGATACAGTTTTAAAGCTACATCCAAGTTGCAGCCGTGATCTGGAACCTGGAATTCTTTGTTGACTGTTGTTTCTTACCTATAGGATTCTGTTTTCAGGACAAGTCTGAGATGATGTTTGTATTATGATTTACCTTTCCAAAAGTGCAATATTGTAACAAAAATTGATAAATATGATGACTATAAATAGCTTGAAATTCGCAGAGTATGGAAGTATGGAAGTTCATTCAATTTTCTGACCAGAATATGCAACATTCAACTGAGACAAAAATATAAACTTACATGCTTTTTCTAAGTAATTGTGTAATTCTGTCCAAACTCCACCTCCTGTTGCACATGATGCAGGAGTATTGAATTTTGAGTCCTTTCGGTTTCCGGATGGATATTTTTCAATGCAAAGTCCATATGGTTGGACATTAAAACTCTCAACAGTGTAAGAGCTAAAGAAAACAAAAACAAGCAAAATAAATCAGATCAAAAATTATATTAGTAATATTTTCATTGTTTCATAGTGACTGGTAGAAAGTGCAGAAGATCGTACAATACACAAACAAAACCTGCACAATACACAAACAAAACCTATAAGATAAACATGCAGATAAAACAGACATTGCAAAGTGATATACATGAGACAAGATAAGCCATTCAGAATATCTGATACCAATTCTCACTTTTTGGGAAGAAATCATACATAATCATTTATGCTGTAAGTGGTACCTTTTTATTTATGGATATTCAGCAAAGAAGCTCATTTTCACTTACTCGCATAAGGACGCATTTTCAGCCAAAACAGCAATATCTGTCCATGGAGTGGGATGCCAGTAAGGATAGTAGTCTCTTTCTTCAGGGCATTCATAACCCCGTCTGTTACCATTGGCATTTTGCCTGGTGAAGATGGCACTTTGACCTTTGAGCTTTTGATCAGCCAGAAACAGTCCTATATAAATAAATGAAATGTAATGGGGTTTAATGTCGTACGGTTCTGCACCAACTGGTCTAATGAATACGGACCTATATAAATAATAAATCTAATAATTAAGAAAATTGAGAGAATACAATTCTATATAAATACTGTATTCATTCACTTTCCGATTTAATCTAAATTCAGTTTTGTGAAACACCAACTTTGTCTGGTAGTCTGAATTCTGGGGATTTTGAAAGATGTTCATTTATAAAACTACAAAAGACTCATCTTCTGCCAAAATACTTGTACATCCAGACATTCGATTTGGATTGGATAATTTCAACAACAAAGCTCTCTGCAAGTTATATGTTGCAAATAACAATATCCAGACTTCAGAACAAATAGTGTACAAACTAGTTGATAGGTTTATCTTACCATTATTTCTGTTTCGAACAACACACTGCTCATACCAATTCCATGTTTCATGTAAACCTTTATTCTGCTGTACATTGGCAGCTTTCCTGGCTGCAACTGTTGCTTCTGTTTCTGCTTTGGTGGGTTTAGTGTAGGCTTGTGTATTAGTAACAACACCATTACGAATAGTATCAGGGCCACCTACATAATACAAAGTGTAATAACAATTAATAACAATTTTAATATTTCCTTGACAGTCACGATTCTAAATATGTAACAATTTAATTGGTTAGAAAATTATCAAAACTAGATGGAAAAATAAATAAAAAAAATATTTTTATTTCCTTGACAGTTACAATCCTAAATACATGACCATTGGTTGGAAAACTATCAAAACTAGACGGAAAAATATATTTGTTACAAAATACCATACAATTTATATATTTTTAGATACTTCAATTGAATGTTTTTGACAGTTTAGAAATTTAAATTCTGCCACCATTATCTATTACACTTGTAAGATTCTTATGGACTTATTAGGTAATTTGAGCCAATTATCTATGCTTCTGGAACTATATCTTGAAAAGCATAAAAGAGACAAAATGCCAACAAGCAGCAAAGTTGTCCGTCCATACTAAACCTAAAATCTTGGTCGTGAAATTCTTCAGCACAAGTTTTAAAAATCTACTTTTAACTTAGCTTTAGAAGCAAAATGAGAATGGGAAAAGCACTCTGCAAAGGTGTTTGAAATTCAAATATTTGTGAGGGTACAGCAATGAGCAATCCTTGGAAATTCTACAAACAATCGGAAAAGAACATGAAGATTTCAAAGCATGACGAACACAGGTGTTGACAATATAATAAATAAACACTCAATTATTCTCAGTTCTTTGATGGACTAGCATAACAGCTAATAATTGGTTATTTAGAGAGAGAGTTTTCAGAATCATTTGACAAAATAATAGGGTTTTAAAATCCTACCTGTTGGTTCCTCTACGTTATCTTGACACATGTACTGTAAGACCTATTGAATTAATACAACATAATTTTAAAATAGTCAATTCTGTAAACAATGAAATTGGTTAGTTTTACATGCAGGACATTTCCATATTTAAAGGAGTTAAAGCTGTTTGATTTAGGTCAAATTAAAGTGTTGATCTGCGATAAGTAATGAGACAAGGTCAAGATAATCAAATTTCTGTTTAGAATTACAAAGTGAAATTATCCTGCTTACTAATTTGAGCGTAATTTTTGGTTTACTATGTTCAATTCAGAACACAATCGGTAATATCTCAACACTGGCTTTATCTAGAGACGTAAAATTTCTTGTTGGATCCAAACCAAAGAGGTCTCGTCATTTTAAGGTATTGAATAAAATAGCACAAAGAATTTTCCTTCTGCGTAACACTCGAGAAACGGCAAAAACCATCAATGTGTAGTAGTATGTAATTTATTTACCAATTTACAGTTTAGTTTTTGTGGATTATCATCCTCATTTCCACCACAACCATGTTGATTTGTCCATTCTATTGTCAGTTGAGTCTTTCCTGTAGTTGGACCACTTTGGAAGTATTTCTGAAAGGTTAATAAAATCATAGACTCAAAAGTATGTCGGGTATATTTTTTTTTTCATAAAAATCTTTAGGACAACCAAATTTTGGATACTGGGTATGGATCGTGATACGAATTGTATTGTAGCACCTGAATCACAATATGTATCGTATCGTGACTGCAGTAGCAATACCCAGCACCAATATAATTGATGTACTTGAAAGCATTCATAAATATTACACATAATAATAAACAGTATAAGTCTATATAATTTAATTTTGCTTTGCAATAAAAATCTTTAGAGCATCAAAAAGAAATAAAATATGGACAGTTTGGAAACTCTTTGGAGACGTAAAATAGTCGAAAATTTGTCTAAAAGCACAGATTAATGTAATATGAATGTATATAAAGTGACTTATATTCAATTTTCAATATTTTAATTGTAATTAGAGTAATTAGAACAATGTTCTTTAATTCATGATATGTACACAACTTAATTTTCCATTCAACATTACTTACGCTAAAGATATATAATTTTATAAGAATTAACATATTGATATGATTCATAATATTTATATTATTTGAAATACTTTGATGTGTAGTACTGTATCCTGTTCTGATATAAATGGCAACTCAGTGCTAGGCAGTACCCACTCCCGTTTTCTTGTATACAAAGCTGAACCTAACACACCAACCTACTTTTAAAAAGTAAATTATGTATATAGATTTATTATGTAGCAGAAATGGCATTACGCCATCTACAGTCTTTTCATTATTAAAACTTGTTTTATAATAATTTCTTTTCAGTTTTATTACAAGCTTTGAAGGGAAATAGCCTCTTGAATAGCTTGAATCGACTGGTCACATCAAGTAGGAAGTCCTTCTACCCAATCTATGGAAAACAGACAAAATGCAATCAAAATATTTCATCTACAAGTACACTTTAGTCATATCTCCCAGTGGTGGATATTTGGACTCCAACCTTTCGCGACTATAAAATAGGTCTGTAAATTACACTTGATGGGACACGAAATGAAATGAAATGGGGTTTAACGTCCTACTGTTCTGCTCCTAAACTGGGCTAATGAAGACGGGCATGCGCCATACAGTGTGCTATGAGGGAAAATTTGCTCAGGCAGCGGCGCTACGGCCTACTCTTATATCGAATTCCAACTGCCAAGGGATCTTTTACGTGCACGACAATGTGTACACGGTACCTCGTTTTTTCGTCCCATCCGAACGATTAGACAGCTGTCCTTGTCAGGCCCTCCGTCCTGCATCACTGACAAGGGGAAACCACGTTGGAAAATCTGAATGAACTTTCTCGGCCAATGCAGGGATCGAACACCCGACCTCCAGGCTAGCGTCTTACCCACTTAGCCACATGATCCCCTTGATGGGACAAGTTATCACTACTGCTGATTAGTGCTGGGCATTGCCACTGCAGTCACAATATGGTATGTATTGCGATTCAGGTGCTACGATACGATAAATGAATAACTGATAATTTTAGTGCTGCTGATGTCGAAGAAATAAAACTTTTATATCATGATATTGATGTGGATCAAAATAAGGAGCATGACAATTTAAGAGTGTTTGTGTACCTATGGATAATGTTTGACGTGTATAATTAAGAGTGACAGGTTACTTACATAAAAAAAAGTATTGTGATTCAGCATCTCACGATTCAATATGTGAATCGTGAAAAGGTGAATCGCGCCGTGCCAGCAGTAAATTATATATACTTACTATAAACATACTGTTTATAACAATTTTTTAATAAAAAGATCATTATTATGTGTACCGTAATGTATGGCCTAAAGATTGTTATTACTAGTGTTATCAAAGTTGTAGAATTATTTATATTATACCGACTAATGCTTTAGAACACTCTAAGGATTTTTATCAACAATATACATGTACTGTTTTATAAAAGCTGTAAAGATTATTATTAAAGATAATGTTTACATGTTATGGATTTATTGGGATATAAAAATGTGTCTTTACCATTCTATATTGTTTGCCTTCATCAGCACCAGCTGCTACATCTGTAGCATCTCCTACATTATGACCACCTCGATTATTATTCTATAAAACAGAAGAAAAAAAATTAAAATTATAAAGAATCCCACAATCCTTATTTATCCACAAAGCTTGAATACACAGCACAACTATTCTACAGTACAAATCTTAGTCTTACCAGGTACAGTAGATATACATGATAAACATACCCTTTAATCATCCTCATATCCCCAGTGGTCTCATTCCATTCTACTCCACTATAGATACGTATTCAAATTATCTGCACTTGATGATTGTGCTATTTTTATCAACCAATACTCTTGATAGCATACTGACTTGCCACTGCCTGTTTTGAATGAAATAAAACATCTTTCCCATCAAAAAGATGTTTTAGAACATCAACCTATGATCTATGGATAAATCCAGTGTATAGATGAGTGGAACGAAATGAGACCACTGGGGAGGATGACTCTTCAATATTCATTGTTACAGGGATAAAGATACATGTATATTCTTCAATAGTTCAGTCCATATACATCTAATCTATGTTTTATAATGGGCAACATTTAAAAGTGTATTATTAAGGCGGTTCATATTATAGTTATACAAAATATTATAAACATTGTGCATTATTAATACACAATTTATAATACACAATGTTTAAAAGTGTGTGTTATAAAGGCCAATCTATGTTCTAGTTTATACATTACTCATGTAATCTAGGGATCTTCTTGGTTAACTAAATTATGAAGGAGATTTAAGTTATCATGTATTCTATTTCTGACTATAAAACACTGATAGCGTTTGAAAGAATTTGCCAATAAATTAGTAGATTTTACATATTTCAACACAAAACATATTTTGCCACTATTTTAGTCAAATATTTGAATAAATTCTCTACAATATTTATATTCAAGATTCGATTATCAGATCCCAATTACAAAAAGAACATGTTCGTATTAAAATTTTAATTAATTTCTATTTCATCCATTATTGATGCAGTCTTGTTACACAAAAAACAAATCTCTAGCATTAATGTAGATGCATTTGGTTTAAAATAATAAATGGGATAAAGAATAATTCAACAAGAAATAGTGTCGGATATCAAAACTAATTATATAACAGATAAAAACCGTAATTTGAAACTAACAAAAAATGCAAGATTAGGTTGTAGGATCTGTCAATCACCCAGATTACGGCTGTGTTGTATGTAGGGCAGGGCTTACACTTCAAAATATTACTAGTCAAATCATTGTTTTGAGTTATTTTGTCTATAAGCAAAATATATTAAACTTATGTTTTGAGGTTAACTTCTTTAAAATCCTAATTTTACTGCATGTAAATTGACTGACATCAATTCTCCAGTCGGTCATCTACACAACTGGCAAATACAACTGAAATGAGAGACTTGATAAACAGTATAGTCTTTGAAAAAAAAAAATTGGCCAGATTCTAATATTACTCCTTATGTTTTAAATTGTTAAAGCCATCAAACATTTACTAATCATTGAAATCAAAACAGTTTTTTCATGGGGTTTTGTGAGTTGTTTTTTTTTTAATATCATTAAAAGCATTTAGAGGCAGGCATTACAAAACAAAATCCATAAATCAGGATTTTTTTGTTCGATTTGCCAGCATACAACAATACTAATAATTTGAATCATTCCTTTATCCTGGGGATATATTGTTTCTTGGCACTAGAAACGTAGGTTAATTGACAGATCGAAATAATAATTTACGACAGGCATTCAAATCCACAGTCATTTAAGAACATTACCAAATACAGGTAACTAATAGCCTACAAAATATTGCCTTATTTTATTGAATAAAACTATACATATTGGCTACATTGAACCTATACAAATATTCAACAAAGCAGTGTTCCACGCAGACTTCAAAACATGTCATTTCCTTATATAACTGATGGTAAGTGAGGAAAAACCAAACATCAGGGTTAAAAATTCTAACAATTATAGGTATTATTTGTTCTGTCAACATTAGCACCATAAAATGTTGATTGAGTTTTAGTTAGTCATGTCACAGTTTCCTGGGAATTTGGACTGATATTTATTAACTTGGGACACGAAAAATTAAAACCAACAAGCTTACAATTACACTAAATTTAATTAAAAGGATACCAACAATTAATATGAATGCATTCTTTCAAATATGTTACATTTAACAATAAAATATTATTTATTGACCTCAGGAAACTAATTCATAGTGCTAAGTTTTGTCAAGTACTGCGTGCTGGCCATAAATTTTAATTTCTTGACCAATTACTGACCAGCAATAATAAAAGTAGTTCCCAAATCTTGTGCCAACATGTTCCACTCCCTACACGGTCAAACGTGACAAAATGTTAGTAAGCAGAAGCAAATGTGTTACGCATATTAGAGAATGCATCATAAAACATTAAGAACAATCTATCAAATTTTGGAGGATTACATGTAAGGAAATGAAGCAAAAATAAATAATCAGATTAATTTGAGCTTCATAATTTGATTTACGCCCCATTAATAATAAAAAAAAAAACACAGACAAAGAAAAATATGAGAAATACACCCCACCCCCCTCCAAACTAACTAAGTTTTCTAACAAGTTTGTTCTTGATTCATGGTAATGGTGTTTGCATGGCAAAAAGGAAATAAACTTACATATTACTATTAGTCAAGCTAAATAGGTTTAATGTCAGTTTAAAGAACCCCAGAAAGGTATCTGTCATATACATATATTCATTCACATTCATTAAAGGGCTAATCCCGATATTTTTTGGAGAATAAAACTGCTTAATTTTGTGTTAAAATCCCTTAAAATCCTCTAGCTTAGGGCCGAGCAACTAACTCAATATTTGTGATAAGTTTTCAAACAACTTAAACCCGTAAGTCTTCATCTGGAAATGGAGACCGGTGTCCCAAGCTGTATTATGCGGTGTCTGGATAAAACCAGACTTTTATTTTATAAAAATAATGTGTAGGTGAAATTTACCTTTTGCTATCAAGGAACGGGAATTGATTATCAGGTCACCCAACGAAAAATCTAACCCGATATCTTAAAAGGGTTGCATGTCCGGATAAGCAGTTTTGACGTTCACATACAAACGACTCAATATTTTGAGCTGGAATTTTGAGAGAAGGTAAATACACCATTCCTCTATATTTTGGCGTTTGAATTTTATACGTACTCAGAGTTTTATTTCTGAGACTCTCTTGAAATCGGGATAGTCCCTTTAAAGACTTTAGGTTTGCTACAATTAGAAACCCTTAGTAAATTTTGAATTAATATCTTACTATCATATCAGTGATCAGCATTAACCAAAATACAAAACTGCTAATTAAAAGATTGCACTAGTAATTTTGGTCTCAGATGGTCCTAATTGATATTTACCCTGGGTAGCCATCATAAGCAGCCATGTTGGGTAGGGTGTGCTGGGGTATGGGATGTAGTGACATGATATTTCATATTCAAATCAAACTGGTAATGTTGATTATTGAAGACAAACATGCATCTCACAAAACATTATCATAATCCAATTTGATCTAAAATTGGCACTTCCATTTTTGCTCTATTCAAGAAAGGGTCATGTTCTTTTAACTCGATTGCCAATATCAATACACTTAAAATTGGACGTCAATTTACATTTTATTTTGTGTTTGATATACTCCACTGACATCTGACATATTTCCTTTGAAGCTGAAGATTAGATCATGGGCAATTATGGCAATTAACTCAACTGCCATATAAAGTTTGTTAGATCACTTCAGTAACAAAATATCCTAAAAATAAAAAAAAAAATAAACCAAACAAAATTGTAGTTTAATTATAAGTTACCTGAGAATCAAACAGACGATTGGCATTTTTTCTTTGAGCAGAAGCTTCATTCAGACGATCATTGCTTCCTCGTGGATTATGAAGGTATATATCACCAATTGTTTGACTACACAGAGCAGCCAACACCACAAAAACTTTCTGCATACTGGTTTTAGTTTCTCTTGCTGAAAGAACATAAAAAAAGGATATCCATAGTTTCTAAAGTTGTTTTACATAATAGAGTGAAATAGACTGAATAACATACAAGCAACATATTTTTTATTATATTTTTTGTATTGCAATAATAAACATGTGGGGACTTTAGAAGTTAAAACCCGATTTCTTTCTACAATACTCAGGATTCCCATATCAAAGCAACATTTTTGACCAACTATAGTTTGTTTTATTTTAATATTTTCAAAGACATACAATGTATATGTATCAGCAGAACACAAAATACATTGTTATGGCTTAGTACACTATTTATACACGTACAATGGTCTTAGTTTACATATAACACTCATAAAATAGCTCAAACAGTCAAGTACTTCACTTTAAGTATATCCCAAGTCCTGGTGATGTATTATTTGAGTATTGAATATGAATTTGATATAGACAGATTTCAATCTGTTTCAAAATTAAAGCCTAATTGAACTTAATAACAGCTGCAATCAAAACCAGCATATCCTTGGGCTACTGAAGACCAGCATACACATAGCAGTGAGCTATGAGGGAAATTTTACCCGAACTGCAATTAAATTCCTAGAGTTAATGTTTCTTTTACATGCATGCAAAGGTGTACACAGGATCTCAGTTTTTCTTCCCATCCAGACAACTAGATCCCGTTACGTACCAGGCCCTTGATCATTTTTGTGACTTAATTAACAGGGGGAACCATGCTGGAAATTCCAGAGAACTTTCCCGTCTAAAAGAGCAATTTAAAATCAAGACTTCCTGGTTAATGAACCATCACCTTAACTGAGCTACTGTGGGTCTCATTTTCATGGATATGCCTTCTAAATATTCCTACTTCTAGCGGGTCCAAATTATGTATCTCGATCCCAAATTATTTATCTCAATTGCTTGCATCAACTAAGTGTTTCAAGAAACCAGTTGACCATTATTGCATTAACCATCTAAACTCAGTAGGGTGAATATTTTTCTGGCACTGATCAAACATAAGCATACTTACTCACGTACCCCCCCCCCCACTCTCTTAAACATGTCAACAGTATATGTACCAGGAACCCAGCACAACATCATCACAGTCATGTCATATCTAACTCTGAGATCTGTCAATCAATACACAACGGTCCATAGAACATGACAAGCTTCATGTTGACCGTAATCAAATTGACAGAGCCTATAGCTTTTTTTGGAAGAGCGTTGATCACCCCAAAAATAAAAATAAATAACAAGATTACCAAGTTCCTGGTTAAAAAATCATTCAGTTTCCTATAATCTTTGCATGTCAATAGGGGTTAATTTTCTAAAAGATTGGATAAAAACTTTCTTGTAAGAGCATTCATAAGAATCAAAGTAATCAAAAGCCATAACCAGTCTTACAATATCTTCTTTGAGCGGCATTTAATAATTTTACAATAATTGTAAGGAATTCTTTGAATGGAACTTAAAACAGCCCTAGAGATCTTAGAGTGATCAGAATCAATTGGACAACATCAATATACACAATATACAATCAAATTATACCCAGGTGCATATTTTAGACTAAGTTTAAATTTCAAAATACTAAGTTATATACCGGTACTCATTTTAAAATTCAAGCTACTAATTTTAAATTACCGTACCCAAGTTGAAATCATTGTAGAAAAAATCAACATCTCCCTATTCCAGGCTTTTGAAAATTGACTTGAAGCACGCCTACGCTTTAGTACATGTAATAGGCAAGTAAGTTTGCTCTTTATTCAAGTAACGTAAATATGAACAGTGACAGAAAATATTATAAACATATACTTTCCACGATGACTGATATACATATAGAACTGAAACAATACATCAATAAAACAAATTGTCATTATCATGTAATATATTATGTGAGAGTAAACTTGAAATCATACGTACCAGACGATGGTTAACTTGAAAAATTCAATTTTGACAAAGACTCCAACTAATGCCCCCTATTTATTGAATCACACACCTTTCATGATTCGTCATGTGTAATGAATTGTACACTTTGTTTGTGGACCGATCACTTGATAAATCTCGATGTATCCTTACGCCTTAATCTGATAAGAACACAAAATATTGTTCGAGACAGTCAATAATTTACGCACCAGAAACAAATTAATTGTATTTATGGTGAATTAAACATTCTCATATCACGATCAACCTTGCCAGGGGGAAATTGACAATTTCATAACATCGGACTATATTATTGGTATACAGATTTAGTACGTAAATCGGTCATTTTTTCTGTCGCCTGTGGATAGTATTATTCACGAACTTCCCATGAAAATCGTAACAAAAACAACCGTAAGGGGACTCAATAAGTGGAACTAATATTTATAACCCTGTCTATCAGTTATAAATTAGAAATCAAAACTTTTATTTAGACTTTGTCAAGATGTTGAAGGCGGTGGTTTTTTGTTTTCTGTCGTTTGTTTTTATTCAGCCGTCGTCTGCTGATATATATTTTCATAATCCAAGGTAAACCGTTTTTCTATTTACAATGCTATTAGTATTATATAGGTCTAGTAATTTTAGAAATGAAGTCAGAGTCTTATATATTATATATTTTAAATTGAATGTTATGCCCAGACATATTTTGTGTTGAATATTCAAGAAATAGTATCTTTCTTCAATTACAAAGTTATAGTATATTTAATTAATTAACTCATATTCTTTTTTGTTAACATGGGTTATTATGACATACTGTTGTAATGTCATGGGAAATCGTTTGATATATCTCAAGACAGACACATTTGATAGTATTATTTAATCATATAAAGATTTTATATGGGTAGACAACTTACTTTGTATAAGCTTGTAATTAATGGGAGGTTTATTGAGATACAGGGGCGGATCTAGGAATTTTGAAAAAGGGGGGGGGGCGCTGCAAAATGAGGGTACTGACCGTGGAGACAGGGCTAGCCGCTGAGAGGGGGGTCCCCTCAAAAAAATTATCCTCCATTTCCTTGCATCTGTAGCCATTCCAAGAGCTATTTGGCTGATATTTGCGTCTAAGTAAACGTTCGGAAATTGTTGAAAAAGAGCCTTAAAATCGAGCAAAAAAGCCAGTTGAACATGTGACTCGAAAATTGTCAAGGCCAGCGAGGCATTATGATGGGAAAAAAGACGAACGTATTCCCTATAGCTACTTCACTATTTAAGCCTTGTAACTTGTACTGTCCACACATGAAACCTGCATGAAACAATGCTACATCAAGTTGCACTATGCGGGTCGGTGATGGGCACGAGTGTATACGCCGCCGATCCCACAAGATGCTATCATTGATGTCTGTCTATAGTCACTCTATAGGATTAGGGCACCGTCAGCTAAACAACAAGAATTCGTTTGAAAGTGGAAGCTTTTATAAGACCAGACTGGTGTGTTTGTGTCGGTGGTTTGAGTCATTTGGGATCCCTGTAACGGGTTGGGAATGGACATATTTGGGTCTGAGAAAAGGCACTTTCAGCAGTAAAAAAGCCGGCACTGTCGAAAAAAAATTTTTTGGGGGGGGGGGGGCCCTTGGATCCGTCTCTGAGATATATGGTTATTCTAGTTAATTAACTTACACTACCATCACTGAGTTACATCTTGTTAATACGCCCTATAGTGTGTAATAATCAACAACATTGATGATGTATATTCAAGCAGTTCTAGAAGGGTCATCTTAACAGCATTATAGGCCCCTTTGAAAACTGTGCACTGGGGAGCCTACATGTACCTACACAACCATGCACTCACATGTAAATGGTTGATAAAATTAAACATATACTTATTGTATTTGGGTTGGAACAAAATTAGTGTTAAAACAATAATAAACATGGGTAAAATACACTGTCAAAATACCATTAAAATGTTACTTTTCTAAGTAACCAACTCAAATGATCTCTGTGACACATATCTAAAGAATTGTTCATAAAATATTGTTTCAATCTACAAAATCAGCTATTAAACATTTACCCCTGGGGTTAAAGGAAGGGTTAGGCCTTTGGTAATTTTAAGAGTTTGCCTTGGGTTTCTGTGACTGCCTTTTCAAGGACATGCTATTGTCATGCAACTGTGTTTTGTTTTTGTTTGTTTATGAGCTACTGTATTTTAATGACAGATTATTTGATCAGATAAGAAAAATCGTGAGGTTAATTACCACATTTGTTTATTGATGTCCTTTTGTTTTCGTGATGTACTCTCAGAGATAACAGTTATTGTATCTGATATTCGTGAAATTAAAATACTTGTTTGATGAGATAAGATCATTTTTGGGCTAAGTTTGTTTAATAACTTATATATTTATGCTAGTACGCATTTATAAGTTATAGCCCTTGGTGGAAGATAATGAGTCATATTGTTGTGTGTGTGTGTTTAGAAGACCTTTAAGACAATCCTTATAATTATATGCAAATGTAATTAATGTCCTAAAATTTGACCTGGCAAGTCATGAAGCTACACATTGTAACAGAAGTTATTAATGTATTGTAATACAAGTATAAGGAAGAAGAAAAATGTTCTGAACAGGAACAAAGTAAATTGAATCTGAATGTGTACAAATAAAATGAAATGAAATAGGGTTTAATGTCCTACTAATGTGTTCAAAAGTATTGCACTAATGCTGTGTATAGAATACTTGATTGTTATGATAAAATATCAAATTAAATCCCAATACTAAAGTCCAAGGATGGTAGAGCCCCATCAAGAATTGCTTCCACGGACCCTGTTTTACATCAAATTTCCACAAAAAATCCAAATGCTATTTCACTTTTTAAAGATATTATCAATGATATAGTACAGTACTGTATACAGCATATTATTTGAAACACTTGGTTATAAATGATTAAATTATACACCAAATCCAGTCAATAAAATAACAGCCGTCCAACCTGTTGATCATCAAACCATATTGGATCTCATTTACTGCTACTAAATATAGATCTTTTGTAAACAATTTTGATCCTTTATGGGAATGTTTTGATGCAGGTAAATTAGTGAAGCAAATCAAATCTATTCAGTCAAGCAAAATGTCTGAAAATATCCGCTCAGATGTGTTTTTGATTAGTACATATAGGCCTAGTATTTATTAATGTGTCTTTAGTGTGACAATTCCTTTGTGTTGTTCACTTCGTTCTGTATTGTATTGATGAAATTTTAGTTAGTGACTCACGAATATAAATAACTTCCTTTTGCCCTATATAAATACCCCCCAAAAAGCAGACGTGAGGTCGATATATTTCGCAACAACATATATCTCAATAAAACACAACACAGTTCATATGGAAATACAATCATTGTTTTACAGACATAACACAACGTTTCAACAAGTATTCTCTTATCGTTATCAAGCACAAATGATAATTAGTTGAACTAAAAGGTAACCAGGGTCACAAACCAGACTGGAACAATGTCCAAACACCAGCCATGCATAAACACCAGAAGGAAAATCTTAGATCACTATAAATATTACCTTTTAGTTCAACTAATTATCATTTGTGCTTGATAACGATAAGAGAATACTTGTCAAAACGTCGTGCTTTGCCTGTAAAACAGTGATTGTATTTCCATATAAACTGTGTTGTGTTTTTTAATGTGTTCAATCGCTAAATGCCACTCAAGGACAACATATATCTCTTCTTTATTTTATAACTAGAAATGTAGAAAGTCTATAGTGGCTAGTATGACAATGGATGTCTCAATGTCCCAAATACACTGTACAGGAATAGGACTGTAAAGAGGGGGCACTTTGACGGGTCCTTGACTCCTCGGTCCAAACAATATAGATTAATTAGTATTTTTCATACAATTGAGGCCTGTAATGTATATAAATGTAAACCGAGGTCCTGTGGATACATTGGAATGCACGTAAACGATCCCTTGGCAGTTGGAATTCGATATAAGAATAGGCGATAGTGCCGCTGCCCGGGCAAAATTCTCCCTCATAGCACACTGTATGACGTATGCCCCTCTTCATTAGCCTAGTATAGGAGCAGAGCAGTACAACGTTAAACCCTATTTCATTTCATTTCATTTGTATATAAATGTGCTAATTGCGAACAATCATAATTATGTGAGTTGGTATATTATGTAATCAAACCTATAACTCTCTTAAAAAATTTAAAAAAAATAAATACATGTAATCAAATGGTAATCAATGTTTCTTGAAATACTTATAATGATGACACATTTAGTTAAATTAAAGAGCCTAGTTTAGCAGTCCAAACACCCTGATTACATGTATCATGTAAGTTTGTGTGCTTATCCCAATATATAAATATATATTATATACCGTTACATTACTTGTTTTTCTTTTACAGAGGTGGCAATAACAGATTAGATGAAACTTCTAGAGATAGAAATAATGCAAACCGGTATGGATGATTGGATGATATTTGTTTTATTTTAGACAGTGAAATAAATAAAAAAAAATATGTTATTTTAACATTTGTAATGTTGTTGGCCCTGTTTCTTCTATGCAGTAACTTCAGGCTTCTGAAATCCAAGTACAAACCATCACTCTAGTTATAGAAAACCATAGAACTAGTTCTCATTTTTGTTATGCTATTGTAGTTGAACCATAGTAGAGTTTAATTGAGATGCAATTCTTACATATTTGATAAAAACTCTTTTTTTTTAAAATTATGAATAAATTTTCATTAATTGTTGCCTTTGTCAGTACAGTATATAATTTTGTTTTGCTTTATTTCAGACTATTTGATTCTCAGAACAATGCTCGCGGTGGTTACAATGTCGGTAATTTATTTTATTATGCTGGTTCAAAGTTACAAATAGAATGGTAAGTTGGAAAAAATTGAATAAGATAATTTTAATGATTGCAATGTCAGCCTCAGTATTTGTCGCTTTTTAATAATTAACATTATTTATTTTAGTCTTTACAAATATCATACTTTTAGATAAAATATGTTTGGGTGTCGAAACAAGTTTAAAGATAACCCAAGCATATGTAAGGGAACATTTATAAAAAAAAAGTCGTTGGAAATGCCAGGCCCATAGAAAATGAATGTGATCAGCTCAATTTGACTGAAATTGAAGTCATTTTGTGCAAGAGCTAATAAACCCCCTTTTTCAAAACTTTTTGTCAAAAGTACTGGTTGAAGTTTCAAACAACTCATTAATGATTTTTGAATAAAGCAACTGACAAGATTAGGGCTCTAATTCTACTGTATAGATAAAAATCCATCAAATTAACTACAATTAATTGTATTTTTACAGGACAAATCAACATTCGTGTGGAGCTCAAAATGCTAATTGTGAAATAGTTCTTCAGTATATGTGTGGTGACAAAGTTCGCGATGGTGCAATTAGAAAGTAGGTATTTTGCAGGCCTTCATATTTCTTCACGGTCATACTTCTTGAAAACAGATACCAGGAAATTTTATGTATAAAGATGAATTATTGAATAACATGTAATGATTACTGCTATACAGATACTATCTCTTTTCCTCCTTGGAAGAAATATCAGTTATATCATTAATACTTTGGAATGTTAACCTGACACATATATCTTCCTGATCATTATAAAATTAATGGCAAAGATATTGTTCATTCCCACTGAGACTAGAGGCAAGTATAGCAGCTTTGGGATTCAAAGGGTTGATAAAACTTTAAAAAAAGAAGAAAATCACAAGACTGATCATGCCCTTTTGTTTAATGTTAAGGGTTAATTAATCAAAATCTATATTGAGAATAGGTTTCAGTATTCCATGTATTTTGGATTTATAAATAATGGTTTATTTATTTCAGTACTATACCTGAGAATTTAATACAATGTATAGATTATAACTGTGATAATGATATAAAGTTTGGTATGCATGAAGGTTATGCTTATTGGCTACAGAATAGTTTAAGAGAAAGAAATCGAGGTCTCTTTACAGCTGATCAGGTAATATTTTATATATTTTTATAAGGTGACTTCAAACAGAAAATTATACTTTTTTTGGTTATCTTTTTTGACATTATAAAATAAACATGTATTTCTGATAAGTGGTTCACAAGAAATATTCAATGTAATTTGGGAGAGTTCTAGTAATCAGTTTTAGACAGTGAACACCCAACCAATCAAAAGACAGAGATATAGTATTCACTAAATAACACATCAATGCTTCAACACTAAATTGTTGATAAGTTCATTGTTGTTTTCAACTTGCACCTTTATTATACATCTAGCTATTATTATCTCTGTATTATCTCTAATGAAGTGTTGATATCTAATTTAAGATCCTATTATCTCACAATGAACAAAAGAATAATTCTAATATTGCTATTTATGATACCAGATAATTCATTTATTTCTGTAGAATCTAAATGGTGGACGAAAAAGAGCCAGACACACTCGTCAAAATCCAAATGGTCAACGACGTGGTTATGAATGTGCTGAAGAAAGAGACTACTATCCTTACTGGCATCCCAGTCCATGGAAGGTAATTTGTAGCTAAAGGATTGCATTCTGTAAATATGTACATGTATATGGTCATTGATTGTTGGCAATGTCATATGGTCATTGATTGTTGTTGTTAGTGATGTCATATGGTCATTGATTGTTGTTAGAAAATTTGATCAATCCTTTGAAGGGTATATTCAAGTAAACAGGAGAATTCTGGAAACAAATCAAGCGCTAACTGGATGATAATTCTAGCTGAAATGTTGGTTCGCATCATGATTCGTCTGACACCACATCTGTTTTCGCGATTGTCAGGACTCAAATCTGTGTTACTGGATTACAATTCAACCCCTTTGGAACATCCCAAAGTGACAATCGAGCACCCCCTTAGTCTCATAATTGAACAAAGTTAAAGACAGGAGGATATTTCATTTCTGTCCTTGAATATAGATCAAGGTCAAGTTTTTTTGTTTAATTGTCTAAATAATCATTTAAAGGAAACTTTTCAGCCTTTAGAAATATGTTGGGAAAAAGATTTTTGACCTTGTAGAAACTTGTGGCTTTGAAGAAATAAATGGTGCTAAATTAACCCTTTGATTATGTAACATGTATTAACTTTAGTAATGAGAACATTTGTCTTTTTTTTTCAGGATATTGCTGTGATGACCAATGATGTCTCTAGATGTGATTACTATAAAGAACAGAGTGAGAATGTAAAAGGTCGATGGTACTGTGATATAGATTTAACTGTTCTTGAATTAAACAAGAGAAAAGGTCTTGTGGTTCCAAATAACAAGGAAGATTGTGATGTAAGTCTTTTAGAGATATAAAAATTCATGTACCATAAATATCAGATGTTAATGCATAGTTGAGGAATAATATATGTTTTACTTTTTCTTTAAATATTCTTGTAGTACAGGAATATGTGGAGAACCAAATGATTTTTTATACTGCTATTAAACTGGGTATTTGGACTAACAAACCAATTCCAAAATATATTTAAACTTACGAAAAATTTAGTGATTGAAAAAAGCATCCCCCCAAATGTACCTCAATAGTCCATTGTATACTCACACTTATTGTGCTCAGTGTCAGCCCCTCCATTTTTAATCTATTATCAATTCAGAAGAGCTATAATGTGATTTAAGAATGATTACAATTTTTTAAGGCATTTGTATGGCCTAGACGTTCAATAAATGGAACTAAAGGTGTTTGGAAACAAGCACCATCTCATGGTTTACCTGCTCCTGTTTGTCAAGAGACAGAATATAGTCGAGATAATCACAATGGTAATGGGCTACACGGAACACCAAACCTCTTTAACTGGACTCTACCTAACTTTGAAGCCGAAAAATGTGTGTTGCGATTCAGGTATGTTAAATTTCAGTGGTAGATTTGGGAAGCATAGGACTTCTGCTCTCCTAATAATCCAGTCATTTATTGAAATATTTTAAAACTACAAGAAATATTGTTAATGTTTTTGTCTTAAAAAGTTTAAAATATTGCATCATTCTAGTATTTGATATACAGAAAAAGTTTCAATCCTGGACAAACCATCTACCTCATCAGTTACCTTCGCAATTAAATCCATTTTTAAATCGACCTTGTAGATCTATATCTTAATTGATTGAATTGTTGCTTGTGGAATATGGGAACTATATTCATTGCTGATCTACCATATTTTAAGGTCATTGTCATAATTTGTATACCAACTATATTCATTGGCTAATCTACCATATATTAGGTATATGGTGATTGTCATAATTGTTATGTTTCATTTCAGTATGTATATTTGTTTATTATGTCGGTGTCATTACATTTCATGTTTTATATATATTCATATTATTTGAATTAATAGGTACAACATTTCTACAAATGATTATGATAGTTGGACTACCACAGCAGAACAGAATGCTGATCCTGGAAATCTTGCTGCAGGAACGAAGGTCAATATATATGAGAAATATGGATTCGCAACTAAAGAGGAAGCAGATGCACGTGGTTACACTTTTAAAAATGATCCAATTGTAAAAATATTTCCTGACCTTAACATTGATTTGGCTTTACCTATTAATACAGCTCAATATGGTCGAACGTTTCAAGACAGGTATGCAAAGCTTATAAAATCATTGTATCAAATTTAATTAATTATTCATTTAATTACGATGTAAATTTTTCTGTGAATTTCATAATTAGCCTACAATGTCATGAAATTGTAACCTTCTTAACCGAGACTTGATCTTGGTTAGTTGTGGAAAACGGGTCAATTGAAAACACAGCTTGGTCAACCAAAACATATAACTTGGTCAAACAAACAATTATAGCTTGGTCAACCAGACATACTGATTGGTGAACTAAACATAGTGATGGGTGAACCCAACATAGTGATTGGTGAACCAAACATAGCGGTGGGCCAACCAAGCATAGTGATAGGTCAACCAAGCATAGTGATTGGTCAACCAAACACAATGATGGGTCAACCAAACCTAGTGATTGGCCAACCAAACAAAGTAATGGGTCACACCAACATAGTGATGGGTCAACCAAGCATAATAATTGGTCAACCAAACATAGTGATTGGTCTACCAAACATATTGGTTGGTCTACCAAACATAGTGATTGGTCTACCAAACATATAATTGGTCTACCAAACATAGAGATTGGAAATAAAGGTGAACCAAGCATAGAACTTGGTCAGCCAAGCATAGAGATTAAGGTCAACCGAAAATGCAGCTTGGTAAGCCAAACATAGAGATTGGTCAATCAAGGCTAGCGATTAGGAACTAGTGTAATGTTGATTGATCAAGCTAATGAAGCCATTAATTAACAAAACATAAAAATAGAGAAATAAGTTATCCAAACATCTATAGAGATCTTATAATCAATATAAAATTAAACAGTCAATCAACTACTAACATGTTAATATTAGTGGTTAATATTTTTTAAAATCATATTTCAATTCAGAATTCTTTTTTTATTATAGAACCTTTACATTCGACATTGTGAAACGACCTGCTGATATACCCGATACAGCTACCATTCACAATCTGAATGTACGAGGCAAGAGAGGAAACATCGTAGAAAATTACCCGGCAGTGGAATATGACTTTGTACCAAATAATCTTCGTGTTTCAACTGAGGATTATGTTCATATACAGTTAGTTCTTTCTGTTGTTTATTATAGACATTTTATGCTTAAGGGCTAAATAATATTAAAATTTGTATATTATATCTAAAGATCTTGTGCTTGAGGGCTAAATAATATCAAAATTTGTATACAATATTCAAAGATCATTAAACCTTAGATCTTGTGCTTGAAGGATAAACAATATTAAAATTTGTATATTATATTCAAAGATCATTAAACCTTAGATCTTGTGCTTGAGGGATAAATAATATTAAAGTTTGTATGTTATATTCAAAGATCATTAAATCTTAGATCTGTTTGCTTATTTTCATATAATACATTTTATACTCGATTTCTAACGAATTTTAAAAACTTCCTTAATTGAGGTACCCCATAATATATGCTACACTTGTATGAAATAGTCAAAATGGAATAATGAAAAAAAAATGTCATTTGTTTGGGATACATTTATGAAAGATTTAAAATATTTTTAATATTTTTGTTTGTTATATTTTAGGATATAACACTTATTAATTTTGCGTGAAAGTCTGTAACAAATTTTAGCCCTAGTCTTGTGCAGATATTTGAAGCTCTCTGATACCTTCCGAACAAATGAAATCTTTCCATTACCATGTGGGGTTGGCCATAAGTCCACAAATTCCATACTATATAAATGGCTGGATAACATGTCTATATAGTTGGTGAAGTTATAGTGGAAAGTGATCATAAAGCGATTACATGCTTAATGACGGTCTACATATCTTCATTAAGCAAATCTAGCAATTATTTCTGAATGTCTCAATATTTTTATTTGAAACTTTCAGACGAGGTAATTTCTTTTTAAATTTATCTTTTTAAACCCACTTTTATTTACAATGTCCTATGAAATCTGTTTTTGCTATTTACCACGTTCTATGAAATCTGATACTGTTATTTACAATGTCCTATGAAATCTGACCGGATATTTACGATGTCCTATGAAATCTGTTACCATGCTCCCTTAAGATTGTTTAATTTATGTACATTTGATATTTAACAGGTGGACTGGTTCTAATACTAATAATAATGGAAATGATGGACAAGGTCGAGCAGGTACAGATCGTAATAATTTGGTTTTGATGAGAAATCAGGTTTATCCTGAAGGTAATGGTATATATAACGGACCCGGAAAAGAGTTTGGACATTTTGGTGTCAACTATCCTCAGCATACTAGTAATTCAACTCTACCTCTTGATATCTTGACAAGATTGGCATTTTTACAGCCAGGTAACTTTTATCTTTTATTTTATTGAAAGTCATAATAGTGTAAGAACATATATGTTTGAGTTTAAAAATGAAACAGGAGCACCAACAATCATCTGAAAATGCTCTCAGTTATGAATTCTTGTCATAGCAGAGAAGCTTCTAAATTTTGATGTCATTTGCTCCACCTCTTTATTGCTTAGACAAATGACAGTTGAATCTAACCTCTACATAGAATGTGGATGGTAATTTTGTATCAACAGAAAATGGATACGAAATGCAGAATTTATTAAAGTCATGTAGTTACATATCTCTGAGAAGATATAACATAGAGCATGTCCTGATAATAACACGGTGCAGAAGAATGGGATGTTAAACATCAAAGTCATGTAGTTACACATCTCTGAGAAGATATAACATAGAGCACTTCCTGATTAGCTCGGTTGGTGTAGAAAAGTTGGTTGTTAAACCTTATTTCATTTCTTTTATAACACATAGCTATAAAATAAACCCTGATAGATATTTCATGAAAACGTCATCTCAGTTCAATATTAAACATAGCTGTTAATAACTAATTATAATTTGTGGTTTAAGGTCAGTATGGTGGCGAGATGTCAGAATTAGATGATGCTGGAACCTATTTTAATCTTGGTGCTATCAAGGCACCAGCATCAGGAACCTATCACTATTTGTGCACCAGGAATAATAACTTCAGTAACAGAGATCAAAAGGGAAGATTAATTGTCAGTCCTTTCCCAGTTAATGAAGCTAGTATTGGACAAATGGGTGGAACTTTACTATCAAAGTAAGTGAGAATCTGATAAACTTTCAGTAAGGAAGGAGAGGAGTGGTATATAGTATGTATATGGATTACAGTCCATTCACTTTGTAGCTTTTATTGTCTAGAATCAAAATATTCCTAGAATTCCGTCAAGATTAATGAGTTTGTGTATTTGTTTGAACTTCTTCTTTTAATGCTATTTGTGTATGTAAGTGTTTCTTTTCTGCTTTTCTAATTCATGTATATAAACTCTTCAAGTTAATTTCTAATTATGAATTTTTTTACTGTTCAAGTTTTTTTTATTTATTTAATGTTTGTAATGTAAGTCATTGTTTGTCAATACCAGTATGCATAAAAGTTTGTTATATTTTTTATTTCATCAGGAAATCTAAAATATCAGTAGAAAAGAGAGTGTTTGATTTACTGCATCTATTAAGAACAGAAGAATGGCCTATAGAAGAGGGTACTAGACAGATAAGCTCCAAAAATAAGGAACTTACTGTAAGTAAATCATCTTTTATTAATATTAAACTTAATCATATTTAGTGATAGAAGTAATTATTATATCTATATTATTTTAGAATGTTTTTTTATTTGCATTTATGAATATATTATTTTTTTTTAAATACTTTTTTCCTAGTGTTTTGCTTTTTAAAACAAAAAGGTAGAGTATAATTCTTTCACTTATAAGTTTCATAGTTACTGCAAAAATATATAGTGTAGGAATATTAACTGATCAGTATGAATATAGAGACATGAACAGACTAATACTCCCAAGCAGAGTTGTCCTCGCTTACAGTCAACAGTTTCTTTTTTATTTACACGGTCATAGAAGATGACAATGCAATGGGTTATTAAAGTAAAAGTAAACAGAAAAAGAATATTGCCAGTAATTTTAAATAAAAAACCAACAATTGTGTTGATGAAAAGTAGAAATATTTCATATATCTCCTGAATAAAATTTGTGTGAACTGATGTTGGAGTAGAATGCTGGATAGCGAGTCTTTTGTTGGCGATTAGTATAAGCAGATTAAAAATGTTTGTTGCTATTTCTTGGTAAAAAGGGATGTTTATTTGATTATGTATTATTTTTCAATAGGTGGGTGATGAGTTTGCTAGTGACTTCCTAGTGATTTATCCACAAGAAAAGATTACTAAACCCGATAAAACTTTCACAGTACAGATGGAAGTAGATGACTCCAAAAATGAAGTTCATATTTATAGGTCTAATTCAGATAATTTTGCAGCATGGACAAAGGTTCCTGCTGAAATAAAAGATGGAAAAGCAGTATTCAGTGTTCAAGAGGGAGGAGTTTACGTTGCTAGAAGCAATCGTAATGTGGGGTTAATCGTGGGTTTGACAATATTTTCTATTGTACTTGTGATCATAATTGTAGGTGCCATTGTTTATTTCAGGAAACACCCGCAAAAATGGCAGAAAATAATATCTAATATTCATAAAACTGAACGCTCAATGAAAAGTAAAGTTTAAATGGTAAATTCTCAAATTCTTGATCATTCTTGTTTCAAAACCCGGTGTTCGGTACTTCATGGAATTGTTCAAATAAAAGGTCCAATCTATTTCAATACTTTCAAAAATGCTCTATTTTTATTAACAAATGTGGGAAATATGAGATTATTCTGATGTTGTTTATTAACATATCCTGTCAATATTTGCTGTTTTTAACTAACATTGATCTTCTCAAATTATTAATTACTTGTTTTGTTGTCTTATTGTTCTCCTGCATTATTGAATTTTATGGTATCTGTTTCTACATTAACAATAAAGAATCCTGCTAGATCTGTCAATAGATGGTTAATAGCTATTGTTTGTACACATATTTCAGGTTGCCATAGATTTCTATTTGTATTTTCATCTGTTTTAGATACCAAATAGAATAAAAGTTACGGTATTCACAATAATTTAGTGCCAAATATATTTTGAGGATTGTTTCATTTTAATTTGTACATATAGCTTAGATTTGTCAAATATAATCGAATTGTGTTTAAAACTGTGAAATATGGCAGGCCTTACATATAGAAATAGGATGAATAAACATCAATCAGTCAATATTAAAATCTATTCAATAGCAAAATACATCTATGTTTATGTCCTTTGGCAATCAAATACACATTGCGGAGGTTCTGTTTAAATTATGTATTCCAGGTCAGTTTTAGAAGCCAGTCATGATTGCTTGATAAAAAATGAAAGAAATGTCTCTGGACCCATCAGTCAATATACATGCTGTAAAACTAGCATATATTTCAAAACCCCATTTTCAAACAAGGCTACAATCAACCTCTGCCTTGTAACTATAAAATTTTATGGCCCATACAGAATATTGAACAGTTAAGTTCTAGCTTAAAAATTTACCATGTGTGTATATAATATGAATAATCGAAATCAACTCCAATACTACATCAAATGTAGTTTACATCTGAAAAGATAATGTTACCAATTTTAGATATTAATACTTACAAAAAAGTATGAAAAAAACCCAATAGAATACATGTTTGTCAAGGAATTTATAATATAAAATTCCTCTGTTAATATTCAGATAATTTGTTATGTTTAGTTCTCCATTTGAAAACATATCATAGCATAATATTCTTCTTCTTGTATTTTTTGTATTGTTCAGTATGTCCCTTTTTATGTGTATTCTTGGGTTTCTTACACGTTTTTTGTACACTTTAATAATAGACATGTTATTCTGTGTTTAATGTTTACCAGATTTGTTCATGTTGATATGTTTCTGTTTTCTCTTTCCAATTGTTTAAAAAAACAATCATGTTTTGTAAATGTTAGTGAACACATCTTGCTGGTTAATAATCTAACTAATTTTGCTATGAACTGGGACCCATCAAAGAAATGAAAAAAAAAAGACTAATTTTGGTTTAAAATTCAACTATATCTATATGAAACGTTTTTAGAAATTCAGATTTAGACCAACTGATGTGTTCACTACTGGTGTTTTTAATATGTTAATGTTTTATATGTGTTATAATTATGTGAACTTAAGGTGATTGTGTTCTTCTTGGTTGATTCTTGGTTAAACGCTTTTGATAAAATTGTAAAATAAAATTTTATATTTTTATAAAACAGCCAGCTGGTCTGGAAACAGTTTTAGTTGAAAAAATATCATAAATCTGCATTATTCTTGCTTTTAAATTGACACTAAGTGTCTTGAAGAATTTGATTGACAGTTTGTCAATATTATTTTTACCAATATTTTACAATAATATAGGTAATCAAATTTATATGGACTAGTTTTTAATTGCATAAATTATTGAATATACTGAAACAGTGCTTATTCATTGTAATATTAGCTTGTATGATACTGTTCCCTCAATTGGGGCCTAAATTATGTTGTGGATAAATAAAAAATTTTACAAGAAAGAGATAACAATATGTACATTGATAGTGTACTAAAAATAATAAATTTAACTACCAGTATTCATTAAATTATGTTTGGTATTTGAATGAACAATAAGTCCCCAAACTAATTATAATTTCACAGAACATTTGTTCTATTTAGCCATGTATTATTTTAACAGCTTAAAGTCTGCACCATTCATTAAGAGGCATTAAAAGTTTGCCAGTCTTCTTGGTTGGCAAAAAATAACATTCCATTTGATATAATTTTACTATTCAGTTATATCGAGCATGTTCGTGGCTCAGGTTCAGTCCGACGTTTTCAATTTCATGTTACGACTCACGCTATGTGGTGGTTTTTAAAGAGTTCAATGAACACTCATCAAAGAGACCATAGTGCCTGGATTATTTTTCTTTGTTGAAAAGGATAATGCAGTGTTTAAGATACATGACATTCTTGTTCTCCAAACATTGCAAAAATATGTTACGCATTCTTCATTCTATTTTTTCAGCTTATAATAAATAATGATTTTCATTTTATTATTTGTCTAAACATATTTGCAGATGTCATCACTTTTCAAGATGGATTCACAGTATACTGAAAGAATAATTGCATAAGATATATTGCAATGAATTTCAATATTTTCATTTTTTTTAAGAAATTTTGTTTAAATAAAAATGTGGACATGATATAGTATGCTAAATGAGATATTTTCTTCTAAATTAACTGTACTCTATTTTACACTGCTGGTCAGTACACAAATTAATAAAATATATAATATATTATTAATAAAGATGTTGTTTTTCTGGTTATTCTGTTCAAAATTGGAGAAGAAAGTGTCAAAAGTCCAGTCCAAAGTCAGGGGCGGACAGGGTGTCTCTGGGTCCTAGGACCAACTGGTTTCCTTGGGTCGTCATCGCTGTGAAAAATATGTAAAAATGATGAGAAAATGAAACATTTCATTTTTATACGCCCACATTGTTATTGTTCAGTGGCTGCTCAAGAGGTTAAACTTAATATTCGATGGACTTTAGATTTATACACAATGGTAGAGACAAAGAATCCTATTGGTTTTCAAAAATTTCTGATAATTATTACCAGAGTTATGAGCCTTGATCATTTGAGGAATCTTGTGGACACACTAGAGGTTAAAATTAATATAAATTTATACAGTGTTTAAGGTTATGTGACAAACAATTGAAAAAAATTCTAATGATTTCTGAGAATTACTCAATGGGTTGTTACTCATAATCAGATTTGAGTGTGTTGTAAATGTTTTCATAACTGTCAAAGGAAACCTTTTGCGATAACCCTTGTTGGCCGATCGGACGGTTTAGCTGCTGTGGGTGTATGTTTTGTGACCTGGCAACCTATCTTTCTCTTTGGATTGAGGCCATTATATTTAGATGAATTTTATTTTTCTATTTTGAAAAAGCAAATTGCACCGGGCCGATGATCTAGGCTGCCCCTGTTCCAAGTTATTGTTGTCGTTAATGTGGCATTTATCATAATAATTATGAATAATAACTGGATTTGGTTTTGACCTATAGTTACAATGGGGTTAAGCCAGGAATTTGCCAAGAGGGCTACATGGGTTTAAATGGCTAAAAGTGCGAATTTTCTATGGGGTTATGAAAAAATCCTACTGCAGGAAAATTTGAAAATTTTGGTGCCCGATGTGTCCATTTTATACAAAATTTTAGAGGAATGATTGGATGAATCTAGTGTTTCTAATTCTAATAAAAGTTTGTGAACTCCCCAAATGATATTAGACGTCTATTGATCGCGTAAATTATTTATTTCCGTCCTAGTCCTAACTTTTTTGTTGTATTAAGTTGAGCTTCGTCGTAGATCCCATATTAGGTAGGGCCTATGTGTTCTAATATTCTAAGTTCTATTATGCAAAATGTAGAACGGAGAAGTGAAATGTGCAAAATAACTATTATACTGTATTGGTATTATTGAAAAGTGTATTTTGTATTTTAACACTGACAGTGGTATTGTGGAACATTGGAAATTGCAAATTGTAAAACTAAAATACATATTTTGAACTACTGATCGACATTATGCAGTTTGTACAGTGAACATTGAAATAATATTGGCAATGTTATATATATATATTATTTGGAATGACGAAATTGGTACTGAACGAAAAAGCAATCTGATTAAAAATACAGACGTATATTTCGTTTCGTGTTTTTATACTTTCGATGGCCTACACTACATGAAGATCTGACTAGTTGTACTGGGAGAAAACGAGCGGCTTTTGACCCAATGACGTCAGACATTGATTGAATCAAATCAGCGTTGACGTTTCTAGGGGTTTACCCACAGTTCCGTGCAGAGCACGCCAAGAACTCGCCGTAACAGACAGTTTCATTGGCTAATTCCTCACATCAACTAGACCGCCTGTTATATAACAACTCTTTCAGATCTTAGAGTTGTGAAGACAAGTAAAACGAAATTTTGAACTATAAAAAACGAAACGAAATAGCATCTGTGTGTTTTAATCAGGTTGAACGAAAAAGCTAACGAGAAAACACTTTTCAGGTCAATTTTGAAATGAGTGATTTCTGTCCCCAAAATTACATTTTGTCCACCCCCTCCCCACCCATACAATGGGAATCGTACACACATATTTAGAAATGTGCAGCGGAATTAAAAAGTAATGTTTTTACCAAGCTCTAAGAAAATCATCATTTAAATCAACGTGAACTCATTTCCCGCCAATTTACCCCCCCCCCCCCCACACGCAAACCTGCTACCCCAACCCCACCTCCCAACAAATCAAAACAGTTGTCCAGGGGCATAATATACACTTCATTAAAGATGGACAATCCTAGAAATTTATGTTTTAGTAATATATAACATGATCATCATTTATAATATCAACATATTGACATTTCCCCCAATTGTTGACATTGGACCCCCCATATCTCGAAAAAGCCCCCTCAAACGCCTGATCACCACCCAGATTAAGAATCTACGCAAAAACTTGGTCTAGAAAAACTTGGTCTCAAAAATTCACACCTCGGCGACAACCCGACATCACGACATTATAACCCGACACCACGACAACCCGACATCACGACATTATAACCCGACAACACGACATTTTCACCCGACATCACGACATTAAGAATGTCGTAATGTCGCGTAAAAATGTCGTGATGTCGGGTTCTCGTGTTGTCGGGTTGTCGACTTTATTTACCAATGTTGAAGCGGCCATGAATAATAGAGTGCTGTCCACCGCACAAACTGTCTGGCAGTGGTCATTCATGATTCCTGTGGTGGTACTGAACAACTCCAAAGCTGTTTTAGGTGGTACAGATTTGAGCTAATCTAGCCTAGATTTGGTCAGGAAATTAGATAACTCTTGTCAGGGATACTCCATCACTACAAATGTCTGGCAGTTACATAGCTGTCTGTCAGGGGTACTCCACCACTAGAAATGTCTGTCGGAGTGTTTTTGTAATACCTGAAGATGTACGGTACATTGCTGTGCGATTTTCATGTGGTACACTTTTGAGCTAATCTAGACTAGTTCGGGGGCATGGCATTTTGGGCGTGGAATACCACACCCACCACCAGAAACCCTCAGACTTACATTCTGATGATACCAGATATACATACATTGATACCATATAGGAGAAAATTGGTACACTTTTCACTCTAGGTTAACCCCCCGGGCTCCCGTTCTATATAGGTATACACCAGTGGCGTCGTGCCTATTGGGGAAATAAAAATATTTTTATTGATATTATTAAGACAGAAGACCTGTCCGTCTGTATTAGTCATCACACAGTCTCCAGGAATTGTATTATTTGTCATTATCTGTGTTTAGTTTATTGCACTTTAAAGTTTAAATAGTTTAGATGTCATTTCTGCATCGCTCAACAGCGGCCTCGCTTCGTACACTCTATATCATTTAACCTCGATCCGGGAATATGGCGTCAACGTAACGGTTAATCTCCGCTCACGATGCCATTTAAAATTAAATCAGTCAACGAAATCCCGTTTAAATCCAAGCTGAATCCAAGCCATCCGTGGGTCTACAGAGTTGATTTTGTGCTTGTTGTGTAAATAAAGATCTAATTTATAATTTCTATGACATCTGAAGCCTAAATAAAGACTTGCAATAATCAGATTTAGCTCTTGCATAATGTATGTTTAATGCAACGCAACAAATTGCACATTTAGTCAACACCGCCGTGTTATTCTTGTTTAGCTACGGCTGCGTCAAGACTTTTTTTTACAAGCAGCCTCCACCCCCACCCCCACCCACACCCACCCCCTATCCGTATTGTTTTGGTGAAGAAATCCTGTATCAGCTCCGTAGCACAAGTGCTGCATCTGGGAACCTAGCTAGTTCCGTAACTAGATGAGAATGCATCTGAATATATGTATCCTACTATTCTGCTCCGACTGGGCGAATGAAGATGAGCATATCATGGGGGAAATTTTTCCCGGATATCGGTGCTACGGTCTACGGATTACTCTTATCGAATTCCAGTTGCCAAAGGTTCTTTTTTTAACGGACACGCCGTATACGGGACCTCGGAGAATTCGTCCCATAAGAATGACTAGCCTAATCGTTGGTCTTTGATAGGCCCTGTCCTGCACCACTGAAACGGGGGCAACCACACCAAAAAGTTTATGCCCCTTTACCATAGAATAAAATCATTTACAGATTTGCAAGGTCCCACCCCACTACATTTAGCACGTAGATCAACCAGCATGTAGACAGACAAGAAAGGTATGAAGATTCTGAGCAAAAACCAGTCTTTATCATGGTTAAAATAACATCAAATATAGACCATCGTGTTCTAGGATACACATAGATTCATAAAAACGCTATGATACAACATTTCAGCGCCTAAAAGTAGCAAAAAAGACGGTAAAAAGATGACAATGTTATACGGAACTTTTCCGTATGAGAGCTGTTCGATACGTGCTGCCGTATCCGTGTGCCGTATCACGTATGTGAAATACACACACATTGATGACGTCACATGCACAATTCATACGGATACGCGATGCGGACCACGAATTGACGCTTGCCAAAAGTCTCTACTGTCAATGGTTATACAAACGTGTGCAAGTGTCCTCGGAATACCGTACCATCTGAACGACAAGACGCTGTTCCTTGCCAGGTCCCGCGGAACTGAATCACTGACAAGATGATATCAAGCTGAAAAAAATCCGAATCTAATATGTCAGGCTGCGCCACTGACAAAGGGAAACCACCAGGGCCGTAACTAGCTCAGAGCAACGAGGGGGGGGGGATGTTCTCAGGGGTGCTGTAAAATTGACGGACAATGTATACCTATTGTTTTTATGGTCGATAATTTTTTCACAGGGGGGGGGGGGGGCGAAACTTTTCACATGGGAGAAAAACAAAACGAAATTAAATTTTAATCAGATTGATATTATTATCATATAATATTTATTGGACTAAAATAGAGAATTTATCCACCACTTGCATTAAAAATATTGTACGCGCAGTGGATAAAAGCTTTAGTTTAGACAAGGTTGTAATTTAGGAAAATAATTCGAGGATGTATTCTGAAATCGCCCACACCCCCACCCACCGACCCACCGACCCACCGAGTCCAATATCCCACTGGAGTCGGGCATCAAACTTTAGGATTATTCACGAAATCCCACGTCTAAATCGAAATAAATGAATGGTTTCCATTAAGGTTGCTGGTCGACGTTTGCATTTTGACGTTTGACCCACATCCTGCTTTTATCTTCTGCAGAGGATGCCGAAGGTTGTGATATATTCAATTCATCATCTTTGTAAATAAGGAACGGAACTGAACCATGTTTGGAGTGATATTCCTTTTGGATATTTAACTTTCACTATATCGTAGTTTACAAGGGTGTTATCAAACCCTCGAAAGAAAAGAAATGAAATAAAATGGGGTTTAACGTCCTAATGAAGACGGGTATATACGCCATACAGTGTGCTATGAGGGAAATTTTGCCCGGACTGCGGCGCTACGGCCAACTCTTATATCGAATTCCAGTTGCCAAGGGATATTTTACGTGCACGCCAGATTCTCCGTCCTGCACTACTGACGGGGAAATCACGCCGGAAAACCCCGATGAACTTCCTCGGCCAACACCGGGAGCGAACCCGCGACCTCTAGGCTAGCTAAATCGAAACGAAATATTTATGATATTAAACGCGACCTGAAGACTATAGCGAGCCAACGTCTTACTCACTTAGCCAGCGTGGTTCCCACCCCTCAAAATACGCTCAGACTTAAAGCTCGATAAACAATGTCTGTGTTAACTAAAAACTTTGAAATAACCTTGAAAATAATTCCATCATAGATGGTATAATCTAGCGTCAATGATTAATTCTAAATGAATGAAAACGTCAAATAAATACGATTACGCCGTCAAAATATTTATTGACTTAAAACGGAGCAGTGCCCCCATGAATTACTCTAAAGAACATTTCATTGACCATAAACAAAATCCTGTTTACTATTTACTTCAAGTTCATTACTTGCTTATGACGTCATTGATAAGCCTAATTTCCGATAAGAAAACACAGGCCTACAGGAAATCCAATTATTATTTATTTTCTCGAAATCACAGAATGCCACTGGCAAAAATTGTTTTGATAGCTTTAAAGTTCAATATGAATTTAAAAAATCTGGATTATCTGATATGAAAACATATTATTTACATTATTGCTTAGAGGATTATAATTTCACGGGCATTATAAGATATAAGTGAATTGATTTAACGATAAACATCAAATTTGATGTCACGCATATCCTTGGGCGAAAGTAGTACGGACAACTCGTGAAAAATACGATCAGTTCTAATGATTGGCTGAAATCACGAGATTTGTTGGAGCGATAATTTATAAAGGCAAGTTCTTCTCGTATGATAATAAAGTCGAATTTGACGTTTTATTCAGCGAGGATGACGCCACTTTCATGCTTGTTGATATGCTCTATATTTCTACATGATGCATTGGCCAGTATTCACTTACAAAATCCAAGGTAGGCAATAACAAATCACAGTAAAGTATATTTTAATTTATTTGTAGGCTAGACTTGTGTTTGTAAATCTGTTTTGTCCACGCTAGTTGATTTGCAAATAGAAATTTTGTAAGTGCTTCTTAATTGCCAATCAGGCGGTCTTTGTTTACCAGAAACCGTATTTATATTCTTTTTCGATCGAATATAATTACCTTTGCGAAATACTACTGGCAGTACCTGTTTTACACACAAAACTGAAACGGGTTTGGGTTGCGAATATTTTTATCATGGCAATACAGGGGCGGATCCAGGAATTTTTGCAGGAGGGGGTTTGCCAGGTTCCTAAGACAATGTATCCCCCCCTCCCATATGGTCTCTATCGTCATTTTGGCGGATATACATACACATTGAGCTTTTTAAACAGAGAAATTCAACATCTCGTTTGACGTCAATTTTTATTATGAATTAATACAATGACAATGTGATTCAATTTCATGGATGAAAAGCATCAATCGTGATATCACATAATGTCTATATCATTACCTCGCGCTTTGAGTGCCCATCCTGTCCCACATCTGACGATAAAGGATAAAGCACACGGTTGAGAAATTTTTCTCATAAAAAGTTTTGATATACAAAAAAATTTTATGAAGCTGAGTAGGGGGGGGGGGTCGACCCCCCCCATCTCTGGATCCGCCCCTGCAATATAGGGACACCGGTGTATTGCTTACACTGCACACCATGTTAAAAAATTGTTTATATGTATTTCTAGAGGAAGTGGTAATCGTTTAGATGAATCCAACAGAGAAAGGCGAAACGGGAGAAGGTAGGTAGTTCAACAATCAATCTGATCTTATTAATTTTGTTTACATCAAAACTGAACTTTTATTCACTTCCGGGGAATTGCGGTGAATTAGTGAGTAAAGTTCTCTCATGTCATTTAATCACTTTTAGATGGGTTGTAGTCGTTAAGCATAGATTACAAAAAGTCACAAGGTAAGGGAGGTGAGAAGGGCATTTTCCAAAGATTAAAGTTATCTTGAAACAAAACGTTAATTTACATTAAATTAAAATTTATACCAGCCAAGCATATTCTCACCATGAACAAAATACAATCAAAAATAAAACAAAACGTAATTATCAACTGTCCGTAAATCATTCAATATCTGTGAAAAGTTGGTTATGGAATTGTCAGTCGAATAAATGTCTAAAAAATAATTTATATAACATTTGAAACCAGAAAAAAAGAGACTCGAGGGCAGATTTAGTTCTGACATAATTCATCTTTAAAGAAAAGTTCAAATAAATTTTTACCAAAAGATTAACTTGATTTTAAACAATTTTCTTTAGAGGCATATTTCTCTCCACGTAGCCATTTTCCGTGTTCACTTTTCATAACCGGATATGTTACTGTGATTAATTTAAAATTTATTGTTTTTCCGTTTCAATGATTGTAGTTATCGCTTCTTGATCTGTTAATCAAGCATGTTTAATTTAAACCTATCCCAACCTTAAACCCGCCATGGGGCACTTTAACATTTTTATCTCTACGCATTATACGTACTTTTTTCTCAATCGTAAATGACTTGATTATTTAATTCGTGTTAAAATCATTGCCCGTGAAAATCCCTGTTTAAACTTGATCTTTGTTTTGTTTCAACATACACTTTTTTGAGGTATATTCATACGCGATTATATAAAATAATTTATATAAGTAACCTTAAATTAAGCGTAAAACGTATAAAAATCGTTTAAAATTGTCACGATTTATGTCCCATTTCATAGCCGATTGAATTCTTATTTTTATTAAGAAAATGTCACAAATCAGGCCCCAAAAGTTACCCAACCCTTAAAAACTGAAACGGTCCAATATTTTGTAATTTTTTTGATTTTGTCACATTTTGGAGTTTGATTTGAGGAACTAAAAGATCCAAATGAAAACTGGAACTTCTCCCTCAAAGAAATAATGTATTGATAACATGTTAGTCTCATTACCTTTTATATTTAACAGGTTGTTTGATTCTCAGGCCAATAATAGACAAGGTTATAATGTAGGAAATCTATATTATTATCAGGGTTCTAAATTACAAGTTGAATGGTATGTATACTGCTCTCTTTATTTGAAACGTTCAGCGAAATTCAAAGATTATTTACTGCATTTTTTCCTCGTTAATAAATAATGGTGGGTTGTCCATTAACGTGTGGCAATAGCAGACGCAAGTGCTAAATGACATATATCACGGATGATAAAGATACCTCAGAATAGAGCAGAGCGATTTATCCAATACTCACCCAGCACTCATCCAATACTAGCAATTACTACAACATACTACCTCATTATTGTGATGAACTCACAGAACACTTCAATTATTCAGTTATATAGGGGGGTTGGGTGGCTGAATGGTTAGCGTGCGCGCGCTGTATCATAAAGTCTGTCATTGGGTCGACTGGCGTGGTTGTACGTGACAAGGAGTAGGGTCGCCTGTCCAACCTCGTGGGTTTTCTCCGGGTCCTCCGGTTTTCTCCCACTGCTAAAGACCCCTACGCGCAAGCGAATTATTGAAATAAAATTAAAAAAACCATATGTTAGTCCCGAAATGACCTAGTTTGTGTCGAGTGAACGTTAAACCCCATTTCTGTCTCTCTCTCTTATTCAGTTATATAACAAAACTTGAAAAAATGTAAGGGAAATGTGTTGGTCAATGTCTTGCCATTCTATAGTTATCTCCCTTGATCACAAAATATTAACAAAAATATTATTAACCGTACTACCAAAAATCAACCCATTTCTGTAAAATAATGTACACTTATTTGAATAACAGTACGCTTGTTTGTTGAAAATAAATTATTTTTTCAATTGTTTTTCGTTCTATTTATCACTGATACTAGTAGATAACTATAAACAGATATTTCATTGTAAAAAAAATCTGGGAATTAACTCATTGAAGTATTGAAGAATTCTGTCAGTGTTGGATAATAATAAGGTAGTATATGGTTGTGTTTTGTAGCGAGGGCCCACCTACCCAAATGTCATCCTTGGTTAGCCATTTGCTTTCGGAAGAGATTAGAAAGATGTGGAAAAATGCAATAACACGGCAAACGGACTACACGGAGAATTTCACCTCGCATTAGCATTTAATTCTAATAATCTTATCTTATTATGTTCAAGATGTTGTAATGAAATATTATTGTAATAAATGAATTTACAACTTTCAGGACCAATCAACATTCATGTGGTGGTGATAATGCTAACTGTGAAATCGTTCTTCAATACATGTGTAGTGATACTGTTAGAGATGGTGCTATTGTCACGTAATTATAATTAATTCAAATTCACGTGGGGGTATTTTTCTATTTACCGTGTTTGGATTGCACAGTAAAGTATAGTTGAGGCTTTCAAGTGAGATTATATGCAAAATTTGAGACAATACTTCTAATTCCGACAATTGGTCGCTAAGATAAAGACGATATTACAGTCTGACACACCATGTTTTGAATATATTATATAGTTCATATTGATATCATAAATTCGCCTTAACGAAATCCAACCTAATGTATTTTGCAGACTTTGTGCAAAATACTGTAGTTAATTTTAATATATTTTATGAAAACAATAAATATAATTATATTTTATCAAATTAAAAACAAAGCTAAACTCGTCTAATTAGCGAAATCTTGAGCACTCTGCACCTATTTAGACCAGATCATTTTTCACAAGCATATTATGAACTCCTTGAAAACAACTGAATTTAAAACGTTTATCCATCTGCGATGGTTTGGCATATTTGTGCATACGGTCTAACTTGAATATCCTGGTGTAACTAGCCAAGAGGGAATTGAAACCACACCACTTGACTCAATGACAGACCTTATGATTAAACGCACACGCGTTACCCCCCCCCCCCTCCCATCTCGATTAAGACATACAATTAAATGTCATGTAAATCAAAGCCCTTGGCAATCTGTTATCGACAAATTGCAAGCTGACATGGCATAACACGCTCCAGTCAACGAAACGAAACGAAATGAAAGGAAATGAGGGTTTTTTCTGCCCCGACTAGGCTACTGTAGAATGGCTTACTCCATACAGTGTGGTATATGGAAAATTTCGATTTCCAACAGTCAAGGGTTTTCTTACGTGCACGCCATGCACGCCAATGTGTACTTTTACTTGAACGCCATTTGTACACGGGATTTCTGTTTTTCGTTCCATCCGAACGACTAGACACTGCACTTGCCAAGCCTCCCTGTCATGCATTACTGGCAAGGGGGAACAGCGGCGGAAATGCCGATACCACCTGTTTAGCGAGTGACTTACATACTGAGCCACCGCAGCTCCCAGAGGAGTAAACAAATGAAAAATACCGATACAAAATGTCGGTATGATTTATAAATTAGACTAATGGCCGCATTGCTACCAAATTTTCGTTTCGGATTATTACAGTCTTGTATTATTCTACATACGTTTCATCTTCATGTATTTTTTTCTGTAGAACTATACCAGATGTTCCATCCCGATGTGAAAATGGAAATTGTGATGCCGATATCAAATATGGTATGCATGAAGATTTCGAAAGTTACACACGTTGCCGGTTAAGATCAAGAAACTTTGGTTTATTTGTTGGTGATCTTGTAAGTACTTATGTATGACAAAATGTTAAACAACTTGAATTTTAAAATTTACGGACTCAAAATGTGCTAGTAGTAGGAAGGGAAACACGTGCCTGTTCTAAATATGTATTTAAAAACTACCATATATTTAAACACGTGCACTATAATAATTAGAAACTCTCCCACTCGCCCCTCGAGCTCGCTCTCTCGCCGCCTCTCGTTCGCCGTATCTATCTCTAGATCCTCCTCCTCCTCCTCCCTCTCTCTCTCTCTCTCTCTCTCTCTCGCTCGCTCTCTCCCCCGAAGTTTCCCCTTGTCAGTGGTGCAGAACAGTGGGCCTGACAAGGCAGCTATCTATCGTTCGGATGGGACGAAAAACCGAGGGCCCGTGTATACATTGGCGTGCACGTTAAAGTTAAAGATCTCGTCAGTTAGAATTCGATACAAGGGTAGGCCATAGTGCTGCTGCCCTTGCAAAATTTCCATCATAGTACACTGTATGCGTATGCCCGTCTTCATTAGCCCTGTCGGAGCAGAACAGTAGGGCGTTAAACACCATTTCATTTCTCTTTCCTCCCCCCTCGCTTCTTTTGTCAGTGATTTCAGCCTGTGACTGTCTGAATTCATACCCTGTAATCATATATCCTATCACTATTTACCAAGTAATATGCTTTCAATCAGATATTTTGGGCGACACAATGTTCCAATTTTTGTATCATAATGTAGTTCCTTTATGCTAATATTGGATGGGTTATTGTTTTAGAGGATGAATAGAGATGGTAGAGCCAGATTTACCAGACAGAATACACGAGGACTGAGACATGGTTATGAATGCCCTGAAGAGAGGGACTATTACCCCTACTGGCATCCTACACCATGGAGGGTCTGTATCCTATATTGAAAATTTCATTTAAATTACTTAATTTTGAGCGAAGTTATACCTGAATTTATGGCGTGTAGCGTTCATTATCGTAGCAACGGTACTTAAACTTTATAGCCTCGATAGTCTAGTTTGAATTTCGTGAAAATCGAACCCGAAACTTCCCGTCAAAATATCCGCCCCTATACACAAATAGTGTGAAAGCATGTAATACCAAGGCTGTGGGCCCTTCAGAGGTCACAATTTTTATCCGATTTTGAAGACCTACAATAGGCGGATTTAGCTGTTACATTATGCATCTTTTATATGATTCTATACGAGGCTGTCGTTTTCTCTCAGGATATTGCCGTGTTGACCAATGATGTCTCTAGATGTGATTATTATAAAGAACAGAGTGAGAATGTAAAGGGAAGGGGATATTGTGACATACCACTAGAACTTCTGGTAGAACAAGGACGTAAAATAACAATTCCAAATAACAAAGCAGATTGTGACGTAAGTACTTTTATTATACCGCTTTTAGTTCCGGTTAAAATTTCTTCATTAAGCAATGCTCTTATTTTGAAGACCAGATACATGGTTGTGGAGCAACGCTTGGATTTTTTTAATTTCACTTTTATCTGATCTATCAATGTCATCATTTAGAAATTTAGATTCCCAGCTAATAACCCAGATGGTGTAAAGGGGGTTTGGAAGGTAGCCCCCTCTCACGGCATCGCTGCTCCAATATGTCAGGAAAATCAGTACAGTCGAGATAACCATAACGGTAACGGCATTAATGGACAAACCAACACCTTTAACTGGACTTTACCAAACATCCAGGAAGAAAATTGCATATTCAGAATAAGGTATTTATGAAATTAATCCGACATTGGTCAGACAATAGACATTGTTTGAATTTGAGACCAGTTTCTAAATAGGGGTTTCTGCCATATGTAAGTCTAATGTAATATGGATATGATAAAAAAACAGCCTGACCTTAAAAAAAAAGCTTTGTTAGCTTTGTATTGCTTTTTTTGTTTTATGAAGACGAGATGGAACGTTTCCAGAAGTTAGCCGCTCTGGCAAGGGCGAGCTGAGTGGACTGAGAGAGATAGAAAGATGTTTTTTGTTCATTTGACTTATGCTTGAATATTTAATCTTAGCGGTTGTATCTTGTATGTCGTGGTATACTTAAAGATGGATGTTGAAACAAACAGAACTTGAAATAATAACAAAGTGATATTAGAGTTCTTAGTGGAGTTCATATCGAGTCCATATCGAGACCTGTAACAGGAAAGTACATCACTTGACGGACCACTGCCGAGACACAGAATGTGTGGCATGATCTGATCGAGGTTACCAGGATTTTGCTAATTTATTCATTTTGGTCCCGTGAATGTTTTATATGTTCGATTTGGCGATACTCTGTTACAGCAGGGGTGGAGTTGAGGGAGCACCATAGCAGCTTTATGGCTATGGGCTTCACCCGAGCACAGAACGATTGTACGAAACACATAAATCCGCGATTGTGTCGCATGATATGGCTACAAATGCCCCCCCCCCGTCCCCTCAACCCAAACCAGGAGTCATCCCATTTAGCCAGTGGTGTAGCCACGACTTTGCTATGGTGGTGTGCGCAGATTTGAATGACTAAGGTTTATAGAACCATCCCAGGAACTGTAAGTTTGTATATATATTATTATGATTGGTTAGTCTATAAATAAATGATACCATTTTGTCTTAAGATACAACGTTACATCCAACGAATTTAACGGCTGGGAAACAACCGCTGAACAAAACGCAGACCCACTAAAAAGAGTAGATGGTGCCAAAGTACCCCTCTTCAAGAATTTAGGTTTCGACAGCAGATGTGATGCCGCTGAGCGTGGGTTCCTTCTCAAGAGCGACCCGGAGGTTAAAATATTTGATGGTTTAGACATTGGATTTAAATTAGCTGTGGACACTAGACAAGTTGGACGCACATTCGAGGACAGGTAATACCACCTTCATTAGTTTTAGAAGTTAATGAAATAAAACACAACGTAATGTTGATATTATATAAATGATAAATCCAACTACCCCCAAAACATTGGAATAGTAACGAAAATAACCGGGTTCTATGACTTCCAACAGGATTCCTTGGGAGTTCTTTAATGTAAGTCACTGATCTTTATTTACATGTAACCCTAAATATCAAATTGTCCACGATTTCACCTACACGAATTCATTATTTAACATTTGATAAAGAAACAAAATAAAAAATATCACCAGAAAATTAAACACGAATTCATTATTTAACATTTGATAAAGAAACAAAATAAAAAATATTACCAGAAAATTAAACTGGCGACGGCTTGTTGAAAAATTTATTGACGGAACGGTCTTCAATCACAACGGCCCATAAATAGATTGGTCATAACGGTCATAAAATCAAACTCGATTAATTATTTTTTTAAAAAAAGAGTCCAGTGATATATATTAATATCAACTTTTGCGGTTTTGGTTTACGTCTGTTTTAACCATATCCAGTTTTTCTTAAACAAGGAGTAGATCACCTGCCCAACTTCGTGGGTTTCCTCCAGGTACTCTAGTTTTCTCTCACTGCTAAAGACCCTTACGCGCAACCGAATTGTTGAAATAAAGTTGAACCATATGTTAGTCCCGGAATGACCCAGTTTGTTTCGAGTGGACGTTAATTCCATTTCTCTTTCCAATTTTTCGTATCTGTAGGTATTGAAGCATTTTTTGAACTGTTAATCCCTTTAAACACACAAACATAATATGGAACACAATTACTATTTTGATAAGCAGCGGGACGTTGAGGGTTCATCAACGTTATCAAACAAATGACAACCCCTTTATAGAGATCCAACTTTCACAACATTGTAGTTTGTAACTCGTACACAATCCCTCGAATGACGCTTAGAGACTTTAATATATAAGAAAATAAAAATTGCAAATTTGCATGTAAAACTAGTAAATTTAAGGCGGAGGGAATCTAACTTACTGGTCATAGTTTAATTGAAAACGGCAGCCGTAACTTTTATATTTTTATATTTATATTTTTTAGGTCGTTTAGGTTTGAAGTACGCCCACGCCCAGCAGGTATACCAGCAGAAGCTAACATTTATAATGTTAATGTACGTGGTAAAAGAGGTAATATTGTACAGACTTACCCGTCTACAGAATACGATTTTGTTCCGGCCGATTTGCATGCTACACCTGATGATTATACACATCTGCAGTAAGTATATGTAATGTGGTTATTATACATTATCTGCAGTAAGTATAGAACGTATTTATGCACATCTAGTCAGTATGTAATGTGATTATACACATCTACAGTCAATATGTAATATGGTTGTACATTATCTGCAGTATAGAAAGTATTTATGCACATCTACAGTCAGCATGTAATGTGATTATTCACATCTACAGTCAATATGTAAAGTTGTTATACATTATCTGCAGTAAATATAGAACGTATTTATGCACATCAACAGTCAGTATGTAACGTGATTATACACATCTACCGAACGCGATTATACACATCTACAGTCAGTATGTAATGTCATTATACACATCTACAGCCAATATGTAACGTCATTATACATATCTACTTTCAGTACGAAAAGCTGTAGACCTAGATATGATTCTAATTCTTTTTAAGATATTTTATTGAACTAATTGTGAGATAGTATCAGTTTTTCAGAGACAGTTTAATCAAAACCTAGGAAGAGTATATATCCGTGAGCCCCTTACTGAATTTACATCCAGATTTACTTATACCTGTTTCTGGAAACAATAATTGAATTGCTAAAATTAAACTGCGATTTCTTTGGTTTTTAGATGGACTGGATCCAATACCAATAATAATGGTAATGCTGGTCAAGGACTTCGTGGTACAGATAGACATAACTATGTATTATTACATGAACAAATCTATCCAGAAGGAAGTGGTTATACTGGACCTGGTGTTAAAGTCGGCCATTTTGGTGTTAACTATCCAATGAACCTAACGGGTACATCTTTGCCGTTAGACACGTTAGAAAAACTAGCATATCTAAAACCAGGTAAGATCTAGCGTACAGAGTGGAAGACATTCAAATGATATTAAATGTGTTCTATTAAATGTGATTTTCCAGTAGTCGACGATTTAGAAATCCAGAATAAGAGATAGCTTTTAGGATGGAAGAGTTTACAGGTGGTTGTACTGGATCCGGTATACTTGTACGAATCTCTCGGCAGCCATTCAAAATGACACTCCCTATTTTCGGAATGACCTTTATGTGGTATTGAAGACAATTGTATTTAATATTTTTCGTACCAGATAACTCTATATATTTCATTATTTTGTAATACAAATGGTCGAATACATTGTGCTAATTTTAAAAACTTTTGCAGCACAACTGGGTGGTGAGATGTCTGAATTAGATGATGCTGGACCATATTTTGATGCTGGTTTGATGAAAGCACCTGAACCAGGAACCTATCACTATATGTGTAGCAGAAATAACGCATTTACGAACCGGGACCAAAAAGGTCGATTTATAATCCATCCAACAACTGCTCCAGCAAAGTAAGAATCATTGTGTAATATATAGAGAATAGAGTAATTTAAACGAAGGATTAAATGTGGTTTCTTATCTTGGCCCCTGAGTCGCATGTTTGTAGGATCGCTGCTCTAAGCGTAGTCATAAAGTATTTTGATGTCGCCCAGTGCTCCCCTTCCAACACTCAGTTCCAAAATAGGCCCTTGGCTTGATTTACGTACCGTTTTAAGCGATATTTCAGATTTCATCCTAATTTGGACCAGCATATTAATTTTGACATTGCGGGTCTAAATGCCGTCCCCATTAACCCAGTCGGAAGTAGAACAGTAGGACGTTTAAACCCCTTTTCAAGTGGTGGGTCTAATTATAGTACTCTTATTGGTTGGTGGTTGAGTTGTCGAGTGGGCTGACGTAAGATATCATTGATTTAAGTGGCGTTGTTTCAATCCCAAGCTTATACATGATAAGGATTAGGCTCGTGTGCCCAACCTTGTGGGTTTTCTCCCACTGCAAGGCAATTATTGAAATAAAATGGTGCCATATGTTAGTTTTTGTCCATAACCTCCATTTCTCCCTATCACACTTTTATGATAGTGATACATTGACTTTACTCAATCTATTTCAGGAGAAACCTGAACTCTGAACTACAAGAATTACTTCAAATTTTGACATCGGAATCATAATATGAGAACGTCTTTAAATGGGGATCTTCGCAGTTCTAACTGGACAAACGATTGCATTTTTCTTAATGAGTTTTATATAATTTATGAATTCCTTCCAAATAACTCCCTCCCACGTTATAAAACAATATCCCTCATATTCTCTTTAACTTTGTTACGGTATAGTTATCTTTGTATACAATGTTTTGTTATGAAATTTTGTTATTGTTTTGAGAAGAATTGTGAAATGATTAAAGACATCTTTTTAAAAAGCTATTGAATGTAATAAACTGATCTAATCAAAGTATATGCCTTCATTTTGTTTTAAAAAATGAACAATAGTTGTTCCACACTGCATACCTACTAGTTCGCTGCCGATGTTGGCCGAGAATGTTCCCGGCGTAGTTTCTCTCGGTCAGTATTGGAGGAGAGATGGCCTGTATCTATTCGTTCGGATGGGGCCTAAAACCGAGTTTTCGTGTACGTACCAGTACCGTCGGCAGTTGGAATTACCGCCGCTGTCCGGCCAAAATTCAACTGTAGCTCACTGCATGACGTATATCAATATTCATTAGTCCAGTTGCTGCAGGAAAGTAAAATTTTAAACCCATTTCATTTAATTTCATTTGTTTGAAAAGTGGACAGAGTTGTGCCATACCTATCGGGTTGATCATCTTATCACGGGCTGGGTTAAAGGACAATATTGGTCTCAGTCATTATTACATAATGTGATATAACTGGTTAAATACGTCCCAAATATAATTTTAACACACAGATCATTGCTATCGATGCGTAATGGAAATTTCAAGTAACGGAAGAGGCGAAAGCAAACGGAAAACACGAGTTATCCTTTTATATAACTGACGGGAGTGACTAGTGATAGCATATACACTGTCGATAATTCCTTCAAAGACCAAAAGTTATGTGGGGCTGTGAGAGGATATCTGACATTTCAAAAAAAGTAACTGAATGTCACTATAAGAGAAATGAGAAAAATAGAAATAGCCTGTACATTCCCTTGTTTATATTCGGGGGGTTGGATGGCCGAATGGTTAGCACGTGCGTGCTGTATCATGCGGCCTGCCATTGAGTCAACAACTGGCGTGGTTTCGAATCCCCGGTTGTACGTGGCAAGGAGTAGGGTCGCCTGTCCAATCTCGTGGGTTTTCTCCGGGTCCTCCGGTTTCCTCCCACTGCTAAAGACCCCTACGCGCAAGCGAATTATTGAAATAAAATTAAATCATATGTTAGTCCCGAAATGACCTAGTTTGTGTCGAGTGGACGTTGAACCCAATTTTTCTCTCTCTCTCTTTGTTTTTATTCATTCTATACCTAATAAAAACATGGTAATGCACGTACTTTTTCTATTTTTCTCGTTTTTTCTTATATAGTGACAGTCAATTATTATTTTGAATTGTCAGATATTCCCCCCCCCCCTCAAACAGTCATATATAACAACTTTTGGTCTTCGAAGGAACTGTCAGAGCAGAAATTCGCCCGTGTATCTGTTATATAGAAGGATAACTTGTGTTTTCCTTTTACTTTCGTCACTTCCGTTTCTTGAAATCTTCATTACGCATCTATCGTAGCAATAATCTGTGTTAAATTTTATTTGGAACGTTTTAACCAATTCTGTCGCATATGTGATAATGGCTGACACCAATATTGTCCTTTAGATTGTAGAGGACAATAAGTTGATCGCTAATTGGGTGGGGGTTATTGAGGACAATAAACTGAGAACTATAATGAATGCATAAACCAATCATAACCTCTCCATTCATTCTTATAAATGGGAATGAGTAAAATGAATGTTTTGGATCCTGGGAATATTTTGATAGATTGAGTCCAAGAATATGGGTATCCAAGACATCCACGGATATATACCATGATAGTATGAGACGAGGGGTAACTCAAAATCTGACCGTAAAACGGGTTCAGCACAGTGTTTGCTTTTTCCTCGTACGTCGCCCCCCCCCCCCCTTTAATGGGTGATCAGTTTTGTGTGTACTAAGGTTTATATAAACATATAGAAATAAAAAGTTTGATCGATTCATCTTTCATTCAGTACGAGTTCGATAATCAATCAAGGAAAATATATCACGCAATCGTTATAATTAATTTCTATGTTAGAGTATCGAGCTAGTCTATTACATTCCCGGGTTTATACGAACTCTATATCAGACACGCGGGTTAAAAATAAACTTTTTACATATCAATAAGAAGGCTTTTATAAAAACAGGAAACTTAAAATACGCATACAGTCTGTCGAATAAGGTGAATAATACAATGCTGAAGTAATAGTTTAACTAATACGTCGTCCACTTTGGAACTACAAGATAATTTTCTGTTCTAGTGCTATTGCAATGCGAAGAGAATTCCACCCTCTGCTCTCGACCAATTACTATGTCTGAAAGGTAGAAAATAATGACAAATGAAAATTAGTCAAACGCATTTAGAAAATAAAGTGTGGAAATTTATAATAAACAATATTCTTGTTTCATTTCCTGGAAATTTGACAAATATCTTCATCATTAAAGGTTAAAGGATCTTTATACCCGTGTGTTTATGCTGAAAGAGAGGTGTAAACACTTTAAAATAATTCACAAGTAAATGTAAAATAATAAATATCATGGTTAATCGTTACTTTCAGTGTGTCCTATGTATGTCGTGTCTTCAAAATTAAAGGGGCATTAAAAAGCTTAAAGCAATAATTGAACTGTATGTAAATTCCAATAAAATGTTGGCTCGTTAAACTGGGGGTCCCGTGTTCGATCCTGGTGTTAGTCAAGAAAGTTCACCGTGATTTTCCCTCGTGGTTCCCACTTGCCTGCGGTGCTGAGCGGAGGGCCTAACAAGGGACACGTTATAGTCGTTCGAATGGGCCGGAAAAAAACGCGACCTCGTGTAAACATTCGCGTGGACGTAAAAGAACCCCTGAAAGTTGGAATTCGAAATAAAATTAGACCGTAGCGCTGCCGTCCGGTCAAAATCTACACACAACACAGTGCATGGCTTATGCCCGTCTTCATTTGACCAGTCGGTGCAGAAAATTAACAAAACTTCATTTCATTTTATTTCAGTGTTAAAAATTAAAGTAATATTCAATTGACTATTCTAACATTAAAAACGCCTGTAATACAGATAGCTCTGACTATTACAAGTTTACGCTATATTTATTTATTTAGCTTGAAATTAAATATACAGTTTGACAAACCGCCACTTTAAAGCTCAAGGTAAAGTTCAGTTCAGCTTGACACGTCGATACTGTAGGCTGGGTATTGTTGTCAAATAAAAAGAACCGTCTCAAGCCTTTCTATTTAGTTCAGTGACAGTATAATATAGCGACAGTTAGTTTATAGCCATTGGGGGGTAGTTGCATATATAATTGTATGTAATATGTAGGTATTGATCTATCATACGAATATCAACTGTATTTATGACATTTGTTTAGTGTATGAAATTACCGGAATTAGTGACCCATTATCATAAGTAAAGACTGGCCTACAGATGTAAGTATATAAACTTTAATTAACATCAAGTGCATGTGACTTACAATCGATATAAACGTATAATATCTACTTTATTAAAGACATTCCTGTACAAAATAAAGTAAAGAAGCATATCGTTGTAGTTGAAATATATTTTTTTAATCGAAATTTTACCAGTAAAACAGCAATAGACCTATACCTGATTTAGTATTTGTTTAGTATAAGCTTATTCAAACGTTCATGACATTTACTTTAAAGTGACTCTGTTAGTCATTTATGAAATGCAATGGGGTCTAAGTTCGTTCTTTTCAGCTATACCCGGACTAATAAAGACGTCGGTTAGTTATTTATAGATTTGAAGTTTGTTTCGATTTATAGAAAATATAACATTCCAATTACTTATGGTCTTATATTGCGATAATGCGTTCGTATGAGCGAACTCGGTGAACCCATAGCACAAAATGCATGCGCTGCCGGAATCCAAGTACGTAATTACGTCGCTGGAACATTTAGGGAAGGGACATATTATTCTACTAATGCAAAAGTACAAAAAAAGTTTGTTAACTATGCAAACGCCTCAAACGAAAAGTGGTATCGAGTATTTTAGAAGGAGCAAACACACTATCGTGAGCACGACAGTATTTTGAACCTGGATTTCATGAGCCGAAGTCATGACCCACAATGTTACAATACTATTGATGGGATATTGCATTTCTTTGTTTGCTTACATTTGAGTCAAAATAAAGGATGAATTTGGGTTGATCTCGTGTGTTATTTGGATTAGTGATTGGGTAAGGTCTATACGTGTATTTAGAAAGATTCGGCTTTTATAGGAATGTAGTCTAATTTTTGGCTTACTTTGTCGACAGTTGAACACAAAATAGGCTATGTCTCAACGCTGGCTTTATCTGTATGTGTAAAAATTTGTCATCACACAAAACAAAATATAAAATCTACTGAAATAGATAAATATATTTTTGATCCAAATCAAAGAAGTCTATCTAAGCATTGGTCAACTTCTCTGTCTGAAACCTGAAAACAACTAGATACCTATCACCAGGTCTAGTAAATTACAATAATTAATTCATGAAATATTATTTTCAACTTTACTTTACACCATATGTGTTTCTACTTACAAAATGACGTAAAGTGCAATTAGTCATATAAATTTCAGTTGACAAGTGTGTTTGACGAAATACATGCCGTATACATTCATATATATAGTATCTTAAGAAATTTAAGCATCAGATTGTGTTTATTAATCACTCATTTTTTTCTTTATGTATTTCTGTGTCATCTTGTTATTACTGTAATTAGTGGTTTCCGGTTTAAAAATAGAATCTGAGCACATTTAAAATCTTTATTAACCTGGGGTAATTCCAATATTCAATGAACATTGTCAACACGACTAGTGTGAGTGGGGTGAACAGATTCTAAAGCCTATATCCTCATTACAATATGATTGGATAATTATTAAAGTTACCATCCCGATTTTAACAGAGTATCAGAAATAAAAGTCCGTGTGCGTATGAAATTTAAACGCCAAAATATAGAGGAATGGTGTATTTACCTTCTCTCAAAATTTTAGCTCAAAATATTGAGTCGTTTGGACGTGAACGTCAAAACCGCTTATCTGGACACGTAACCATTTTAAGATGTCGGGTCAATTGTTTCGTTGGGTGACCTGATAATCTGTTGCCGTTCCTTTAAAGGTCTATGGTTTGCACGTGTGCGCTGTATCTTAAGGTCTGTCATTGAGTCAACTGGTCTGGTTTCGATTCCCCGGTTGTACGAGACAAGGAGTAGGGTCGCCTGTCTATCCTCGTGGGTTTTCTTCGGATCCTCCGGTTTCCTCCCACTGCTAAAGACCCCTACGCGCAAGCGAATTATTGAAATAAAATTGAACCATGTGTTAGTCCCGAAATGACCTGGTTTGTCATTTAATTCTCAGCCGTATTTATTATCCCGGTTGGTGCAGAAAAATAGGACGTTACCCTCCCCACCCCACCCTCTCTCGCTCTCTCTCTCTCTCTCTCTCTCTCTCTCTCTCTCTCATCCTCAGCCGTATTTAGTATCCCGGTTGGTGCTGAAAAATAGCACATCAAACCCCCATTCATTTTTTTACTATAGTTCTCAGCTGGACAGCTTTCTTGTCCCCTTGCAAATTTTTTGTTACTACACATAATAAAATTAACTTTCAGGTACAGTGATTTATTTATGGTTAGTACTATACAAGTCAGGTATGGACAGGGTATCTAATAAAACATATGAATAGCATTAGTGTATACTAGATTAGAAATTACTCAAGCGTATCCGCTGTATTACCGTGCGGTTACATATTTGTCATTCTATTACGGCGCACCATCACTACATTTCTCATTTGAAATTTTATAAATATATAACTGTTAAATGGACACTAAAACAGAAAACTTGTAAAAATTGAACTCTGTCGCAGACTTTTTGACTTTCAAGTTGTGAATGGAAAACCCTATTCTTGGCATTATGCGTAAAGATGTTACTTAGTAATAGGCCAAGTCGTTATAGCTTGTTGTACCTTTAACTTGGAGAAACATATCTTTAAGGGTTATTTAAGTAAATTTCTAATTTTGCAGATCTGATAAACTAAGATGGTTATAAATATATTAACAGCAGTAGGTTTTCTACAGCTTCTAGTCGGCTATAATGGTCAATTAATAACAATAGTTGAGAAAGAACCATTGCCTGGTAAGTCAATAAAGTGGTTTCCATTATAATTTTAAAAATGTAAAGAACCGAGTCACTTTGAATGAATTAAGTTTTGTGGCATAATATATTTCAGAGATTTGACCAGCCGTATACAATTAAATTTAAATCCATAACAATTATACCATCATGATTTGTTCTTACTCCTCGATATCGCGGGTTCCAGATAATGTATTACTGTGCAGTGCACTCAGAGCAATGTTAAGTTCAAGACAATAGTCCGCCAGTTCTGGGTATAGTGTTTTTCTTCTTCTAATTCTAATCTCTATCCATAACAATTATACCATCATGATTTGTTCTTACTCCTCGATATCGCGGGTTCCAGATAATGTATTACTGTTCAGTGCACTCAGAGCAATGTTAAGTTCAAGACAATAGTCCGCCAGTTCTGGGTATAGTGTTTTTCTTCTTCTAATTCTAATCTCTATCCATAACAATTATACCATCATGATTTGTTCTTACTCCTCGATATCGCGGGTTCCAGATAATGTATTACTGTGCAGTGCACTCAGAGCAATGTTAAGTTCAAGACAATAGTCCGCCAGTTCTGGGTATAGTGTTTTTCTTCTTCTAATTCTAATCTCTATAAAAGTACTGCTAATGCACTCATTTTAATAATTTTTCTTTAATACCCGACCTAATTATAATACGTTTCTGTATATTGTTTAAAGATAATGTGAGATTTGTAAAGGAGCCTAAAGACACAGTGGTCCTAAGTCCGGTGGAAGAAATTAAACTGGATTGCTTAGCTAATTTTACAAGTAAACCAATAAATTACAAATGGTACAAGATTGAAGTAGTGGGCAAAACTCCAATAATCGACGGCCAGGGTTTCACATTCGTAGAAGATGGAATTTTATTTAATACGACTTTAGAAAATGGTGAACAAAGTGGCATCTATCAATGTGAAGCTAATGCGACTAGTTATTCCATTTTGAGTCGCACTGCTCGAGTTACATTTGCAGGTAAGTATATCGTAGTTTAATTGGTCGTTTTTGGAATAATGGTTTAAATATAGATAATAAAAAGGGAATATGTTGAAAAGTTTTGTAAAATTACTTCATTCTGAGCGAAGTTATGACTGTTTGAAGAATATTGTAGTCTCGATTATCCATTAAATTATTTAAATCATTCAAAATCACAACATGCGATTGTCTGGAGAGTTGATTAAGGGTTTGTCTTGTGAATAAATTTCTAGCCCAATTAATAATTAACATAAAATTTGAAACAAAAAGAAAGATCTGCAATAGGCAGATTTAGCTCTTACATAATGCATCTTTAATATTTATAAATCAAATATTTTTCGTATAAATGCACGTAAAAGAAACTCTGAGAGTTGAAGAAGTGACTTCCCGCTGTCAGCATAACGTGTGTCCGTCGTGAGCACAAATATCGATTAATATTAAATATTTTAAAACCCCGAAATTGATGTTTTTGCTTCGACTATTTTTCCCTTACGGCATCAATTATTTCCAAATTCTGCGGGCGAATTTCAGCCAGTCCCATAAATTACCCCCGATCTGATATTTGGTCGATATCTTGGTATATTTAGACTAAACTTGATTTTAACTTGAACTTTTATTTTAAGTCGCAGTTCCCAGTGGATCATTACCACGTCAGCCAATTAGAGGATTTCAGTACGCATCAATAGTTATATCTTCTGATATCCGAAGATTTTCTATTCAAGGTAATTTATTTTTATTACAATAGAGCTTTCAATTGGAATAAAATAAAACCAAGTACGAACAATCCAAACCATAAGACAGAATTCGAAGTCCTAAAAAACGTTATAGGCAAAATAGTGTATTCAAGCAAAATAGTGTAATCAGCAAAGGGACTGCTTCTCGTGTACAAAATACACGACAAACAGTGGTAACAGGTGTCCGGAAGAGTAAGCTTACCCTGCCTGGCGCCACACCCGCCATAGCTGCATCCAAACTATTAGGCGAAATGTCGGTAAAATAGCGTGATTGGCCAATGAACTATCGGTATGCAAAATGCACGCGATGAACTGTGTTAACGATGTAGTAGACATTATCAGGGAGATAGTAATAGTATACGTGTCATATCTAGAATAATAGCCGAGAGAGACACGTTATATTTACCAATCAAATCAATATGACGGCCATAAAACTTTTTTAAGTTTAGTGCGCAAGTATCCTTGTAGTTGAAGCTTAGATGACAAATGCCTCGATCTACTTAAAAAATCAGAATAAAAGGAACAAGCTCTCGCGTAACGAATTAGCTCAGACACAAATGACAAAACAAGAAATATTGATGATTTAGCATATAATTAAAAGTTGATTATTTTAGGTGCCCAAATTAACTGTCTGTTATTCGTGTACACTTTTCCTTCGACAATATCTATGTAGTTCCGCCAATGACATTATGGACACGTCTATCATCTAGTTTCGTCTTTATTTTCCAAGTCGGCGCAAAAAAGTAGGAAGTTAAACCCTATTTTATTGATGTCATTTAGTGTGGCCTTTGATTCGAGTGTATATTGTTATTTATCTATTGTTAGAATACATAAATATGTGGACAATATCCTTTAAACAAGAGCCACTGTGTTTACCTAGAGTACGACACTCTCAAACCCATACTAAACTTGTCTGCAAATAGCCCCGCTTGAGAACAGACACTAAGATTTTAGTCGAAAACACTAAGTATGTTTTCTAGAATTTTAAGAAGTATGTATTCTGCTTTCATTTAATAAAATTGAAAAGCTTTAATTAGTCTTTTTGTGTATAACAGATGTGAACCAGGGTGGGACCGCATTACAAAATAGCATTCTAATTGTTAGATATGGTGGCCATTTAGGGCAGAGATCTATTCTCGAAGTAGAGTTGATAATTCTCTGTGTGTAGAATGTTTCAAAACATGTAGTTATAAGTTTATACGAGTTCTATTCTCATTACAGATCTCGAATACAAGTGGATGAAGGGCACCAATAGTACAAGTGCTATACCGATACCCCTGGATTCTCCCAGAATCTTTACGTCGCATGATGGTATCTTATACTTTGGTGAACTCCAATTGGAAGATGCGGGTGAATACACTGCTCAAGCTACATTTAGAATTATAGAAGATAACAATACTATTTATCTTGGTGATCCCACGAAAAACCAACAAACATCTAAAACAGTAACCTTAACTGTTCAACCACAAGGTATGTCAATCAGCTTCAGCTATAAGAACGGTATATGATTTAAGAATTTAAGAGAAACAACTCATCATACATGTCCAAAGTAAACGTATAGATCCGTGGTTTCAACCTTGTACCGTTCTCCCCTTTCAAGTTTGCTTTCCAACTACCCCCCCACACACACACAAGCGCGCACGCACACACCCACCAGCAGCCAACTATCACTATGTTCCACAACAACAAAGATCAGTTCGTAATAATTAAGTGCTAAGCGGCGACTGGCGACTATTTTTGAGATGCCCTAAAAGTGTGCTATTTTTTCTCGACCTACCTCAACAAATAGCCAAATTGTAAAAATAAAAATACCCAAGACTTAATTTGTATTTAGCCTTTGATTTATGCTTTGATTTTTTTTTGTCAGCAAAACCCAGTGAAGAAGAACTCATTATAGGTGATCATTTTCCTCAGGTTTTCCCCCGTCAACCAACATTTGGACAAACTATTGATTTGGAATGCTTTGCTTTCGGGAGGTAAGTAGAGGCAGTCATCCAACAGATATAACCACTCTGCAGAAATTTCCATAGGGCATTTTGAGTCTACAATATCATTTTCTTTTCTGTACTCTAAACTATTCTACGGCATCATTTACGTTTTGTCGATTGAATATACTTACATTAAAGATTACAATTGTATGTATTAAAACTTAAAACATGGAAGGAACGTACAAAGAAAACCCCTAAACCAATAAGGTATTTCTGGCTGTTCTAGAGAAACACCACCATTACCGTCTGACATCCTGACAAGTCAGTCTTCCCTAAACTTTAGTTTACTCAATCTAAAATAGAAGTGGGATTTTTGTTTCAGTCCGTTAACATATTCTTGGACATTTAACGGAGAACCATTGAAAAATAAAACGAGATTGTCAGACAACAACCGCAGGATGTCCATACCAGATGCCCAACTCGATGACGAAGGGAATTATACCTGCACGGCTGCCAACAACAGTACAAATACATCCAGAAATTTATTGTTACAAATCAAAGGTTGGTCAAGTATTGCAATTTCCCTTTAATTTAACAATTGCAATAGTACTACTATATAGATCACAAACGACAGTGACGTCATCACCGCCATCTTGGAATTGTAGGAACAACAACAAGATCGTACGAAAATTAAAGACTAAAACATTTTTCTCTGCAGGTAGGTTGGGTCTGTTGTTCAGATTGCAACAAGATGAGTAGGGTTTGGGGACTATTTCCTAACCTCAAACAACCCGATCGGGTATATGGCGTCATTTTGCTTTAAAAGTAGCATTTCCAGTGATTATTCGCTGTCCTGTTGGGCCTAATAAACTCTGGAAAAAACCCCAAGACTAACTCAATTCAAGGGGGGTAATTCACATTAAGATCGCTCCTTTTCACAGCTGCAATGGGATGTCTAGGAGTTAGGGTTGTGCCTTATTCATATATTAAAGGCTTTACTATACATATAATTGTCATTGTTATAACAACGGGTCTTAATATTAACGTAATTAATTCCATCTCATTTATCTTCAGGTCGACCAATTTTTTCATTAGCATTATCTGATGGTGAGGTAAAGGAGAATGCGTTTCATAAACTAACCTGTTTATCTTATGGACCGGCGAAACCGGTCATAACGTGGTACAGAAATGGGGAACCCATTCGAAATATTACGGACAGATATTATGCAGACAACAAATATTTTATTATATTAAGTCCAAAGATTGGTCGAGATGATGGTATTTTCCAATGTGCTGCAAAAAATGCATATGGAACCATTTATTCCACAGCTAAAATAACTATAGCAGGTGAGGTGTTTCAAAAATTTAATCGGTACCGGTATGTATGTGTGTGTGTGATGGTGTGTGTGTGTACACAGAGAATTGGAATACTGTTTTGTAATGTGGTTCTAACCCTTGTTTAAACATTTTCGGTTATATTAAATGGAAACAAAATAAACACTTTTCAAAATGCATGACGTATACTTAATCCTTAGGACTAAAACCACCCTGTCCTTACCCGTTACAGAATAAAAGTGTCGGTCATCTATCTTCGTATCTGGGCCCTGTTTCACGAAATTTTAACTAAAGATAAAATCCAAATTTTAGTAGATACTTCAATTTTGATTGGCTAAGCACTAAAATCAATCTAATATTATCCAATCAAATACTAAAATTTGGATTTTATCTTAGTTAAAATTTCGTGAAACAGGCCCCTGTTCTCAAGCGGAAACAAACAGTGCAACTTTCGTATGCGAAATCCATACACTTGCCCCAGTTACATGCCTTAAACATACATTATGCAAGAGCTAAATCTGTCTATTGCAGGTCTGAAATGTTATCTAAATTATTAATTATTAATTATTAAATGGATAATCGAGACTATGCTGTTTATCGTACTGACTTTAGTAATGAAGATCAAGGCTAGCGGGAAATTTCAACCGCTTAGTTCTCTGTTCATAGTGGATCAATTTGAATGAAATTTTCAGCAAATTGCCTTTACATTATCTAGTTTTTAACTATAATAGAGAGAACTGCCAACTCGTTATCGAATCTCCCATAATGTATCTTTAACATCTATGGACTAGTCGGTAACAAAGCCCCTCTTTCTCTAAATGTGAAACATTTATACGTAGTGTGTCTATATGTGTTAACAATAAAAGCCATATTTTTCAGATTGATTTATACTAATTATGCATTGTGTTTTTTTTTTGCTCACAGCTGTGCCACCTGAAGGAAACCATGGAATACCAACAAGTTCTTTTATAATCTTAAACATCATCCTACTCTTTGTACCATTTTTATGAGATATTTTACATCTCTTTCGTAAATCAAAGAACCACAGATTTTTGGACGTTCAAGAAAATACACGGTTCATCGCTGGGTGTTCATATTTGTACATAAATTAAAACTGACACGTAATCATATTAAAATCAACTCTGGGTAATTTTTAAAAAGACATATCAACGTTTACGACACTTTGTATGCTAAAGAGGGGGCGGAGGTGTTACAGCTTTTCAGGTAAAAGATGGATTCTTACATTTTCGTGTTGTCAACAGTAGTCAAGGTATTAGATATTCGACGATCCAAGCCCAGATATGTTCGAGCTATACACGGTGTTCAGTCAGTTATATAGAGGGATAACTCGTGTTTTCCTTTGGCGTTCGTCACTTGCGATTCACGACACCTGTATTACTCATCTATCGTAGCAATGATCTCTGTGTTAAAATTATATTTGGAATGTGTTTAACCAGTTCTATCACATATGTGATAATGACTGACACCAATATTGTCCTTTAAACATATAGTTGAAATATATTTAATATCCCTTTAACTCGGTTTCGGTTTGCTTATGCTATCATAAATTGATCTAGAATAATTTCAAACGACATTACTTTTAGAAATGTGTTGTTTTATACACGATATGTTATGTTTTGTAAACGATATGTGTTGCTTTGTACATGATATGTGTTGTTTCGTGCGTCAATTGTTAACATTGCTCACCTCCCTGGGTTGTTAAAATATTGTTTGATTAGGAACCCATTATTTTTTTTAACGTATTTATAAATAAATATAAAACTGTTGTTTCTCTGGCTTCTATCGTGTATCTCATTAGCACGGTGGGTAGTGTGGTTTCTCCTTATCGGTGGTGCAGGTTGGAGAGCCAGGTCAGTACAGTTTCTAGTCGTTCGGATGGGAACAAAAACTGAGGTCCCGTGTAGACGCTGGTATACACGTAAAATAAACACCTTACAGTTGGGATGCGATATTAGAGTAGGCCGTAGCGCTGCTGTCCGGAAAAATTCTCTGAGAGCGCACTGCATGGCGCGTATCTGTCTTTACTAGGGGCAGAAAAATAGGACGTTTCATTTCCGGTGTGGGCCTGTATTTTAAAAGCCGAAGGCCATGGGATACAAGATAAACTTCGGGCAATGTCATAAGCATAATGGTTAAAGGGCTAATCCCGATAATTTTTTGAAGAATAAAACTGTTTAATTTTGTTTTAAAATCCCTTAAAATCCTCTACCTAAAGGCCGAGCAACTAACTCAATATTTGTGATAAGTTTTCAAATAACTGAAACCCGTCAGTCTTCATCTGGAAATGGAGACCGGTGTCCCAAGCTGTATTATGCGTGTCTAGATAAAACCAGATATAAAAATAATGTGTAGGTGAAATTTACCTTTCATTATCAAGTACAGCATTTGGGTCATTCACTGTATAGACCTCTCAATGAACGGGGATCGATTATCAGGTCTTCCAACGAAAAAAATGACCCGAAATCTTAAAAGGGTTACGTGTCCGGATAAGCAGTTTTGGCGGTCACGTCCAAACGACTCAATATTTTGAGCTGAAATTTTGAGATACGGTCAATACACCATTCCTCTATATTTTGGCGTTTAAATTTCATACATACTCAGACTTTTATTTTTGAGACCCTGTTCAAATAAGGGATAGTCCCTTTAAGTACAAATGAAAAGCAAGACACTGATTTTTCTTCGACTAAAGTACAGTTTCGATGCAAGAAGACTTCTGTGGCAATATACCACCGTTTTAATGGGTGTCGTCTTCGCATCATACATTTCTTTATCAGTTGGCCATTCGTGGGAAAACGAAACTTTGACCGGGTGTAAGTTGTTGCTTCGGTTTTCGTTGCTTTTAGATAGACTACCTATTTTAGTGATGAAGGTTTTATGGTTTAGTTTCCGAGGAAATCAAAATCTCTGATTTCTGTTGTAGATTATATTGGCCTAATCTATGTCCTCTCTCCAATAATTTAGTTATAAATCTATATTTATATTTAGGATATTAAGTGCATAGTTATTGATTGATGCACAATAAAGCTTTTAAATCTGTCATATGATCAGACATTCTGCGATATATATATATATATATATATATATATATATATATATATATATACTTATCCACTCCAATGATGGAAACATTCGCTACATATGAAAACATATCTTCAATGGCAATAGTCGATAACCATTTAGCCGTTGTGTTTAGAAACAGTGATTGGGGGCTTTGAACTATTTGAACACCCCCCCCCCCCTCTCTCTCTCTCTCTCTCACTAACAGTTAGCATTCCGAGAAAAGTTAATTTTGATCTTCGAGCAGTAACCATACATGTGATTCGCAACCGCACGGTACTTTCAGTAATGACCATACTCTAACGGAAATAGTTTATATGTATCATACACCATCAAGACCAAGACCACTGTAGTCTGTGGTGGGTGCCAACCTAAGGTAAATTTACCACTATCCCAGGGTCTACATTTCCTTGGCTTATTCTGAATTTTTATAAAAAAAAATCATTTACAATTGAAGTAGGCCTATTAATAGCCTATTAAAACATTATTTCCGCCTTTTTGCGGGGGAATCTAAACATAAATGGGCAGGGGTAAAATGTGCTTTGAAAAAGTTTCCAGGGGTAAACGAAACGAAAAAAGTAAGGAAATTATGCGGGTTAGGATCAATAGCACTAAATTTTTTAAAAATCAAAGATAGACGTTTTTGATTTGACTGTACAGTAACATTGGATATGTTACATTTAGATGGTATTCAAATTCCGATACAGATCTATTCATCCACCACTTAGATTCATAACCTGGCATACACTTTATAACAATTTGTCGGTTTCAAGGATTATTTGGGTGTCATTTTTTTATGTTAATGATAGAAATTGGAGCTTTAACAATTCGATCAGACTGAAAAGTTTTGGACTTATTGTGATGAACAGTCATTTTCGAACCAAATTCATAATGCCGGAACTAAATAAACAATTTTCTTAAAGTTTGTGAGAAATCCCCACTCTCTTTTTATGAATATAGACTTAAATAATTTGGTAAGCGATATGTGTGGGTAACAAAAGTTTCTTCGCTTTGAGCACTTGACGATAAATTCAACCTGTCAGATTCATGAAACCATTCACCCGATCATTTTTCTTCACTATATAATCACAGAAAGTGATTGGTGGAATGAGATCCACTGACCACGTTGTGTTCTTTGAGGACAAGGCTAACTTTCGGAGTTCATCCTTGGTAAATGATTGAAATTCAGCCAATGATTCCAATCTTGGTTCATCTGTAAAATAAGACCAACTTTGAACAAAAAGATTGTTGAACTGGTTTCTTCCTTTTGCAATGTTAGAAATACATGTAAAGAAATTAGAAAAGTTATTTGCCAATTCAAAATTAGTAACTGAATCAGAAAGTGTAAGTTTGGAGTGAACACCGAAAATCTGTCAAATTGTTGACGGATCGACATTGGCGACGACATAAAAACGATTTATTGATAAAATAATATTTTAGTGACTGAAACAAGTAATTGTTAGTAAATCACTCTTATAAAGTCCCATAACCGAGGTAAACTGATTATCTCGTTACATTTTGGCATTTGATTTGTATAACTAATCCTACTATTATCAAGGGTTACCCTATGTAATCTGGGACTAAGATATATTATTACCTGAACTGGACTAGTGATTACATTTCACCTTATTATCAACTGTTAACTAAAAGATATTAAATTCAGACCGTGAAAAATTATATTATATTTATATTTTTTTAAAAGATGCTTTATGTAAAATCTAAATACCTAATGCATGTATTTATTTTGGCGTCAGATATTATATAAACTATTAATTAGACATTTATTCACATGTCAAGCCGCCTATAACCAACTCGCTCGATTATCGGGTGTCGGAGATTTAAACGAATTGAAACACGATTGCCATTTAATGATTTAATTTAAAAATGGCGAATCGAGGCTTAGTCGATAATAAACAACATCTTGCCAAAACTTCAAACAGTACTAACTTCGCTCAGAATAAAGTAATCTGAATAAAATTTTCCATGATATCCATTTTGCATTTTCCATTTTCTAACTATTATATCAAAAACGGTCAGCTCTGTATCAAAATCTTATATAATGTTTATTTAACTATTTTATTATATTTTATTATATTTACCGTGTACAGACTAATGATCAATATTCTTCTCTCTCTGTAATATAAGCCTGGGTTCTGACATTTCTTATTTATTCCGTTAATACTTCAGTTGACGCGCGACATCTTATCTATTCACAATGAGCTCAATAACTAAAATCATTTTAAGAGTAACATTTGTGGTCATATTTGACATCGGTGTACAAGTGCAAGGAAACGTGTGCTTAAAACCGGAATTTTATCAAAATTTGACGATTCAGGAAAGGTTAATAGGAGAACCAACAATATTTTATCAAGCCAGAGGGTTTCTAGATTGTTATCGTCAATGTGGATTTTATTCTTTATGTCAGTCTGTTAATTATAATGTCAAAACTGGCCAGTGTGAATTATTCGCGTCGAATGAGAGAGAAACTGAATATGCCGTTAATGGTATCGTAATGGATGTTTCAAATCGTTATGGTCAACTTTTTGGATCTTGTGAAAATCATGCTTGTGCTAATAACGCAGTCTGTCAAGTCGAAGGTAAGCAACATGCCTGTGTTGTTGTTGGTTGTCATGGTAAGCCAGATATAGACAATATCAACATTACATCATTTTTAGCGAAATCTTTGTGGTTTTTTGATGAAACTGTTCTATATGCTTGTGAGGCTGGCTACTATCCATCTATCAATGCTACGTGCTCTACAAATGGTACCTGGTCGCCATTTGAATGCTTACCATTCGCTAGATGTAATCAAAGAAGTATGTGTGAAAATAGTTCTGCAGAGGGGGAGTATTGGTTTTACCCTCGTGCTTTAAAAATATGGATCAAAATCTATTGCCGTTTGGGTATGTCTGGGGGTTACATAACTTTGAATGAAATGAACACTTTTTCAACCCCAGCTTACAAAAAAGATCCCCATACATGTGTTCAGACCGAATTTCTCGCCCCGGATGTTGGTTATACAGATTTTCAAAGGATAAGGATAAATATGGTTGATAAACAACTAGCAGTCAACATTCTTCTATATTCAAATTCCACTTACAATAAACAAACCTTTGGAAGAGCTGGAGATTGTGTTGATAATGATGTCAATGATACAGAGAGTGATTGTCAATTAACTGGAAGATTTGTTATAAATACTAATGGTACCGGAATACGTATCAAATCATCTGTTACCTGGGAAACGTGGGGTACAGGTGGACGAGTAGGTAATATAACACGATCACAAGATGGGAATCGTATTGAGGGTTATTGTGGGTCAGTTGTTGGGTGTGGTGGTTGTCAACCTACCGCATTATTCTTCGAAACTGATCCCAATTACACACCTCCATCTGATTCAGCAACTTTTATTAAGTGTAAAGCTCCTTTGTAAGTAAGCCGTACTTTCACGCCACTGAAAGGGGTGATATCTTTTGCGGGTCGGCCGTGAAAAAGCATTTTGTTAAAAGACTTGGTTACAAATGATATACGTTTGAGAAATAGACATTGCTGAAAGACTTTTCAGGAGTCCATAAATAATATTACTTAAGTAGGGGACGTTTAAAATGGGTCTGTCCGTCCGTCTGGATGTCTGTCTGTCCGTCATACGTTTTGGGACACAATAACACTCCTTCTAATTGAGCTAGAATGTTCAAACTTTGTGTTAGCGTTT